GCAATCACTGGGGGTATAAGGGATGAAAAGTAAAGAAATAACAGAGGCTTAGAAAGTTCTTTAAAGAAGGAAAAAGTGTGAAGGTATAATGACCTGACTTGTTTTGATGGTAGACTTCCGACTTTGTCAGAGGCGACACGTGATGGTGTGCCATGTCTCTTATCAGCTGCTGTTACTGAAAACGGTCAGTCTGACAGATGGGTAAGTATGAGGCTCACTCAGGCAGCCAGATTTCTCTATCCACACACTATTCCTCGAGCTGACTCAGTGGAATCCTAAGGCGATCTCGGGCCAGCTGATAGACCCTGTATCCTGGCCCTGCCCAGGTGTCCTCTGGGTCAGACGCCCGGAGCTACCTCAAATGGCTGCTCTCAATATGGAAGAGCAGGGGCAATATTACACGCTCCTCTCCCTTTCTCTAATGGAGCGTGCAGCCACTCTGCGGAGGAAACTTAAAGCTGCACTAACTGACTTTATTTTTGTATTCATTACAATAATGCAATCCATATCCATGCAGTGCATTGGGATATACGTCCTTTTGAAGAATAAGTAGTGCAGGTTTGTGCTGGCGTGACATTATATTTTAGATCGAGTTTTGATGAAACAAGGAAGAGAATGTGTTTTGGGTCCCGATTGTGACCAATCACAGCGGACCACTGGCTCCCGCTTTCTTGAGAAAAGCTACAGGTCTCTGGTTAGCACCAACAGCTGAGTTAGCAAAACAAGCGGCAGAGGCTAACCTGAAACTTCCTGTGTCTTTGTGACTGCTTACACAGCGAAACATCCATCCGAAAGAAAGTCTCGTCCTCTCCGCGCTTCCCGGTTCTGTCATTCTATGGTCACGCCATCCACGTGCAAAAGTGCCATATTGTTCCATATAGTGAGACGCTAGCTACGAAGCTAACAACAGCACAGAGCAGAGGCTGAGGGGGAGGGGGGTAGTGCGGGGAGGGCGAGCAGAGAGAGCGAGGCCATCGCTCGCGTTTGAAAATGTCTCCAAATCAGTTAGTGCAGCTTTCATTTGAGCACTTGTATCTGTGATCTCATCCTTTTGATCATTACCTAAAGCTCAGGGTCAGAGGTGAGGGAGGGGACATAGACGGAGCAGTAAATCCAGAGCTTTGCCCTTGGATTCAGCTCCGGTTCACCACAGCTGTTCGATACAGCCCTGACTGCAGACGCTACTCTCTCTTCACCTCAAAATTCCAATCCAACAACCGCTTCACTGCACACACTGCACCAATGTCAACCTCACGCCCCATCGGTCCCTCACTGAGAAAAAGACCTTTGATACTTGAACTCTTCCACTTAGGGTAGGACCTCCCACCCATATTTTTTACGGTCAAGCACCATGGCTTTGGATGTGCATGTTAAAGGTCCTAGTTTGTAGAAGACAACAAGAGCAAACAGAAGAGATTAAATCATGTGACCCACACTGGACACCCATAAGGCCCCCGGCTGCATGTGGGAAATCTGTCTCCAAAAACAGTGAACAAAACAGGAGACAAAGGGCAGCAGGTGAGCTCATACCATACATTTTCATGCCATCATTATGCACCCAAACAGTTCCATACCCAACACTCAGCCAGACCCTCCAGTGCACAGATAAGTGTTTTCTACTTATTGGTTTGGGTTTTGATGAGGCTTTGGTTGATGCAGGAGCGCTAAGGCTCAGTTGTGGAGAGGTATGTCTCAGCAGTTTCAAACACAGCGGCTCCGGTCATAAGGGAGTGAACCCCAGTGAGCACAGCTATTTGATATGTGCACACAGGCCAGCAGTAAAGGATCATAACAGGCCAGCAGTAAAGGATAACATGCCTGTATTAGCTGTGCTGAAGTTGGCTGTAAATTGATGTTCATGATCTCAAAGACTGCTTTCAGTTAGTGCGGAAAAAGGCCACATGAAATGACACGAAGGGCCACAATTGCCCCATGGGTCTTAGTTTGGACCTGCCTGGTTTACTGCTTATATTTTATGGTTTTTTATACATTTTGGGCGCCTCAAAGTAGAACTTCAGAGTCCATGCTACAGCAACAACTAATATAACAATAAACAATTATACTCCACTTGGAAATTTTTTGGGGAATGACACACACATACACAAATCAAAACAAAGGCGTTCTTTGTGATGCACCAAAGTGAGCCAACAAAGATTCCTTTTTCAAAGATTAATTATTATTCTGGATTCATTGTACTGTACTGTATGTAAGTAGCTCTATTGTCAAAGCTTCTTTCCTAAAACTGTGATACTGTGCACGGCCTGCTCTCTGGCTGTGATAATGACAGCACTGCCACAAAAGCAAGGTAAACACAATGAATTATGTTCTCAAGATGATTGTGGATCTAAACAGTGACTATGATGATTCTAAACTGCCACATTAAGCCAAAGACGACTGATAGAACGAGGGTTAATGTGATGAGAAAATCACAAAGTCTCCTATGAAGCTGTATGCATGCTCACGTGTTTTCTCGCTCATGTGTAAAGTAGGATGGGCAAACGGCCGCAGTGGAAGACGTTTGGCTCTGGCAGGTCTTGTACGCAGCTCGTGTGCATGCAGCGCCAGGCTAAGCAGGAGCTTTGCAGTGATCCGCGAGTGTGTGGCTTTGTGAGAGGGCAGATGGCAGCACTCGAGCAGGAAATGATTGACATAATGACATGCCCGATCCTGGGATGTGGGTGGACTATATGTGCGCGTGTAGGCTACTACAAAGAAATCTCACCGCGGTAATCTGTTTTATACTATAGGCATGAGAGTTTATTATTCAAACTTCAACCCAAAGGGGATTTATTGATGTGTATCTTGTCATGGTGCATAATGGCAAAAGTGCTAGCAAAAGAATTGGTTGAATGCAACTTTCCTACTCGTCTCCTGAATATTTCTATGTCTGAAAAGGTTGTGTTGATAATGCAGTCAATTGAGCCCATTCAAATAACCAACGAGGAAAAAATATATAAGGTGAATTCAAAAGATGTGGCTGGACTTTGATTCTACAGCCTTTACCCATTCTTCATCTTGCAAGAAGAGGTCGACCAACGCAGGAGGGTCCAAGGACAGTGGTGATGATCCGCGACACTCAACATACGATGACTTTTTCAATCATTATGGATATTGGTCACATGCCCCTATGGATCAATGGCTCTTTGTGGTTTTTTATCATTGCATTTCTTGTTGATTCTCTGGTCTGTGTTGGCGAATTTGACGGTTTTGTAAAGTCCTCCGAGATATAGGGCTAAACAAGAATAAATTGAATCGCATTGAATTGCAAACCTCCAATCATGTTGTGGGTCTACTTCTCCAATGGAACCAAGACCCATGCTTTCCAATACATACTATATAAGTGCTGTCTTTATACAATAGAAAAAAACATATCACCTCCAACTGACGTTCAGGACAGAAGGCACATTTTTCTACAGGAACAAACAAGATAATTTTACTCTGAGCAGAGATATTTTAAAAACTGCACACACATAAAAACTGTGTGTCTGTGTTCACAGTGTGTAGCATGATGTAAGGCTGAAATTGCAATCATTTTGTACATTTCTGTCTCAGATGTGTCTCTGTGCCAGAACATTGCATACTGTTGGTTTCTCAATATGGAAAAGGCAATTGCTGCTTTTTTCAACCTGTTAATTTAAATATATATGTTGGAAAAAGGCAGAGTAACATTCTTGAACAATATTCTATGACCTGGATTCACATTCAGATCAGTATACAGAGGAGTTATGGATTCAATTGACAATTTCAAATGCTGAATCTTTCTACTATTCTGGCGTGGGATAGTAAGCAAATAAGTGCCCCTCGCAAATGTAAGAAAACAGAAATAGGTTCAAATGTAAATTTGAATCAAGATTCAAGATTCAAGATTTTTAACATTTGATCATCAGTGTAATGGTCCTACTAATATCAAAATGCAGTGAAACATCTACATATAAAAGGAGAGCTGATTGGCTGATTGAGGATGTTTTGCTTCAACAATAATGTGGCAACAACTGATAGAACCGGACTGTTTTGTGAGCCAGGAACTAGCATTTGAGCACATATTTGCATTAAAAGGGTTGGCTAATGATTTATGTTTTCAATTCATAAGTAAATGCTGTGTTCAAATTATAGAATAACATAAATTATATGGTTGTTTTCTTGATCATATATTCTTTAAAAAAAAGGTATAACATGCCATCAATTCTACAAGTTAAAAGTAACAATTGAAAATATTGTCAGGGGCCAGTAAAATGGTGCTTTCTGTTTCACATCTGTGGGCTGATCATGCTGCGTGCCAAAATCGTGGAATATGTTTTTTTTTTTATTCTTTATTCTTCATCTTCATTAGTTCATACTTTATACACACACACACACACGTATATATATATATATATATATACATATTAATTTCATTGTTCTTTTTTTCCCCCACTATGCTCCCCTTGTGTCAAGAAAAGGAAAGCAAAACAGATACATAGATAAATAAACAATAAATTAAATACAAAATTAAATAAAACAATAAAAAACAATATGAAAGTAAGTATATAGATTACTGTAAACAATAGATGGTTTTTCCTATGGATTTATGTTGAATAGTTTTGATATCATACTGACAAATAGACAGACTGTGATGTTGGTTTAGTCAGTCGTCCTCTGTGTCCATGTGTCCAATGTCCATATAAAATCGTGGAATATTAACAATCGTGTGGAATCTTCCCGAGCACACATTTGATCCGAGGACACTTCAAAGGAGTTGAAAAGACGACTTGTAAAGCTTGAGCCAAAAAACCAAAGCGCGTTCCTCCATTTCCCCGTGTGGCGTGCTTTGCTCTTCTTGCAGTAATCTTGGGGACAGTCTTATCAGGGGCCCTTTGTCCAGTGTGCGCAGGAGGGGGTTGATGACGCCACCTCCGACTGATTGAAATGTCCCCCTGGCCGCATCTCGTGTGGTTATAAAGGCGGCCCCACAGTGCGCGCGGAGTCACAAGCGCCTCGTCTCTGGAGGCAGAGCGCTGCGGATGACACAAGTGTGCTGCCTGCGCTCTGACACACACCGCTCACCAACGCTTCACTCTGAGCGCAAGTTTGCAGCTGCTGAGTGCAGTGACCTCCAGCCGGACCTCAGGGGTGAGTGCAGATTTCTTTTCGGATCGCTTTTGTGTGTTGTTGTTCTTGCTGTTGTTGTCCATCGCGCTGCATTCCGTCGCTCTGGACAAAAAGATGTATGAAAAGATGGACTCTGCGCGGAAAGTGGTCCTCGAGATGGGTTTTAAACAGATGGGTGAAAGACAATACAAACTTTTTTCCTGCATTTTGTAAATTTAGTCAAAACTTGTTGCGTGTTTGAAATAGTATTGCATAAAAGACCATAAAATAACATATACTTTATTGTGCGGATTTTCGACAGGACTGGTTGCCTAAGGATGTTATTTAAGTGTTTTTTTGTTGTTGCGTGGAATGTCGATGTATTGTTAGATGACTTATTGTTGGTAAAATAGTTGCTCTGCGTTGTTATCGTTACAGTCATTGCTGGCCGTAGATTGTTTTGTTTTTTTATTCTCACAGCCGTGTCACCATCTGCTTATTCGTTTTATTCGGTCGCTTCTGACCAAGCCGCATTTCTTGTTATAGTTTCTGTATTCCGAACAACCCAGGTTTAGCTATGATCTTGGAATAGTGTTTTACATATGCTTGTTTGCAGATCAATAAACATACTGTATACGTGTACGGGGTATTTTCAAGATGATTTGATAAATACAAGTACATATGTGAAACAACTGCTTAATGAAATCTTCTAAAGCCAGTAGTTTAACTTTGAATCATGCAGAGCATAGACATGACTTGAAAGAAAATTATATCTTTTTTTCTGTTACTGACTCCTAAAATGAGTAACGTTATTAATTGTGTAAAAGTCATTTGATCTCTGAAAATGACCTGAGAGAGAAGGTGGAGGAGTTGTTTAGAGGAGAGCGATGAGAGCAGTGTGAGAGCTGTGCGCACGGAGCTGACCTTGGTGCTGAAAGGCTCCAGCTGCTGTCTGTGACCAGAACCCGCGCAGGACGCGATCTATGCGGCTCCAACATGAATCAGGCGCTTCAAGCAATAAACGCTTCCCTTAGAGAGACCTTACAAATTAATATCAGGTTGTCCTGCTTTGGACACAACTCTTGAGATGTGGTATGTGTTAGTCTGCTCAGTTGAAAAGACTACATTGTGTGGCAACTCATGAAAGTGCATATTTTTTTTTTTAAATAGGGAAAGAAAAATGCATTTGAACATGATAGTAGTGATGTTAGTTGGTGTTCAATAGGAACTATATTTTTAAAGTAACAAGACTATACTATACTCACATTTGACCAGGAACAAAGGGTATTATGTATCCTGCTATGCAAGAGAAATTAACATTTGTGATTGACTTATAGTACACAATGGCATGTTATCATTGTCAGCAAAACAGCATGCACTTATGATAAAGTTATTAACTGTATCTGTCTATCCATTAACTGTAAGTGGGCAGACCATGAACATGTTTTGCGATACATTTTGACAAATGTACAGTTACCTAAGTCTACACTTGGAGCTTTATGTAATCAAGGTAATATTTGCATTTGCAGCCAAGTATGATTCAGGTTTTAGCCATTGGGATGAAAATAATGAGTTTGTCCGTATTAGAACAGTTCTGCTAGGGATTTAATAGATGTTCCTTTCCATTATAATTGTTGCACTTGTAGCTGAAGAGGAGTTAATGATGTGTGGAGCTAATATTGTTTCAGAAAATGTGCTTCAATAATGCATGTGCCCTCGATGACTGATCGACACACTACTGTGAGCACGTCAGGGTAATTTGCAAGCTAACAGAGGTTCTATTTCCTCCTCTCCCCATGTCTGTGTTGCAGAAACCTCCCTGGGGACACGTTTGTTCACACAAGTAGACACTAACGGCGCCATGCAGGAGTCCGAGCCCACAGTCTGCCAGCTGCAGCCCAACATCATCTCTGTGCGTCTCTTCAAGAGGAAGGTGGGCGGGTTGGGCTTTCTGGTGAAGCAGAGGGTCTCCAAGCCGCCTGTCATTGTGTCCGACCTGATCCGGGGTGGAGCGGCTGAGGAGTGTGGCCTGGTGCAGGTGGGAGACATCGTGTTGGCTGTAAACAACAAACCGCTGGTGGATCTTTCGTACGAGAGGGCCCTGGAGACGTTGAAGAATGTGTCTCCCGAGAGCCATGCGGTGCTGATCCTGCGCGGGCCAGAGGGCTACACCACCCATCTGGAGACAACTCTGTCCGGAGATGGGCGTCAGCGCACGGTCAGGGTTACCCGGCCGACCATCCCCGCATCCAAGTCCTATGAGCACTGTGCGGCACAACTCAGAGCGATCGAAAACCTGTCGTCTCCTTCCATCACCCACTCCATCCTGCAGAGGGGAGGGGTGCAGGACCCTCTGCTGCTGCGAGATGGGGGTCGCTCCACTCTGCTCTGTAATGGGCTGGAGGAGAATGACCTGCTCAAGGAGATCGAACCGGTCCTGCGCCTCATCAAGAACAGCAAGCGAGAGATCAACGGGGAAGGCCAGCGGAATGTTGCCAGGAAGGACGTGGAGATTCAAGTATCCTGGTAATTTACTCATCTTGTAGATCAAGTGTTTTTGTTTCAATCAGGAGGACGCAGGTGGAGTCCTGATAGAATGAGAGTAAGGATTAAGGCTGAGAGCTGTGCAGAGCTATTTATCTGCTGTGAGGAGAAGTACATCTGGTCCTTGTATCAGACAACAACAGCTACATCACCACTTGAGCACATCTCTGAGCGCAAGTCTGTTCAGCGCATAAGCAGCTCCTCTCTCACATGACTCACTCTTTGATTGTAAATACACATTTCAAGAACACGCATGCTGATGACGATACGTGTTTCATGAAATAAATGGAAACCTTCAAAGTAGGCTGTTGACTGTTTGCGGAACAGTGAATAGGGCACAAAGCACAACAAAGAGAGCAAAAGCAAAACAGGTTTTACTGCACAGACTCGAGCAGAGGCAGACAGGCAGAACGATAGGGGGACTTTACACAACACACAAAGTTTCCATACATTCCCATACTTGAGTGAAAAAATAATGACAAGCTTTTTATGCACTTATACTACTTATACTTTAGACTCAATATGCAAACATGTCTTTGTTTGGCAGACCCGGATTAGTTTTTGGCTCCATCCACACTATCAGGAACTTCTGGCGCAAACATGGCCGCCGCCCCTTTTTTTGCTAATAATCCAATCTCAATCCTATTTTGAATCCTCATCCTGTTATTATCTTCAAAGCAGTTTTCTGCCTTTTCAAGCAAAATGATTGCCTCTAAATAAGCGTGGGCAATGTCTACAGTGAGCTTACATTATTTAAACAGAGCTACATTTGGAGCACATAAAGTTTGATTAGAAAGATTATACACCTAACTTAGGTGGTAGAAGTAGAGCATTACATAAGGCTATTTGTAATACTTCATGCATGTTTATTCATATATATTCCATTTACAGTTATTTCACATTCTAAAACATTAAATGTCAAAAGTGTCATTAGCGTCAAGGATTAGCAGGACTAATACGTAGCGCTACCTGTGAAACAGTTTTAGGCCGTTGTGAAAGTGTTTTGTGCTAGAATATGACCATTAACAAAACATGACTGTTGGCAAGACACTTTTTAATGACACATCTGTTTAGTTAAACATGTTGGGACCACCTCTGCACCTTCTCCATCGACTCCCACTGATGACTGCTGTCGTTGTGTCCTTGGGCAAGACACTTAACCCCACTTTGCCCAAAAAGCCCCCACTGAAAGATCAAGGCTATGCTCACACTCAGAGAGCAGCTGTCCTCCTGTGGACTCACCACCTGCAGAGGGTCAGTGAGGGGCTGGTGCTATGAGACTTGGGTGGTATCTCTGATTGCCACCCCCCTGACCCAGAAATGGATTAAAGGGAAGAAAATGGATGGATGGATGGATGGATGTTGGGACCATAAGAACATAGTGAAACAACTGCAGAGACTCAAGGACTAGAGGACAACACCAGAGACAAGATCTGTAGTCTACGTATACGGTCTCTGATGGCTTTTGTTGTGGTCTCTGATTTCTGGTCTTATCTGGTCTTTCTCTGGTCTGTAGAACGATATGGTCTCTTGTCCATGGTCTCTGTATTGATCCCTGAAATGGTCTGTGCTAGTGTCTGCGCACAAAGACATACAGCTTTGTCATTACTAAAAAGCTATCAACTGAGAATAAATAAAAAGTTTGAGTCCCATTATGATCTCACATCCTCTTGATTTGGTAGCTATGCAAACTGAGCTGTGCAAATATAGTCTACAGTACATGGGTCCGTGTACCTTCCATTAATTGCGTCACCAGCAGCAATGATACATTTTTGAAAAAATTCACAATGCGAGTTGTAGAACTTGAAAATCTAGTTTGTCTTCAAGAATTCCTCTCAAATTTGGATGTTAGAACTCAAATCAATCATGCATATGTCAAAACAAATAGATAAATGTCACTTTTGAACATAATTTTATCCGTAAAGTTTAACTTGAACTTCACAAACTAACGTGTTCCTCATTACATGTATTTAGACTGCAAAATCAGTCATGTTCCATTAATCCAGTTAATGTTAAAGTGCTTTTCCTGCTCGAACAGTAAAGGTGTTTTATGAGGCAGTTTGGACCACCCAGCTTGTTCTATTTGCGTTCGACAATATACTGCACTTTGAATGTCTTCACTTAATCAAAGACACAAACTTTCACAACATTTCGCTCATGATGAATACTGTAAAAGTTATTTTAGGAGTGGCATCTCTCGGAGTGGATAACTTTAATGATAACATTAACCCATATCCAATGCCCCTGTGTTTTGCTCAGAATAATGTATTGGCAGCTGACTCACATATTTGTTGTGCTCTTCAAATCAAATTGAACCTCCTTGAATCAATATCTCATTCTTGACCTATTCGGAAACGACCTCGCTTTTCAAAATTGCACTTTGAGTGATTCATTGCTGTCTGGAAAGTAAGTCTTGCTTAAATGCTTTTCTTAATGGGCCCCCAATGTGTCAAGGACTCTTAAATACATTACAGCTCAGGGCAATTTGTTTCCATATTTTTTTCTTTTTATGTGAACTGCCGAAAACAGCCAATTTTCCAGCATGGTGTTGCCAACCAAAAACTAATGGACTGAAAGTGGGCTCCAAGTGGGCTTCAGGTCATTGAAGATTGGGTCAAATTTCCAGAACAATTATCCAATGGGTACCTCACTTCCTCTTTTCTGATACATAAATTTTGCCTCAAAAGAAAGACAAAAAGGATCACAACATGCTGTATTTATTCATTCATTCACTTGTAAGAATGAGCCTTGTGAGTCACTATTTGACACTTTGGGCTGAAAGCTGCTCGGCTGAGTGAGGGCAGTCCTCTCTGTTTCACTTTTCTCTCTGATAAAGCTTATCCAAAGATGTTACAGACGCCGAAAATACAAGCATTAATGAGTGTTTTGAGAGCGACGCATTAGCCTAGTTAGATGAATTTGAGTCCATAACTCTATTTGTGTTGTTTGAAAGTCGGGTACCCCAGCTTTAACAGAGATGTGACATGATAGAATATGTTCCCGCAAATGGAAACAAAGCAAATCCCCACTGCGAAAGCGAAGGGACGTCTGTGACAATTTACAATCGGCATGGACACGTGTGTGCGTGGGAGGGAGTGTGAACAGCGCTGGATGTGAGTGGGTGTTTTCGCTTGCAGATTTGAGATGGTGTGGAATTGAGTTTGCTGTATATGTTCATGTGTCATACGCTTGTACAGTGGTGCTGCAGAGCGGTCCCCCCCCCTCCGTTGCCCGTCAGGCCCCTCGATCACATCGTTAAGTGTTTTGAATGAGATGTATCGCCGTTTGTCGCCTGCTCTTATCTATGGGGGACCAGCGGCAACTGTTAATTATTTCATCATGTCTTAATCTACTGATTATGCTTCAGACGAATCTCTTTATACGCAAAGCAAACACTGATTGTGACATTCCAAACCATTAGAGGATAACTAGGTGTAATCAATTTGGAAAAAGGCTTTATGAATTCAAACAAGACATTTTAGATGTTGTAAGCTGGCATTGTGACTGATTGTTTACAAAAAGTCTTGAAGGTTTAGGCAATTTAGCAATGGAAACAGAATTGTGAACTTACTCCTTTCAAGTTTTTAATATTCTTGTATAAATTTATGAAGGTTTTTTTGGTAAAAAATTGTCTCTAAGTATTTGTAGAGTGACAAGGGAAACTTATTCAATTTGAAAATTGGATTTTCTGTAAAAGCAGTTGCCTTTTTTTGCTTTTTGCTTGGAGTCGGGGTTAGCATAAACGTTCTACAGCAAAATTAATATTTCTTTATCATTTCATAAACTGTTTTTCAATGATTTGGCTCATAATTAAACTGGAACAAGTCAATTCAAGTAGAGGTTGCAGAGTGGTTCTTGTTTTTTTGATGCAGAAAATGTACCTATATATCATTACATTGACACCACAGCAATAATATAAAATCCTTTTTAAGATGTACCCTATTCTTCAGCCAATACACAGCCATTTCCAAATATAAAACTGATGTGGCTTGTTAGGAATGGACCACCTGACCTACTCTGTGTGACTCCCTGCAGGGATCATGGCGTGGGAAATGGGACGTCCCCACAGCTGGTGCAGGAGAATGACGAGGCACTGGAAAACATGCATGTGGAGCTCTGCCGCGACCCTGCTAAGGTAATGGGAACCTAAAAACTTGTTTTAACACTAATACAGACATATGCCTTTATCACTTTCCCTAATACACTGTAATCCTCGCTTCAACTTGTAATACAGAGCTTGCACTTGCACAGCGAGAGATCCTGTCACCTATGTGGCATTAGACTCTTCCGGCCAAACGCAAATCTGCTCCGTTCTTAAATCCAGCTTAGAGCTCGCATGTGAGGGTCTGGTCTCAGGTCTGTGCATAATCTGCACATGGCCCCTGTTATCCGCCCACTTGCGACGTCACTTGCGCCTCTATCAATGGGTCCGGAAGAAGCCAAATCATTGCGGTATATGGGTCTAATGAATGCGTGCAGCTGTTGATCCGTGGTCCCTCTTTGCGCATCGCCCCCAGACCTGCAGGGGAGGGCCACAGTGTTTGAGGATAAGTGGAGGCCGATGTGACGCATGCATTCCAGTGGCAAGCAGACTCATCAGCTCACATATTCCAGGAAATGATTTAAGCCTAATGTTGTGGTCCTTGAACTGTATATGTCAGATACATGTTGGACAATTGAATAGATAATTTGCAAATGCTGTTAGAATAATATTTGAAAGGCTTACAATGTGCCCTTTACCAGTTTGTTTTTCGATCATCCAGATATATGTTAGTGCCAAAAATAAAGTTTCACCACTTCTTGAGCAAATCCTTTTGTGCCAATAACAAAACATGCAGTGGCTAGATGAACACAACTTTTTGACACATTTTCAAAACGGAGAAATTTGTTTTTGCAAATGAACTCTTCAAATATCAATCCAGTTTGACACTTTAGTAGTTATATAATCTCCCTTCCAGATTGTAAAATGGTGATGTCATGCCAGGAATTACATTTTGGAAATCTATGTACTATACACAATACTAATTTTATAAGTCTTGAGTCTCCCCTATTGTTATATACTTCTAATTTTCTTCATAAACAGTTATCCAACCAATTCATTGCAATATTAATCAGAACAGAATGACGCAGGGTATGCTCCACAACAAATAAAGTATTTGATAAAAGTTAAGTTATGACCATTCTCAGCCAAATAAAATAACTGTCTATACCACAACAACAAAACTATAGAATACATAAGAATAGACCACAATTCTCAAATGTTCTGAAACTACAATTTTATCTCTATCATTACAAATACATAACTATCGTCCTTGATCAAAATGAATACATTATGTTGTAACTTGAGATTGTAAAAATGAAATTGTACACATTTTTGCATATGATTTTAAATCTAATTCACTCAAGAAAGGTTTCAGTCAGAGGATCAAAATATTATACCATACTTCTCGTGTTTAATCATTTCACATAAGGTTGAAACAAGTAATTGATTATTAATGTATTCAAAACACTATATCACTAATAGTTTGCGGTCTGTAGAAGGGGGTGCTTGAGCGTCTATGGCCCTGTACTGCACGGAACTGGGGGCTTTTTGTTCTGCCGTGGCCTGTGAGCCTGTCCGCAGGCGACGTGTCGGATATATCTATGAACATCCGTCGGAGCAGCAGCGCATGCACCAAATAATGCAGAGAGTTGAAAACATGGATGTATTCAATTATCGGTTGAATCGTGGGCGACAGCGAGAACATGGATGCACACATGGACACGGATTGTACGGTGCCTGTAGACTTTGCGTGTAAAGGCGATGGTGTGGGTAATCCGGTGTGAAAACTATAATGTCATATAACATAAACACAGCGGCCGAGTGGGGCTTAAACATACAGGAAGTGTACGGTTCAGGCACTGTGGGTCCGGCAATTTCAAACATGTGACAAACACAGACTGAATAAGAAAAATACAGAGTGAAATGTCCTATCACTTAATTTGAGTGTATTTGTGTTAAAATATAGTTAAATTCCCGTCTTTTAGGCCCACACACATGCACAGTGGCCCAGCACAGAGACAACATACGGGTCACTCACCAGAGGGTCGAGTTTGAAAATGAGTCAAGGCAATGTCATTTTCCATTTGTGCTGGTTTGAGCTGTCAAAACTAATGTTTGCACTGTTTTGTTTTTACAGATATGAGACATTTAGCAGTCTGACATGTGCAGTTTTGCTTTAAACAGTCAAAACATCATCAATAATATAATTGCTAATAACTTTAAAAGCAAAACAGCACAAACATTAGTTTCAACTCTGTTCCAAAAATCCATCGACACCAATTGGGCTCATGACGTCATTGGACGAACATTACATTACTCACAAAAATGTAAAAGATACAATACCATAATTGGAACTTTGAACAGCACAGATATAGAACTCTCTATTGACAAAGTTTTGACTCGTGTTGGAGGTCCATGACTGGCTGGACAACCCCAATTCAACCTCTAAAAGAACCATTAATATTTCAAAAACTAAAGCAGTACACACACAACTGTTTCTGCAGCACAAACAGAGGATAGTTTTTGGGCGCGATCGATGAGGAGCCAACTTCACAGAGGCACACGCAGCTGTGTGTCATAGGTCCACAAGCATATGAGGAACGCACACGCACACACAGGGGAGATAACAGAGCAGTCATAACAGAAGTATGACTGAACCAGGACCAAAGCAGGACTGAAGCAGGACCAAAGCAAGACCAAAGCAACACCACAACAGGACTAAAGCAGGACTAAAGCAGGACTCGAGCAGGGCTGAAGCAGGGCTGAAGCAGGGCTGAGACAGAACTAAAGCAGGACAGAAGCAGGTCAAAATCAGAGTTACTGAAGGAGGGGCATCAGTTTTTACCATGCCTGGGATCAGCCTTCTGTATTCAAAGTGCAGACATTGAGCCTAATAGAGGAAAGTCCTAGATGCTATAAACCAACGTCCTTTAAGGGCACTACGGGCTCTGCACTTATATGACGTTATGTCAGAAGGGAATTCCCAGATATTTGTGAACCAGAACTAGTACAGAGTTAGAAATTACATAATTGCGGTAACAACAAAAAATTGACTGGGTGAGTGAACAAATATTGCAAAGATTTTATAGAAAATACTACACTGGAAAACTTGAAACATGTTTTAAGTTATAATTGATAGACATACTTTTAACCATGTTACTGCAGTTACAAGAAAAATCTCTGGTGATTACACCCCCCAACAACATTATCCTGATCGTATTAGCTGCAATTATGTTCATTTCCATCTCGCGTGTGCTCCATCTGTTCTATCCACACCTTCCCCCGGCTGGGCTTTGTGATTGACGAATGACAGGAAGCAGACGCAAATTAGTTATTACCTGCACCCCTGCTGCTTTAATGCTGTTCTAATGCTTTTGAATCCAACTACATGAAAACAATGACTTAAAAGCATAAAGTATAATGCTTTGCTCTTTTGTAATAGCTGATCAAAGATTTTCTTAAACATTACTTTGAATGTTCTGCAGAGCCCAGTCGTCCTCTTCAGATCCACATTTTGTGATAGAAAAGCCACATCTGAGCTCCACAGCAGGGGCACTGCTGCTGGAGCATGAATCTAAAAATGAAATCCTTTTTTCTCTGCTAAATCAAACTGGCTCAAACCACAGAGTTACTCTCCAGTTTGAGAGGCCATACAATAACAGGCAGTTTGGATCAGTGTGACTCCTGGGTTATTAAAGCTGTAATTGTCTCCCTGCTTCTCTAAAGCCCCTTCACTGTACAATTAACAATGCCCAGAGAGATGGAGGCGCGACCTCCAAAGGTGTGCAATTGATTACTCTGATCTTGGCAATCACAAGCTGCTTTGCTTTTCAAATGCTTAGTCGGCTGTGGGTTGAAATTGCAGGAATTCATCAGTCAATAGCCTGGTGTTGGCTTGCCATCATCATGCTGTTTAATACTGATTGCTTTTATCCAAGAGTGAAGAATGCTCAGTCGGAGATGGGTGCAGATGGATTTTGTTCAACTTTGAGAAGAAAAAAAAGAAAAAGAAACAAAAAAAATGTGTTCTACACTTGTGGATGCTATTGGCACAAAAGCTGACTGAATACAAGGCTTCAATTGCCACATATAAGTGTTTTGTTTTGTGTTGCTCAGTCTCCAGCCCAGGGCAAGATGTCGCCCACCAAGTCTCAGCAGAATGGCAGCCCCTCAAAGTGCCCCCGCTTCATGAAGGTGAAAAACTGGGAGACTGGCACAGTCTACAATGATGTACTGCACCAGGGCTCAAGTAAGGTATGTATAACTTTTAAGTGACAACCCTCAAGTCAATTCAATTCCAGTGTCTGTTTTTATATCCGACTGACTGTGAGCAGTGACCAGATTATATGATGCAACACTAATGTAACAAAACACACCTGCTCTGTAAGACCAAACACAGCCAAACAATATCTGTATGAAACTCATTTGTACACAATATATATGTACAGTATGCCATATATGTGTATGTGCCAGTTTCCTCTATACCCAGTGCATGTGTAGCTGGCAGTGGTCATGTGGTGTTTCTGTTTTTGAAGTTCTACATGAGTTTCGATCCACCAGAGATTTTCTTTACAGCCTTTACGTCTCGGTGTTTCTCCATCACTCTCCCTCTCCATTGAACACAATAGCTTAAGCTTCAGCAATATTCTTTCTTTGGATGACATAACTTTTCTTACAATAGCTTGCGTTACAGTTGTAGACTTCCATTTCAATTGGATGGCAGCTGCCAATGCAAGTCTGTGGAATATATATATATATTTTTTAAATAAATGTCAAAATAGATTATTAGATTCACAAACCTGTTACATTATAGTTGTTCAACATCATGCATGTATGTTTTCTGAATATTGTCACTACATCTAGACAGTTTTTTGAGAAAATAATTAGATATAGTTGATATAGTGGATTGGCCGAGGGATTGTAGAGAAATTACCTGTGCACTAAAACTTTAAATCTGATTATTGAGACCTACAATGTTACCAAAAATATTTTTCAGTCAGCTGCCCTTTACCACAACTATAGGCTGTTTGGAATGCTGGGATGCCACATGAAGGCATCTTATAACATAACACAACCCAAACACTTTGCTTAAAGTTGTAACCTAGATTTGTATGTTGAAAACAATATGGTGATACAAAAGTGTTGCCGTCAAAGATCTACGTACAAGTGCCAACAAAACTGCAGCCATTTGCTATCAACTCAGGGCGAGCCAAACATAGGTGACGTATCAGATGGGCAATGTTTGCATCTTAATGAAGCTCTTGTAAATGGCATCTTCAGATTTATTAAACAGTGTAGACGTTGGCTTATTCATGGCTGATCCGTCACTTGCGAAAAGGACAGCTGGCTGTTATGAATGCCCGGAGCGGTAAGGAGCGGACGAGCTGGAGCACAAGTGATTCTTTTGTCTTATTTTCAACACTCTGTTTTTAGTCTTGTATTTGCCCCATTCCCCGACTATCTTTGTTACAGAGGTTTTATCTTTAGAATTGATGTAACATTTGTATTGTTTGTGTAGTTTGATTATCTGCCCTCCAGTTTCCTTTTCTTTTTGACCTTTGGGAGAATCATATATTTTTGATATGTTGAATGGTCAGAGGATCATTAAAGCTCCATTACCTCACTTTATTTTTGTATTCATGGGGTAGTGGGAGGCGATAGCTGCGGGGAGGGGCAGAAGAAAGAGCGAAGCGGGCATTCAAATTTGAAAATTTCACAAAGTGAGTTAGTGCAGCTTTAATTGGTTCAATATGGCTGGCGACCTTTTTTATTTAAGCAGTGCCAGAGACTGTCTGTTTTAAAAAGCCTGATTTATCCTTATTGAGAGTGATTGTGCTTGCTCCTGTGGCTCTGTATGAGGCAGGTCTACGGAGCCGAACTGACTGCTAACTTGAGTTATACATTATATTTTAAGACCACATGACATGCTCATGTGGTTTCATGTCTGTCTTTATGGAGGTAATACCAAGAAATGAGTCACGGTGTTATTCATTCAGGCCATGACAAAGTGCACTAATTACATATGTAGGAAAACAGCCCAATGCACAACATCGGACCAACGACTGACATGGAACGGTTTCTGATTTGCTAATCTGCTGTTAGTAATAATTTTGTGAACTGTTTTGATACAACTGCTATTTTGGGCAGTTCAAAAAAGTATTTTGAATGGTCAGAAGTGTTTTAATCTGCTTTGTCCATTTCCTTTTCTTATCAATGAACTATTTCTGTCTTTAGATTTGTAATGAGAACGTGTGCTTGGGCTCGGTGATGATGCCAAACCACTCCGTTCGCAAAGAGGAGAGCAGGGGCAAAGAAGAGCTACTGTCATTGGCTAAAGACTTTTTTGACCAGTACTACACCTCCATTAAAAGGTAAAACGATAGTGTGAGGCGGCTGTGCAAACTCATTACTACCTATGTCATGATTATCCTTTACCGCTTCATTAGGTCTGGCTCCAAGGCCCACATGGACAGGTTGGATGAAGTGACTAAGGAAATTGAATCATCCGGATCGTATCAGCTCAAAGACACAGAGCTCATCTATGGAGCCAAACACGCCTGGAGGAATGCTGCACGCTGCGTGGGGAGGATCCAGTGGTCCAAACTTCAGGTAATTATCAGTTTGTCCTTATATCTCCCTACTGGTGCAATGCATAATTCTAATTGTGGTCACTGTAATAGCTTAATGAAGAACTATTGAAGTAAATAATACAAATATTTGTGTTCCTAGTGTTGATAAATGGATACTATTTCATAACAATATATTTTTGAATCCGATTAATCAGAAAATAGTGTGGAGTTGGGAGGAGATGAAACCAAAAATAAAGAAACATGTAAAATTGCGTTTTGTTTCCCAACAGAAGATAGGGGTACACAAGTGTATACAGAGCTATTCCCAATTATTTTGAATTATTATTAACTTGCAAATATTAATAGTAAGGGTTATAAGGGGTAAAATGGCATGTTATATATATTTTTTAGCTAATTATCTCAAGAAAACAACAATAGTATTTAATGATAAGAATTAGACCCGTAATGCAAGAGATAATAATATTTAGTTTATTACTCTGCAATAGTAAGCCCTCCTTTTAGGCCAGTCCGAGAAAGTATTCAATATGTTCAGGAAAATAAAGAGTTGAATTACAAGTTGAATAGAAAAATCTGCTCAAAATTACCAACGTCATAATAAAATACATAGAATAAGATTAATTACAATAAAACTAAGAACCACTGCATAAAAGTAATCATGAAAATCGTCTCCTCAATTCCAGGTTTTTGATGCACGAGACTGCACCACGGCTCATGGAATGTACAACTACATTTGCAACCACATCAAGTACGCCACCAACAAAGGCAACCTGAGGTAATATCAAAACTGAATTTTTTTTTTCACACTTGTTATTCCACTGCTCCCCATCTGTCACTCGGCGTACCCGTGCCCTGGTGCAGTGGCTGTCTACCCTGACGTGACCCGCGGACCCATCTGCCAGCCTCTTTAACACACTTTTGTGACACTATCTGCTGGCTGTCTTTTGGGAGAAGGCAGCAGTCATCTTCGACCTGCACTTTTCTGCCAAGTCATAATCACATCTGACACCTTATTTACTTGTCAGCTGATGGATGGTTTGTGACTCATTACTTGATTCAGCTTTGGCCTTCTGAAGGACAGTGAGAGACACATGTTGATGGCAGAATACTTTATTGTTTCCTGGCTTTGAGTGAGAAAACGCACACAGAGTAACAATCTTGAATGACTTGGAAGGAACTACATTTTAGAATCATTGTGCTTTTTTAAGTCCCAAAGAAACCTGGATGAAGTAATAATGTGTTTATTAGGGTATACAGGTGTGGTAGATGCCTATGTGGTTTTCAGCATCAATCAGTCATTATATTCTTTATGAAAATGTTATTGACTCATTCATATAACTCATTTGAAAGTTGTAAGTGCATTCAAGCAACAGAATTATTGTTTGTACCTGTGTTGTTCACACCAGATCCATCCATCAAAATACCAGATTGCTGCGTTTTTGGTTGTTCTAAACCCAAATATTGAGTAAGGACTTTCAGCTAACCAAGCTGCCTTCTCAGAGCAACAGAAGCAACAGTAGTGTGGCCTCAGTCTATTAAAGGCTAGCATTAATAATAATAATAATAATGCAGCGCTTTTCTGGACACTCAAAGACGCTTCACATGTCATTATTCTTTCACTCCAAACACAGTGGTGATAAACTACTACTGTAGCCACAGCTGCCCTGGGGCACACTGACAGAAGCGAGGCAACTAGTATGTGCCATCGGCCCCTCCGACCACCACCAACCATTCACACACAGACCGGACCCATTCTAGGCAATGGGGGTGAAGTGTCTTGCCTAAGGACACAACGGCAGTTTGGCACTTTACAGCCACAGCCGCCCCATTGTGGCTGGTGTTCCCAGAGGTTAAGTGTCTTGCCAAGGACACAACGGCAGCAGACAGTGGGAGTCGATGGTGAGGGTCGGGCTCAAACCCACGACCCTCTGGCTCAAAGGCCAATGCTCTACCAACTGAGCTACTGTCGCATTAGTGAGAATGACGCGCACATCCATTGACGCGCACTGTCGCATTAACCATTATATCAACCGGGAGGATTGCACCAAAGACGCCATAAAGAATGCATGTGCTTGCAGTTGCTGCTTTATTTCAGCTGTGTGTGGTTCTAAAATCAAGCCATACCTTCGTTCCTAAGATGCGTGCACCGCAGTCTTTGTTTGAAAACAATGAACGAGTCAATTGCATTGTTTGTTTGTTTTGCGGCTTGTTTCCATGGAGACTGCTATGTTCTATGCTGTTTCATATATTTGGCAATAGAAACCTGGATTGGTGGTACAACCTTCACAAGGAGTTGATAAAAACTATCAAGGAGAAATGTGAGCTGTGTTGCTCTAGTCTTGACCTGTGAATACAACTTCATGGAGCCCATTACACTGACTGTGACACCATTGCCGCCACATGTAGACAGTTGACACTAGTGGCCCAGATTCCTCCCAGCTGTTCTCCGGCAGCGACTTACAGCAGCTTAGCAGCATTAACACTCCACCCCTTATGGCATCAACACCAGGGCAGCATGTAGTGGAGGCCAAATGTAACAGGCCGGATGCTCCAACTATCAATTCCTAGAAGCATGTTTTCATGAAAGGGCATTTGTATCTAGGATTATTGCTAACACATGGAGTAAGGCTGGATCGTTATGTAAAAGTACCAAATGCAATTCCCCTTGCAAAGTGGTGTGATTGCAAAGAAATGTAAGGGTATGCACTAGTATCCAGGTATACGGCACATAAAGAATTAGCTTCTTTAGTGTATGCTGGTGATAGAGCTAAATTAATAGCAAGAATCCATTGCTTTGTCGGAGTATGATATTTTTCTCCTGGATAATGAGGCCCTACCTATAGCTACGACAGGTCTATATAGCACATACAATAAAACTAACCATGTTGTAAGCCTTTTAATATATGTTTTGTGTGTATGCAGATCGGCTATTACAATTTTCCCGCAAAGAACTGATGGTAAACACGACTTTCGTGTATGGAACAGCCAGCTCATCAGATATGCAGGTTACAAGCAGTCTGATGGCAGCATCATAGGAGATCCTGCAAATGTAGAATTCACTGAGGTAGATGTTGGAAGTGCACCCCCCTTTTCAATTATGAAAAACCTCTGAAATTGTTCACACTTTTGGGTTTGGCTCTGTAGATTGTCATGCAGCTGGGATGGAAGGCTCCAAAGGGACGGTTTGATGTCTTGCCCCTGCTGCTGCAAGCTAATGGAAATGACCCTGAGCTTTTTGAAATCCCAGAGGATCTTGTCCTGGAGGTGCCCATTACGCATCCAAAGTAAGTCTCCATCATTTATTTGAATAAAACACTCATATCAAACAAGAGTGCTACTTTTACCCGGCAATCACAGCTTTTGTTGCCATGCTAGTTAGCCATGCTAAATTGTCTACAATTATTATTTATTTGTACATTTTACTTTTTCACAATTCTCATGCTTCACTGAGTCAAAATATTCAGCTCAGTTTTCATGATATGAACAAAGAAATGAGGATACATTTCACCCATGGTGACCACTACTTCTTGACACTCCATAAAAAGTGGTTCTGTCTCCCAAGACATTGCTTCTTGCCAGACTCTTGAAAATTGGCATGTTTATCTAACTGTGTAGCCCATATTAGCTCTGGCCCTTAGTTCCAGCAGCCACTTCTCACAGCCTGCCATCACCAACCACAGCCCATCATTTCAGATTGGGCCCATGCTCACAAATAAACAGTCAAGTTATGAATCCCCCAGTGAGTGATGAGTGAGTAATGGGAGAGAGACTGGCAGAGTTCTTGTTTTGAGTTTGTTTTTCTACTCTATGAATGTATACAGCTTACAAGCAATGGCATCTACTTTTACCATGATGATTCAAACTATAAGTGAAGTTATTTTTAACAAAGAGAGAAAAATATAAAATGCATGATTATTGAAAAACAATAAAATGCATTGACACAAACTGATCAAAACCAAAAAGTTTTGGGTTGGGAAGGTTGGAAACATCTGCTTTTCTTCTTATTATAACTAATACATTATGGAAATTGTTTGCAGATTTGAATGGTTCAAAGACCTGGATCTGAAATGGTATGGCCTTCCCGCTGTAGCCAACATGCTTCTGGAGGTGGGAGGCCAGGAGTTCACTGCTTGCCCCTTCAGTGGCTGGTACATGGGCACAGAGATAGGAGTGAGGGACTTCTGTGACGCTTCTCGATATAACATTCTAGAGGCAAGAATGAGCGCTGAAATGATAGTTATAATAAAATAGTCAGGCAAAACGAACTATAGCTGAAAAACTAATACTTTAATGTGGTTTTGCAGGAGGTCGCAAAGTTGATGAATCTGGACACAAGAAAGACTTCCTCCTTGTGGAAAGACAAGGCTTTAGTGGAGATAAACATAGCAGTTCTCCACAGTTTCCAGGTTTGGCTTTCTATTTGGAATTAAACTGCAACTGTAATCAAATCAACCTTTGAGTGAAGTGTTTCTAATGTTTCCCCAGACGTGTAAAGTGACCATAGTTGACCACCACTCTGCAACAGAATCCTTTATGAAACACATGGAGAACGAGTACAGAGTTCGAGGTGGTTGTCCTGGAGACTGGGTTTGGATTGTGCCTCCGATGTCAGGAAGCATCACACCAGTGTTTCACCAAGAAATGCTAAACTACCACCTCTCTCCTTCTTTTGAGTATCAGGTAGAAATGTAGTGCTTCCCTTTTCTATGACATTAATTAGGGAACATGAGGGATACAACATGTACTGTATCTGTAGAACAAATACAAAGGTCACTATTCTTCATGGTGCCTTTTGATTATATTGGAATGTTTTGTTTTCCTTCTACAGCCTGATCCATGGAACACTCATGTGTGGAAAGGGGTTAATGGGACGCCTACAAAGAAAAGGGCAATTGGTTTCAAAAAGCTTGCCAAGTGAGTATGGATTTATTTAAAACTTACCACAATATAAGATAAAATAAGAAAGACTTTGATATAAATAGGATCACTCAGGTTGTGTAAAAGACAAGAAATGCACAAAAATGTTAAAAAGTGAAAAGATTGTGTTATGTGCAAGATATAGTATGTAAAAATGTTATTAAAGTGAGGCAATATCTCCTACTAATATCAACTCTTTGTGGACTTTACAATCAGAGTGACATACATGTGTAGACTGCCATTTTTCTCATAGGATGTAACAAACAGGGATTTCATCAAGCTGTGTATTATTGTGTCTATTTATGACAGGGCTGTGAAGTTTTCGGCCAAGCTGATGGGACAGGCCATGGCAAAGAGGGTGAAAGCCACCATACTGTTTGCCACAGAGACGGGCAAATCTCACGACTATGCCAAAACTCTATGTGAAATCTTCAAACATGCTTTTGATGCCAAGGTACACTTGCTCAGTCCTTGCATCATATTTGAAAGTAAAAAAACTGGCACGCAATTTAATGAAACAACAGGACCTTTCCTCGTCTGAGCGGACTTCCGATTTATTTCAGATTAACTTAGCTTGCTTCTGTGGCCTCGGGCTTCTGGATAGTTCTAAACTATTGCAGCGATCGCCTCAAGTGTGAATGTGTAGAGAAAAGGGAGAGGGAAGTATTCTTCTCAAGATCATATACAATGATTAGCTCCAGGTCATTTGTACTTGGGAATAAAAAGAGGCCATTCAAGCATGTGTGGGTGTGCAGATAGACTGCAGGGTAGTGTCCGCCCTGGGCAAATAGTTGTTTTTCTCTTTACGCCTTGGGTTTGAACATGTGTGAGTGTGTGTTTGTGTGTGTAAGTGTGGGTCATCATGGCAGACACATCATGAGTGGTTGAGTGGTATATACATCGTGGTAGCATCTCTCGTTGTGTGGTAGCAGCATATTATCATCTTGTTAGGGCGAGGACAGAGTGGTCATTACAAGCTGCTCTGCCCGAGGCTGTGTGTTCAGCCTTAATTCACACGCTTCGTCATCTGTCATTGGAGCATGTGTGTGAGGTTCTGGGTCTGCCTCTCCAGGTTATGTCTATGGACGAGTATGACGTGGTGGACTTGGAGCATGAGACACTAGTGTTGGTAGTGACCAGCACATTTGGTAACGGTGACCCTCCTGAAAACGGAGAGGTGAGTGTGTTTCATAAATCATCAGCACTTGATTAATCACAGCCCAGTGCCATAATTACCACTGACCTTTTTGTGTTCTCTGCAGAAATTTGGAGCTGCCTTAATGGAGATGCGTCATCCAACATCCAACATAGAAGACAGAAAGTGAGTTCATTTGAGTTGGTAAAATGCTAAATCTCAAATGTAATCAGTTATATATCTGTTCAAAAATTGATTGTAAAAATATCTTCAATGATCTACTGAACTCTCGAGGAGAATCCATCAAATGTGTTGTTGAATATGTTAATAACAATATGTTGAAGATGATTACTTAAAAAATATTTTTTTATCAATCCAGCCCTTTATACAATCTTTGTTTATTTCTATCAACAGGAGTTACAAAGTGCGCTTCAACAGTGTGTCATCCTATTCTGACACACGCAAGTCCTCCAGTGATGAACCGGAAACAAAGACCAATTTTGAAAGCACAGGGCCATTCGCCAATGTTCGGTAAACAGTGGCTTTTTTTGTTTTTTTTTACAATTTGCATTGTCTGTGCATTGGATGATTCACTCAGATGTTCCTTTCAGGTTTTCTGTATTTGGCCTTGGCTCCAGGGCCTACCCACACTTCTGCGCCTTTGCCCATGCGGTAGACACACTGTTCGAGGAGCTTGGGGGAGAGCGTATCATGCGTATGGGAGAGGGAGACGAACTCTGTGGCCAGGAAGAATCATTCAGAACTTGGGCCAAAAAAGTTTTCAAGGTGGTTAACATTTTTTGGAGTCTGCCTTTTTTTATAGGATTTATTTGTTCAATGTTTTTTTCTTTTCTTTCTAGGCTGCATGTGACGTATTCTGTGTTGGTGATGATGTGAATATTGAAAAGGCAAATGATTCTTTAATCAGCAACGACCGCAGTTGGAAGAAGGGTAAATTCCGCATGACATACACAGCAGAGGCCCCGGCTCTCACAGAAGGTCAGTGGACTTATTTGTTTAAACATGAATTTATGGAGTATGGTACATGCGCTACGGTATGAATGTGACTTTTTCTCTCTGATCTTCTCCCCGTGCAGCTTTGAACAATATTCATAAGAAAAAGGTGTATGGAGCAAAGATGCTAGAGTCTCAGAATCTGCAAAGCCAAAAATCCAAGTAAGTGTCGTGGCTTTCACCAAAACAGAAGTATGTTGCAAGTTTAAACTAGGCCTCTCACATTAACACATTTTGATGGACAACATATTGCTTCAGAAATGATTGTGATAAACAATAGTTTCTAAACTGCTTTATGCCACTGATGCAAGTACAATAAAGTGAGTGATCTCGGTGAAACGTTTTTAGATACATCCATTTCATTACAAAGCATGTGCAAAAAGAACAGCAGAATTGAGTCAAATCAAAGCTATTTTCAACCTCTACAGCTAAAAAGTAATTGACATTGTAGCTACTTTATCTGTAAGACAATCTTTTGCAACAACAATGTGCAGACTATAAATATTGACAAATCACAGTTTATAATGTTTTGTTGATATAGTTCTTATTTTGACTAGTTTAAAGTGGGAACATTGTCAAATATTTCTGCCTTAATTCTAGGTGCGTACTTACAAAAATTTTGCGTACATTACTTTCCACATCAAGTATGTGAGCTTAAAACAACTTGAAAAAAATGTATTTGGAGAAATACAATGCTTTGTGTAGCTTTCAGAAATATCTGAGTTATGCACAAAAAAACAGTTGAATACAATTTTGTTGAGTGCGTATGTAAAAAACTAGCCACCCTCGTACAAATTAGATTATAATTGAAAGGAGTTCACGGATGGCTTAGGCCAGGCTAGTAAAAAACCTACGTAATTACTGTAGTAAATTAGGAATTATGAAACTCAGGGTCAGTGGGCCTCATTCACGAACGGTTCTTAGGAACAGATTTGTACGTAAATCCTACTTACGCGGTTTTTACGAAGAAAGTGGCATTCACGAATATTTCTCGTAACCAGAATTTCTCTTGGGCAAGTACAAATCCTACGAGTCCTCAGGAGCACTCGTACGCATTCAGTGCCGACATGTTCACACGCGGGGGTTGTCCTTTTTGGTGAAGTTGAATAAAAATACAACATTCCAGTGATATGTCCGTCATATCGATGTATGTATTTATTTATTTGTAGTAATCTTTATTAGTAATCTTTATTTATATACCGCCTTTTTCACTGCAGATCTGGCCTACTTTTTAATTCATTTTGAAATGAAATGTGCCAACGCTTTATCCAAATACATTGGAAATCTTGCCGTGTATTAGTGACCCCTTCCTATTTATAGGGGGCATTTCTTTATCCACGGGCCACAGAACAACGGCATATATACTGCTGCTGCAGGAGGTTACTGGGTCCGCGCTGAGTCTCTGCGCTGGTCTCTCCCATGGATCTATACGGGTCTGCGCTGGTGTCTCCCATATACGGGTCTGCACTGGTCTCTCCCATGGATCTATACGGGTCTGCACTGGTCTCTCCCATATACGGGTCTGCACTAGTCTCTCCCATGGATCTATACTGGTCTGCACTGGTCTCTCCATACGGATCCGCGCTGGTCTCTCAAGTCTGGTCTATGCGGTCTCTCTTCGGTCCGCGCTGGTCTCTGCGCACCGGTCTCTCCAGTCAGGTCACTACAGTCTATGCGGTCTCTCCAGTCAGGTCACTCCAGTCTATGCGGTCTCTCCTATAGGTCCGCGCTGGTTTCTGTGTGCTGGTCACTCCAGTCTCTCCTCGGGTCTGCATTGGTCTCAGCGCTGGTCCGCGCTGGATCTCCTCCCAGGGTCCAAAATATTTTGAGATTAATCTCAAAACATTTTGAGATTCATCTTTAAAATAATACATAATATATTTTTAAATTAAGCTCATAACATTTTGAGATTAATCTCATCATATTCTTAGATTAATCTCATAATTTTGCTAGTTCGACTTTATTATCATAATATTTCGACTTTTAAGTCAACATTTTATAACTTTATTCTCAGTCTGGTAAAAGAAGAAAAAAGGGTGACTTTTGCTCCGTGTAAAGGCCTGTTGCTGTTTCCTCTGGCGTCTGCACACGGCCCTGCAGTCCCTTATATGGGCATTAGTGGGCGGTTACTTATGCTAAGTACCTATGCTAATGAAGCACCTGGCACGCGCGCTCTACTTACGAGGAAATGGGATTCATCAATCTGAGAGAACAGCTGCGAACAATTCAGCGGCTTACGAGTGCGTTGATGAATCCCACGTGGGGACTTCTTAGAAATCTACTTAAGGACAACTTGAGAAGAAAGTTGAGTAGTTTCTTACGAAGTTATTCGTGAATGAGGCCCATTGATGCTAACAATGTGTATTTAGGCGTTTGTAAGGCTTTATATTAAAATTACAGTTACACATCTAAACAAAGATAAAGGCTACCTACACCAGAGGTCTTCAACCTTTTTAGTGAAACTGATACAGAAATGCAACTCTGTAGCATTATTTTATATGCAAAGCCAGCCACAAGTGTATTAAATAGAAAATCAAACAAGCACAATAAACGTCTTTCTCAACTTCTCATAATAGTATCTTTACACATTATTTTGAGGTGATATTGAATCATTTCAAAACGCACGCCAAACATGATCACAATGTGCACACATTACAATACAATACACATGTAGCAGCAGCAGCTGCTACATGTGTCTACAGAAGCAATAGATGAACTTTCCTTGGTGTGCACGTAAACTGTAGTGACAGTTTGTAGATACGGTGGTCCAAGAGCCAACATGATCTGACTAAATATGTCCGTCTCTGCCCTCTATACAGTCGCTCCACCATATTTGTTCGGCTCCACACAAACAACCACGACAGCCTTAGCTACCATCCCGGCGACCATCTGGGCATCTTCCCTGGCAACTACGAGGACCTGGTTACAGCACTCATAGATAAACTGGAGGATGCACCACCTGTCAATCAAATCATCAAAGTGGAGTTTTTGGAAGAGAGAAACACTGCCCTTGGTGGGTGACATTAACAACTCGTCTTTACAAATGTAGTCTCTGTGGGAAGCTCAAACAAGCTCTCTCTCTCTCTGATGAGAGGTAGGATATGTCCAGAGAGCTGCATATTGGCAAACAGTTGGTGATTTTGTGTGAACAAGGTGTTAAGTAAATCTGTAAGTGTGGTCTTAATCACTGCAAACTCACTGGGTTTACACATTTCATAAATGCATATCATGTTTGATTAGAATGTATACAGAAAAGCGTTGCATACATTATATTTATATGGAAGCCCTTGTATGGGTTGGAGTGGAGAAAAGTGTTGAATTTATTTCTATTTCTATTTGTAAAGGTGTCATTAGCAACTGGACAAATGAGACCCGTATTCCGCCTTGCACAATCTACCAAGCTTTCCAGTACTTCCTGGACATCACTACACCTCCAAGCCCAGTTCTGCTGCAGCAGTTTGCTGCACTGGCGACCAATGAAGACCACAAAAAGAGACTAGAAGTCCTGAGCAAGGTATGGTAATAATGCCACTGGATTATGACCTCGTTCAACTCAGTTACAATCTATTTATTGCATTTTGAACAAATCGATTATTCAAAAGAATAACTGGTATATTAACCTGTTAATAATAATGTTAAACCTGTAAAAACCTGTTTTGTTTTTATTTTATTCTACTGTGGTGTTCTATATGGTATACATGCAGAAGATCTTCCTAAACACAGATTAAATTACACACAATCAAATTCATAAATGAGCTTCCTGTATTCAAAATGTAATTCTGTTTCAGTAATGTGTTATAGCGACTCTCCTATTTTGTCATAATATAATAAAAATGCTGTACAGTAAAAGTAAAATTAATTTAAAACTGCTAAAGTGTCTTTGCAAAAGCTATCCCCCTCACAGTGCCTCCACATTTCTGTCAGTGTGTGGAAAAGGCGACTGAGGCCGAGCAGTGACTCATGCTCAAACATCAAATCATTGTCACTAAAGCAAGAGGGAACGATGGAGGTCTCCGGAAAAGCAGGAGGTTATATATTCGAGTTTTCTCAAAATGAAGCTGCTCAGCAGGGCAGGCTGTGTACCCTCTCCAGTTATTACATCTTCATGATCATTTAAAATCAAAAGGTAAAAATAACAATTACGCTTTCACGTAATAACAAAAATACATTATTTGGTGTCCCACATACAATTTTTGACACTGAATGAATTGTGAACATTAACAATTGTGGTGAAGATGGTTTGCCCACAGTCTGGCTATTTCTGATTGTCATAGCAACAAGTAAGTTGCAGTTCATGACTGTGGTAGTCTACTGAAACATTATAGTCTAAAATCATGAACGATGATTTTTCTATGATCACAGACCCCTGGTGGCCGAAAGGGTAATTCTACATAGACACAGTAATTAGGAACCTGGACTAATGAGAGCCAATATAATGAGATGTGCATAATGTGTCAGAGAAATAGTAGCTATTGAAGAGAAGTTTTTATGTGCACATATTGGACACAGGCATCAGGCTCAGACAGCGCAGGCCACCTGTCTCTTTTACATAATTTCAGAAGTTTCTTATATACACTTGACTAGTATCAGGGAGGGAGGTTGAAGAGTTATTTTAACCAATGTCCTTTTGGGGAAACCCGCTCGACTCCAGCACTTGTCATATTGACTGGTTGATGCGTTTGTCTTAATTCTGGAACCCGCTTGGCTCTGTGGTTTGATGTCGGCAGATTATATTTTTGTAAATTCCTAAGGGTCTGTATTTACCTCTTATTTAGCTGGCCGTGTTGTGCACCCTGAGATGTGTGCATTTTAACACACACAAAAAACATGCTTACATAGTCCAATACACTTCATTTCAGGAAGGCTCGCTGACATCTTAATATTATCCCTGAGTTTTGACCTGCACCTTTCTAACCCCCAGGGCCTGCAGGAGTATGAGGAGTGGAAGTGGTACAACAATTCTACTCTGGTGGAGGTGCTGGAAGAGTTCCCTTCAATACAGATGCCCTCAACACTTCTCCTGACACAGCTGCCACTTCTTCAGCCCCGCTACTACTCCATCAGCTCGTCTCCGGATCTGCACCCGGGGGAGATCCACCTGACTGTGGCTGTGGTCTCCTACCGAGCCAAAGGTAACATGCGTGAAACTCTGTGTGACTTTCTTTGTCCAATGAGACCCAATGTGCTTTTTCTTCTACACTTGAAATATTCAAAAGGGTAAGTCAAAATACTGTGGGCACGATCTGTGAAGTGAATATAATCTGTCGTTATGGTTCTTCAAGGGAACTGCCATAAATCAAAAAGAATACAGCTCAAATGACTCAGTGACTGTACTGTAAGCCTACTGTGGCGTGAAGGACACATTATAAGAAAATGCAATGGAGTTTTTCAGACAATCATTTACATAATCTGAATCAATGCTAGTTTTATCAATCCACCTAAAATGTTCAAACCATAGACTGTTTATATTAACGGACGTAGTCACGCCTATCTCCACCGTTCTAACTAATGGGCCAAAAATTGGGCTCTCATGGAGTGATTGAAAATGGATGCGGGGGCTGGAAAAAGTGAAATAACGCATCTGTGCATGTGTCAGCCGGCGCAAGCTCCATTCATTTAAACAAGTGACTTCAAAAATTCACAGCAAGTAAACTAGACCGGTCCATAAAAATTCACTCCCCTCAGCATTGACTCGCATGTGGAACAGAGCTTTGGGCCAAGAGTCAGCTTTTGGACCATCCTGTAAAGGTGTAATCGAGAGGTAATAAAGATGCTATATGTTAGCATTGGCTAATTCTTATTCCGGGCCCCCCCCCATCGGCCCAGGCCCCAGGGTGGTATTGCAATCATGTCAGCGCACGTCATTTTGGCCACTTTTAAGCCGGGACCCGCCCCCACTGGTTCAAACTAAAGCTTACATGTTAGAGCTTGACAAGGCTTCCATTGACCTCTCATATCCACTCTGAGTGGGCGGTAGGGAGGAAACTAAAGTGTTTGGCTGTTAATGATTACAGATGGAAAGGGACCGGTCCACCATGGAGTGTGCTCTTCGTGGCTTAACAGGATACAGAAGGGGGAAATGGTGCCCTGCTTTGTCAGAGGGTAATTAAATAATACATGCTTTAAGACATTTTCCTTCACAAATGATTGAACATGTTTAACTCGTTTGACTTGTTTTAGTGCTCCATCATTCCATCTTCCTAAAGACAACCATGCTCCCTGTATTCTGGTCGGCCCAGGAACTGGAATAGCTCCTTTCAGGAGCTTTTGGCAGAAGAGACTGTACGATCTGGAACACAATGGTCAGTGCTCACTGAAGTCCCCACACATTTCCTAATTGAAGTAATTCTATTTAAACCAATTTATTTTGTGTTCAGGCATTGAGTCGTGCCCCATGATCCTGGTGTTTGGTTGTCGGCAATCTGAGATTGATCACATTTACAAAGAAGAAACTATTCAGGCTAAAAATAAAAACATTTTCAAGGAGCTCTATGCTGCATATTCAAGAGAACCTGGAAAACCAAAGGTATCAGTGTCTTCTTTATTGTACTTGTAAAGTATTTTTATCTTAAAAGACTTGAAGAGTAAGTGGTTATGGATGTGCATTCCAGAAATACGTCCAGAATGTACTGCGTGAGCAGCTGTCGGAGAGGGTGTACCAGTGCCTGAAGCAAGAGCGAGGACACATCTATGTTTGCGGAGATGTGACAATGGCGGGAGATGTTCTGAAGACTGTTCAGCAAATCATCAAGCAGCACGGCCATATGAGCCTTGAGGACGCTGGCTTGTTCATCAGCAAGCTTCGGGTGAGGACAAGCACACTAAAGCTTGCCATGTTCTTGTCCCTAATTCACTAAGTTAATATAAACATTCTTGATTTTTGTTTTTGCAACTCAGGATGAAAACCGCTACCATGAGGACATTTTTGGTGTCACCCTGCGCACCTATGAGGTCACTAACCGCCTGCGCTCAGAGTCCATTGCCTACATTGAGGAGAACAAAAAGGACTCTGATGAGTGAGTACCTCTCAGTCGTGTGCGCTGGAGAAGCAGGGCATTTAGTGAGGAGTGAATATCCTGCTGAGACTAATGCTTATAAAGTGCTCAATCATTTTTGTAATGACCTCTTTTAAAGAAGTATTACAGGCCTGAATATACCACTAGCCTTGAGGATTATGGTTATTAGATCTGAAATTTACTGGAGAAATAGAGGCTGTGATAAAGCACTTGAAGGCAGAAGTAGTGGTCAGCGTTACATACAGTTTAACATCGTCTTGGTGTAAAAAAAACAATCTAATTTAACTCATTCTGGCATCAGTGTGCCCCTCCATCAGACTTAATGAGTACTAAGAGCCAGTTTTTGTGTTCAAGTCCAACAGCATCTTGCAACCTGTAGTTATTGGCACCAGAATGTGTGATCACCCCTCGTTTCCAGTGAAAACAGTGGGTTACCATAGAAACCCATGTAGAAGGAAGTCTAAAAGGGCTTAGACGAGGCGCAAGTGACATTTGTTTGTGCCTAATTTGTGGTTATTCAAGATTCTACACATCACATATTCATGCTCTTGGTATATATTGTTTTAAGTACACATATTTGTCTAATTTCATGTTTGGTCATCAATGTTTGCTTGTTGCAGTGTAATCTATGTAATCTTTTAAGGGATGGCTTAGAATGGCTTTTTTCTGTGTTGTTTTCCCAGGGTTTTCTGCTCGTAGGTCTCACCCACAACCAGTCTAGATGACCCACATCGCTGGTGAAGGAAAACTGTGCCAACTTTTGTACTGTATAAATGGGTTGCTCCTTTTTGATACTACTTCATTTATGATGGGCTCTGCAATTTGTCTGTAGCAAACGGGAAATGTTCAGAGATTATGTTATGCTTGTCCAAATATTATTATTGAAATGGGTTAAAAATGTGCACTTAGTGAAATGACCTGCCTCATTGTGAATGCATGACCAAGATAAGACTATACTCCAATATATTATACTGTGTTATTGTTGCAGTTAAAGGCTTTCTTTGAGTTACTATTTGCAAAGACCTGTATGGCGTTATTTAAAACTCCATCAGAATCTTTGAAATGAACAGAGGAGCAAAGCTGGACGTTGCTGGACGTTACTGTCTATTTTAAACGTGTAATGTCTTTAAATTGAAGAATCAACAGGCCAGACATGAAGCCTAAAAAAAGCCAGCCCAATGTCTCTTCCTAAATAAAAAAAAATGAAAAGAAAAAACAATTCTGTCCCAAACAAGCAATTCCCGTCTTGAGTGGTCATCCATCAAAATGCATCAGCCACAGTGGCAGTTCTTTAGTGGCCTGTCTATCCACTCATCACAATGCTCCAGCTGGTGCTTGTGTTCGCAACAGCTGAACGGGAATGTGGACGCCTTAAATCCGGCCCGCAAATCTTTATACATGGCCTTTGATGATACCCTGCAACTACTGAAGTGTTCAATGTACCTGTGTACAAGTAAGGCAAAAATCACTCTGGTGGAGAAGTGTTGAATTGTCTATGAAGATTTAATTGTGATTTAATAAAGTATATCTTTGTAAAAAAAAATGTAACATTATTTTGGCTGTCAACCAAACTGGGATGGAACATCATAAACACATGTGCCTCTTGCCTTACATTAACTCTGCCTCTGCCTACGCATCCCTCCTCTCTGTGTTTTTGCATGATTCTATGGCGGCTCGCGCTCCGATCTCACTGTGACCCGTTGTGTAGCATGGCCGCGCTGCCAGACCTGACCAGTGCGTGTTTGTGGGCGTGGCTATGATGTGGGTGCATGCATGCGTGGCCTCAGGTGTACTCTGCGCTCATCTGCAGCTTCTCGCCGCCATCCTGAGCCGTGCACGCGTTTGGCTCTCTCTGACTCACGTTCCATTTTATTGTACAGATAGCGTTGTGGTCTGTATAGGAAACGGCCCACGTGGCTTTGGCGTTCTTGGCTCCACTTTGGCAGCCGTCGTTCAGTACTGTCAAGTTTGTAATTGAGACGGGAAATGAGACTGGCGCTGTGGTCATCCGCCGCTTTCAAATGAGTCAGACTAGTGATTTCAATATGCATGCAAGAGCCACGCTGCTGCTTGCTCATCCGTTTTGCAGAAACCTGTGACTTCCATGTGTCTTTTTCTTTATAACAATATTTAATATGGCATGACTATTTAATACATGTAATTTTCAAGCTATTGCAACAGCTGAGTTTATTTTCTCACCAGTGTTGTCCTTGTTGCCCTTGTTATGAATGAATGCCCCCCTTGTAGAAATTACAATTTTGTCAACTGTATTAAGCTGTCAAATGTCTGTGATGTAAAATGTGCAAAAGGAAAACAAAGAATATAGCTTCTAATATAAATATATACATAACTTATATTCAGAGTATAAAATGGAAATCTTTTTTCAAAGAATGTATTTTGAATAAGTAAAGAGCATTGCTTGATTAAAAAGCTATAGTTTAATGTGTGAGTTAAAAGAGCATTAAATCAATGCATGATGTTTCCAGTTTAAAAAAGCTGTCTAAACCAGCACTCTGTTGGTCGGTGACTGTCGGGGCCTGTCTGGCCTCTTCATGCAGCTATGGACTTGAGGTTTCTTCTGTGTTTGCATATTGCTGCTAATATAATTATCTCCAGTCAGCCAGTGCTATGACCTTTGCTGTGTGAATGATTATGACATTTTAATGCATCAACTGCAAGGACTTTGCATTTACAAATAAATATTTACAGAATAGTCTGTTTACCTCTGTTTTTTTCCCATTTCACATTGACTGCTGAATATCAACTCAAAACAAATGAATTCATGTGTACACAGAAGTCTATTAGCTTTGATGGAGCCTCTGGTTGTCAAGGGTGAGCACTGGCAGAGCTGAGACCTCACTGTCATGGCAACCCATCAACAAAACTGAGGTTACAAACCTAACACGTGCTGATTGGTTGAAAGAGCTATGACCTTGTGGGGTATTGTGGCCACGAAACCACTGCTACCAGATTTAAGTGGTTGGCCCGCCTGTCAGACAACTGCGGAGATTTGACTTGACTTAATGAAAAGTTTACTGCGTTAGAATGGATTAAAAATGTAAGTGGATGTAAGAACATGCCTAAGATGAGTCTAAAGAAGCTGCGATAAGGTAGGAACAAATAATCTGCCTTTCGGGGAATGTTTGATCCGAGTAAAGCCACTTACAGACTAAACAATTCAGATGAAACTTGATAGATTTAACCCTCCTAATCTGAGGTAAAGTTGAACATTGGTACAGTATATTTGTAAACATGAAATCTGTTACAGTGGCAGCAGTTGGGACATACAAGTTATTATGGTCCAGCTTCAATATGGCTGCAATCATTTGTGTTAAAACCTTTAAAATCAGATAAGAAATTGCAAACAATTAGTGTGTTTTGTTTTTGCTTTAGCTTGTACAAAAGGTGTGAACTTGAAGGGCAAGTCGCAATATCTAATTTATTCATTTTTCAAGCAGCAAAGAGCATCTGGGACAGTGGATGACATGCGTGGGCTTGAGGAACAGCAAAGTGCTAGTGGCTTTGCTGCAGACCATACTGAGAAAGAGGAGGAGGGAGCAGACGATGGATCACTGAGCAATGCGCATGTGATCTCTGATGAGGACTTTGACACAGACCTGGAGCTGGAAGGTAGAGTCATCTGTTGAGGCTAAAAGTAGTGTGAGGGGAAAGTCGTAACAGTTTATATCCGGCTTTGATGAGAGCCATAATTCTGATAGCAGCTATTTTGCGTCCCCTTCTATTTACTGTGGTTTTACAAGGCTCAGGGGTAAAACATTTGTGGCTAGGGCTTGAATGGTAATCACAACAAGGCCAGTTGAGCAAAAGGCCGCCTATTGAGCCATCTGTTTACATTTCCCTTCAAAATCATCCATCATGTGAGTTCCTTAATCATTTCAGAGAAAGATGGGAAAAAGAAAACACACTATCCCCCCCACACACACACTGCTACCCACACATGCAGAGAGCCCTGCTTTGCATCTCAATGACTTCATCTAAGTCATTGCTTTGTGTCTTATTTCCACCAAAACTATCTGCTGGGGATACAGACAAATGCTCAATCAAGGGGCTTTGAAAAATCTCTTGGAGGTGATGTTTGATAGTAACTTGTGTTTCAGATGAGGAGCCACGGTATGACCCCTCAGGAAGAAAGTGCTATCTGGAGGTGTGTGAGAGGTTAGGGGTGGTGCCAGCCTCCTACTTCCTACATCACATAAGTGACAGCGAACTGGCCATGGAGCATCACGGCCTGGGACCCAAGGTAGAGTCTACAGACGGCTCTAGACATATCGCAACAACACAAAGAGTCTATTGTTTAAAATGGTGGTGACAACGTATTTACAGTAACTATATGACAACTGTCCAAAGTCAAACTGGTAGTTTTATCCATCCATCCATCCATCCATTTTCTTCACCTTAATCCATTTCTGGGTCAAGGGGGTGGCAGTCAGAGCTGCACACTTAGCACCAGCCCCTCCCTGATCCTCCTGCAGGTGGTGAGTCCACAGGAGCCTTGATCTTTCAGTGGAGGCTTTAGGCAAAGTGGGGGTTAAGTGTCTTGCCCAAGGACACAAGGACAGCAGTCATCAGTGGGAGTCGTGAAGTAGGTCTTGTGGTGGGCTTGAACCCATGACCTTCAGGCTCAAAGGCCAATGCTCTTCCAACTCATCCACTGTCGCCCATGAACTAGTTCATAGCTAATTTCATAGCTGTAATTTATGGGACACAAAACAACTTTGATTTAATCTTTGTCAGTACAAATCAAACTGTATAATTACTTACTAGGTGTTGATAAGTGGGGACCATACAAAAAAAACCATTTGCATGATGTTGGCTAGCAGAAAGTTATTTCTGTCATGAGAATATTATGGCAGACTTGTGAATGTAATTTCATTTCATTTCATTTTTTATTTATTTCAATTGTTCTGAATATTCTTTCATTTTTACATGTTTACATAAAATAATAATAGTAGTCAGACAATTGAAAAGGAGCACAAAGAAGACAAACTTATATTATGTGCCCCTTTCTCCAAAAAAACCAAACAACATTTTTCAAGATGGTCTGATGTAACAACACATCAGTCACAAAGAAATAACAAATACAAAACATGCCACAAGCAGGGTTTGTTCATCAAAACAAATAATCCTCTTTCATTTAATTTCCAGTTCATATGATTTAATTATTGTTTCCTTGAATATTTGTTTAAACTGAAAAATATTTGTGGAGTTTTTTAAAGTGTCTTTCATGGAGTTCCACAGCTTGACTCCAGCCACTGAGATAGCCATCCGCTTCTGGGTGGTACTGGCAAAAGGAAGAATAAAGTTAAGTTTGTGTCGGAGACGAGAGTCTGATTTAAACGAAAATAGTGTTTGTACAGTTTGAGGCAACAAATGGTGTCTTGCCTTATACATTATTGTAAGTGTTTGGGTTTTTATAAGGTCAGGAACCTTTAGCAATTTGGATGTTATGAATAATGGGTTAGTGTGCTCTCTCCCATGGACTTTATGAATGGCTCTTATTGCTTTCTTTTGTAACGTTATCAAAGGCTTCAGTGTGGTTACATACGTATTTCCCCAAACTTCCAAACAATAAGAAAGACATGGCAATATTAATGTAAAATATAATATCCTCAGAGCTGTATAAGTTAAAAAATATTTCACTTTGTGAAGGATAGAGAGGTTTTTACATAATTTCTTTCGTGTATTTTCAACATGTGATTTCCAATTTAAATTCTCGTCGAGGGTCACACCCAAGAATCGAATTTCTTCTACCCTTTCAATGTTTATTCCATCTAAACACAACTCAATATTTCTATTTTGATAGCACTTGGTAAATAACATAAATTTAGTTTTGTTCACATTTAGAGATAATTTGTTTACCCTAAACCATTTGCTTATTTTTATCATTTCTTTTCTTACATTATTAATCACATCCTTTATATCGTCACCTGACAAAAGAAAGTTGGTGTCATCGGCAAACAGCACCGATTGTAATATGTCTGATGCTTCACACAAATCATTGATGTATAAAATAAAAAGTTTAATATGGAATAATGGAACCTTGGGGAATTCCACATTTAATCTTTAATTTTTCTGATGTGTTGCCAGCAAACTGTACAAATTGTTGTCTATTCTGTAAATAACTTATAATCCAGTTTAACACCCCCCCTCTAATTCCATAATGCTGTAGTTTCTGAAATAAAATACTGTGGTCTATGGTGTCAAACGCCTTTTTGAGGTCGATAAATACCCCAATAGTACTTTTTTTGTTTTCTATTGCCGTACTAATGTGTTCTGTAAGCTTCATTAAGGCTAAGGCTGTTGATCGATTTGTTCGGAATCCAAACTGACTCTCATGTAACAAATGATGTTTTTCTATAAATTACTATCTAATAAAATAATGAGAGGACAATTGTTTCTAAAATTGTTTCTATCCCATCAAGTTGTATTGGCACCTGCCCTCCAACTGAAATAGAATTCAAGGAACATGAACACAACCTATTCTGACTGACAAAAGGGCTACATATATTGGAATGCATACACCAACATAGAGACGTCTGGATATTTCCTATATCAAATATTCTTAATTACTTGATGTAGGTTAACTTGTACATCAGGTGGATGGCTGCTAAGCTTGTTAATAAAATGAATAAATGACCTTCCATGTAGGGGTGGGCAAAATATATCGTAGACAATAATATCATGAAAGTCAATTTGAAGATATGCTTTTTTGTATTATCGTCCTTTGTCTTTTTACATATATATTACAATTAGAGAAGGACATGCCCATTTGGTCTAACGTGTGCCTAAAAAGCCAATCACTGCTCTATTTGTACATTTCAGTAAATATTGAGCAAGCCTTGTTGGATGTGTTCTTCTTTCTGTGTTACTTGAATTTGATTTTTAATGTCAATATATGTTTGTGCATATTTTGCAAAGAAGTGTGAAGCAGTTTACAAATAAAAAGCTTCTATTTAGATCTACACTGTCTCTATCTATACATGCCCTGGCAGCAAAACATTACTGATCATTTTGTGTAAAAAATTATTGATTTTAAAGATATTGTGACAATATCGTTATCGGGAGATGGAAAAAAAATATCGAGATATTTAGTTTTGTCCATATCGCCCACCCCTACTTCCATGTATGTTGTCTGTAACGTGTTATAACTTAAATGTACATACAATGGAAGCAGTAGCTCACTAAGATGACTATTGATTTGGCAGTTCAAAAAAACTGTTGACTGAGACCATATAGGGACAAAAAAAGGATTTAACTTAAAGATCCAATATACCAACATGGAATCGAACAACTGGATATGACTGTCTTTTTTTAATATTTTGTTTTTGTCGGTCCGTTGATAAAATGTAACCATTCTGGAAATGGGAACGATCAAATGATCAAATCAAACAACTGCAAACTCAAAAAATATGTATTATTGTCACAGATGTGAAAAGTAAATTGTTAAATTCCTAAACAGACAGTTCTAAGACCCAAACTTCAGACACAGCTGTACCCTCCTTTACCGTCACCAAAGAACATTGAGGCCTCTCTGGAGTCTCTGTGCAGAAATTGTTCTCACTATTAATTAGAGTAAATGAGTCATCAGAGGAGAAAACCTCAGGTCCTCAGCTCCACCAAGAGTCCATTTGTGTTTTATTTCAACGGATCTTCAGAGATTCACTTTGAAATGTTATGTCATGTGAAGCACAATTCTCCATGTAAACCTTTCTCTTATGAGAATAAAAGTTTGAAATGAACTCACTTTGAATTCTTATTTTGAACGGCACAGTGAATAGCAGTGCTGTAAAATCATCAGATTGTAACCTTGGGCTAATTTCCATCTGTTGTCCCACTCACAAACACACATTCACCCTGCACTATTGCACAAGTTTTTAGTGGAGAAAACGGAGGACACTGATACAGACATGTGGAGAACATGCAAACTCTGAACCCAACATTCTTGCTGTGAAGCATCAGTGCTAACCACTCAGCCACTTTGCAATACAAAAGTACATTGATAATGTACGTTTCTCTACTGAGAATGTTCAGTACCAATACTGCTATAATGGAAAATGCAAACATATTAATGAATCAAATATTGAATAAATTGATGAAGTTCAATGACAGAATGAACAGAGAGCCTTTAACGATATGATCAAACTAGAATACATGTGGTATGTGATTTACAAAGAGACATAGGTGACCACCCCTTCACCTTAACCTCAATGCACTGGTTGATAATGTGCTCACGAAGTATGCACCATTTACATAGGTCAGCGGCAGGTTAAGATAACGCTAAATATGCTCAAATGATTCCAATCTAGCGCTGCTGGAGACGCTCATCGCTCTTTTCTTGGTGGATCGCTGATTAATTCAAGTCACATCCCCGAAGTGAAATACACTCATCATCGTCATATCGAGAAGAATCAGGAAGAAGACCAATAAAGTTACAGCTCCAGGAGATAGCCCTGTTCTCTGAGAATTATAGCATGTGTGACGCACAAGACAGTATACATTTGCATTTACAATCGTGCAGGCCTCATCTTTTTTAAAAGGCAAAAACTCAATGCCATGTATGAACGTACATATTGTCTTGTCCCTGAAAACATACCGTTTTTACCCACACTAGCCATTACTAACCTAATGCATACATCTGTACAATCAACATTCAAAGATAAATTTTACTTTCTGATACACATACGACATTTACGTTCCAAAGTATTGTACATTAATATAACTAATTAGTAATAAATCTTACACACTCTTGTTAAGCTAATCTAAGAGGTTTCAAAAGAAGCTCAGGTGTGTGCAATGGAAATAACATTGTAACAAACAATTTTAATACAATTCCACTTCTCAAAGTGACACATGCTCATCAAAGACCGAGTTTGCACGTGAAAGCCAAAGAGGAGCATCTATGAAAACATACCAGTGTGGAAATGATTGAAAAAGGTCTGAGGCACTCAAAGTCTTTTATTTGACTTTAGTGAGACATCCTACGTGTTCTGACTTGGTCTAAATGACTGGATGGTCGCATGGAGGTAGTCATGTGGGTGACTGGCCCTGCCCACGATCAACTCGCACACTACTCATGGAATTAAAACCAATATGTACAATAGGCACAGAAAATTTAAAATATTTGTATTTTTTTCCACAATATGTAACAAACAATAAATGTGTAAAGTGTAGACATTTAAGAATGTCTACCAAAGACTTTTGAGCTGAAAAGATCCATGCACCGAACAATTATAATCCCAACATAAACATGCAAAACCACCCCATGAGGTTATTTAGGTAAGAGAAAAAGTCTCAAGACCCCACAACTTTCAGCATGTTATGCACGTCAACTTTTCTGTATGTGATAATAAGCATCACATAATACAAATTAAAAGCTTGGTCATCTTATCATCATTTTACCTGCTTTCTCTATGGAAATAGAAGCATCCAGGGGAATGCACATATCTATAGTCCAAGGAGATGGAATACCACCTGAAAGGGTAGTTCCACAAGTGGTCCAATGCTTTGTATTGGATACAATTTATACAAAATTACTAACTATTGGGGACTATAAAAATAAAACTTCTGAGGTGAATACACAAATGGGGCAAACATATAGCCTCTTATTATATATTTATTATATATTTGTTTTGTCACAAGCCTCTGCTGCCTCTCAAGCCATATTACCAAGTTTGTTCTACTAACTTTTAATAAAGATACACTTTCATGCTTCAGGCAACAAACATTTGAGTTTCACTTCGCTGTTTTACAGGGCACTCAAGCACTGGCGGTTCCCCTGGTAACCAACACCTCAGTCCTGAAGCTGAACCTGCGAGATAATTGGATGGAGGGAATGGGCGGAGCTGCAATAGCCCAAATGCTGAAGGAAAATTGTTACATTACAGGTGGGTTTTGAGCAGACATTCAGGCGTATATTAATTTTCTCTTACTCCCTGTGTCACCTTTGTGTTGGAGGAGTGCCACCTTACTCCCACTCTCATCCCAATTATATTCTACGGCACAAATCTGGACTTTACTTGTCTATTTGGTAAATGGCAGTCCGGCGAGCAGTTCAGGCTACTGGGATCTGTGAGGAATGATTGAAGCACACTCGCTGGCTCATCATGTGTATGCCCTGTGCCACAAGAGTTTGCAATAATCCAATTGTTGTGAATGTTTGCCGAGCTTATTGCCAATTTGTGTGTTCTGACATGTGCAGTGTCTATTAGCTGCCACCCGGGCACGGGTATGGCAGGCCCTTCAGCCGACAACAAAGTCTCAAAAGGTTCCAATTGTGACTGAAAACGCCATGAATATTGAAAGTTGCATGGAACTTTCACAAGTTTGTCTAAAAACTTAGGAGCTTGGCCATACCTAATAGTACAATGAATTAAATGAGCAATCTGCTTCAATAAATAAGCCTTGTTAAACCTGCCATTCAACAACCAACCAGCCAACATGAAAAACTATAATATGGAGTGGACTGGTGTAGATAATTGTATGAAAAAAATGTCAGAAGGTCTAACGATGAATATTTGTATGATATTCAATCTAAATGGTCTTAAAGTAATCATTATATTTACAATAAAACACCTGTCACAGCCTTTGACACACATGTAGCTCCAAAGCACTGATTACAGATGTAAACTACCTTCTAGGGTTTAGTGGTACAAACGTATTACATACAACTATTGATTTTTGTACCTGCTCTTATAAAATAAATGGGTGGTGCTGCTCATAAAGATAAATATGGTCATATTATTATTATATATATACGTATATCAATGATCTCATATGACAATTACTCACCTGCTCTTGTGTCCACATGGTAGAAGTAGATGTGTCTAACAACAGAATGGGAGATGAGGGAGCACGAGCCATGGCCAGTATGTTGAAGGAGAACAGCACTCTGGCTCAGCTCCATTTGTCCAATAACAGCTTCACGGACCACGCTGCTGGGGTCCTCTCTCCAGCTCTGGTCACCAACAGCAAACTGCAGCATCTGGATCTCAGTCATAATTCTCTTGGGGAGGCAGCAGGTGGGTCACACAAGTGGAACAGAAAAGAGAGCACTATGTTAGATCTGCCTCACATAAAAGTTGACCACTTAGTGGGCTAGTGCTTCTTGTGATGCTATAGGAGCTCTGCCGGGAGCATGGTGGCTTTTCAGCAAGAGACAAATATACGTATCATATATATTGTCATCTTTTAAGGCTTAAGTGAAGCATACATTCATACTGCTCATTTCAATTAATTCGTTATCAGAACAATAATCAAATAATAAAGATGGCCTGAATGTATCAGCTATATAACTGCAGGCGGAAGCAGACGGTCGCATTAAAATGCCAACTATATTCTACAGAAATAGCTTATTTTTCCTTTGTAATGACAGTCAGCTCAGAGAAATCACAAACTCAAAATTCACCAAGCATCTGTTGGTCATAATATGAAGAAGTAAGTAGTAGTGTGGAGGAGACAACTATTCAACCATGTGCGGCATGATTCATCTCCATAGAGATGCCAATGTCTATAGCATATGCAAATACCTAAGGACACAAGTAAGTGCCCTCAGTTTTTTTTTAAAGTTTTTTTAATTCACCATCATAAAGTGACAAGCATACAGGAAAAGACAAAACATACAGATTACAGTGATAATACATGTTGATTAAAATACAATAAACAACAAAGGTACAGCTGGGGGAGTTAGGGTAGGGTGTGTTTGTGTGAGTGTGTGCGCTAGTGGGAGATACAAAGCTGGGAAAGGGAGGAGGATATGAGTAGATAATACTAGGGTGTGTGATTAAATAAGTAAAACAAGAGGTCTGACATCTTACTGCCCAACAATATGTAGTTATTATTTATTGTTATTGCTATGACATTCAACAAAACATTCACTAGGACAAATACATGAAAGTGATTGTGGGAGTGACTGATAGTCGCTGAAGCCCCAAGTAAAAACAACTATGCTTCAAATCGACAAGAGGTTTGTTACTTTTGGTTTGGTGCACGTTCAGGTTTACCTTGAGTGGACTCTAAGTTTAGGATCAGTTGCATGTCAGTCACTGCAGAAACTTCAAGCTCAGAGGAAGAGAAACCAGAGTGGGCCAATCATGAGCAAATTTAACACATGGCAGATATATGAAGAGGATAAAAGAAGGGGATTAAGCCAAGGCACCTCCATTCCAAGCGTCTGAATGACTTTGAGGCATAAATAATATAGAGTGTTAAGACGAGAGCCTGTTATGAGAGGTCGTCAAGACTCACTTTCATTTGCCGGTTTTCCCACTGTTGTCATTAGTTACCACTTACCAGTCCCAAATCCAAAAGACGCACATCAAGAATAACACCTGATTTTGTGGCTCAAACAATGTGATACCATGTCTGCTGACTGAAATTTGCATAATTATTTATTATATTTATGGCAGGAGGTGTATTAGTTGAACTTAGATGCAGCCATGTCCTTTACTGAAATTGTGAGTGAACTCTGGGACTGTATGCCTGAAAATCGTCTCAGATTATCCTTATATCTATGGTCTGGGACATAATTTACTATCTCACGACACAAAAACACCTGCAGTCTGTAGCCAGCTTTACTGAGAGTTGTTTGAAGTTCCTTTACCTCTATGACTTGTTTTAGGAATCTATCTTCGAGAAGGACTGTCTGAAAACACAGGGCTGAGAAGTCTGAATCTGGCCTGGAACTGCATTCGGGGAAAAGGAGCCGTGATGTTAGCCAATGGCCTCGCTGTAATGTTTCACAACAACACAACACATTTTCACAAACATTCAAAAATAATCAAAATCAGTTTTAAGTGTTCAACCATGTGCTTAATATTAGTTGTAAATTGGGTACAAAAGTTCTCTTGCCTTTGCAGGTTCTGTAACTTATAATTCATTATAATTCCCTTGCTCTAATTGCACCTAAAATGACAGATAATACAATAGCCATTTTTCTTGTCAAATGTCATCAGTTTCAGAGGATAATCAGACTACTGCCCTTTCTCTTTAGTCTTTTGAATTACTTTCCCTCCTCATATTATGTTATTTCTTTGTCAAGGTGGTTGAGTGTAGTCAAAATCTTACTTCATTTTGTTCCAGGGAAACCTTTTTCTCAGACAAGTCGACTTGTCCTTCAATGGTTTTGGGAAAGAAGGAGCAGTAGCGTTGGGACAGGCACTTAAAGAAAACAATGTTTTGGAGGAGCTCAACATAAGGTTTGTTTACAAATTAGAGTTGCGTGTGCCACTCTCAAAACTATCTGGATTGCATGTATTTGACCCTTAAGCACATTCAAAAGTCCTGAACTCAAAACCAGAATTCAACATAGTCTAAAAACTAACCCACTACACATGTTTGTCTTATAAACTTGAGTTATCTTTATTGGGAAAAAAGCCCAAATCTCTAAGATTTTTTTTCACCCCAGAGATGCACCTCAACAAGTGTAACCTAAGACAACAAAAAGTGTCATTTTATTACATTATTTATTCTTTTTTTGTTTTGTTTGAAAGTCCAGTTGAATATGTTCAAATTCAGAAATACAGACATTTTCTACTGTAACACTTTTTGATTACTTCCATCACACCTCAGTGCTGTTTTTGGTTGTATTTATTTATTTTCATTTTTTGACACAGTAACAACCGTATCCCCCCTAAAGGAGTCATCCGCCTCGCCATGGGCCTCAGAGCAAACAAGACCATCAAATCCCTGAACGTAAGCTGCTCCATGAGATTGGTTCTGGCATCACAAGCAATAGGGAGCATCAGTGCGAAAAATAAGATAAAAATGTACCACCGTATTCTTCTATAATCAATGGCAGCGTGTTCTTGTAAAGGTGTTTTTCCATCAAAACTGTCAACACAAGAGATATTACATTACAGACACAATACTGCTTTTCTCTACACTGAATTTGGAGCATTACTGTGTTCATTTACAGGACTACACTGTGCAGAAAACTGTGAAGGGTTTGGAAAAGAGTTACGGTTTTATAAATAATTATGATGAAAGGAAATGAAACGCAAGTTATAGATTAATTAACCAAATGCATCAGGAAGTCCTTAATTACAGCCACAATACATTACTTTTCTCCATAAATTGTTACATAAAAATAATAAAAATACATTCTAATAAGACAATTGCCACTATCACACTGTGCATACGGTGAATTGTGAAAAGATAGAAATACATACTTACATATAGTTTGGTCAGGTGGGAAGGAACCCTATCCAGAATGCTGGCTGCTATGGACTGCTCAAGTCAATTCGGGACAACAAAGATTCAGCCATGGAACTCTTAGATCTTTCGGTAAAAAAAATAAAAAAACAAGCATTTTTGTTTAATTTCATATTGGTAACATCTATTATGCCTCTTTTCAGGATATTTTTGTAAACCAAGACTTTGAGGAACTTTACAAGTCAATGCAAGATATATTTCCAGATCTTTTAGTCAAACATGGAAGCAAATGTGGTGCTAAAAATGCTGTGTGACTCAGAAATAAATGTACCCTGAAATCAACTCATGCTATTGGATCATTTGCTTGTCAATTTTTTGGAAAAGAAACTGTGGAATTATAGCATATGCTTTTCATCTGAGGATATTTAAACTAGGAATATTGAGAGAGTATTTTTGTTATGATATGATTTGCTGTTACATAATGGCAGTGGGTAGAGTGATGGAGAGGATCAAAGAGCCTCATAACGTGTATGAAAAGAACAGAAAGTGGGTTGCACAAAGAGGATTTAAGTACGTATTGCGTGATCAGCTAATAAAGAAGTGTCATTGTCCTATGGTGGCCAATCTTTCTCTCCAAGTGACCCCTTGAGATAATGGTGCTAACATTCGTTACGGATCCATTTTGGAGTTAGATAAATAATCATACAGCAAAATTACATTCTTACGTCGCGCTTTTCAACATGTTCAAAATTGTTTTGCACATTTTAAGTCTAAATATTTCCAAAAACTGTGTTTTTTGGATCATTGTCAACGACTGTTTTAACTATAATAACTGCACATATATTATTCTTTCTACTGTTGGATTGGTCAATAACAAGGTTTATAAGATGGGTTTTGGGACTTTGTGCTCCTAACTGGGACTTGGCTTGCCCAACCATGATATGTTTTCCTCCAAAATGACACACAATCTTTTAAACTTTAAGAAAAGACTGTGTGTCATAGCTTTAGGAGGAAAAAATCATCATGGTTCAAAATTAAAACACATAAATTGCAAAGTGAAGAAAGGTTTCTCACCCATCTTCTGTACTTCTTAGCAAAAATTAAAATAGCAGCTCTAGCTGGTGATTGCTGTGGCTCTGTCCCTGGACAATCCAACCTCCCATCAATGAATACATCACATGTACATTGCTAATTTAAACCTTGAAACAATGAATTATGTTTGATGAAATAATAAGTAGCGTTAAAACAGGCGTATACAATTGTGTGTGATTGAAATAAAATGTGCTATATGGAGCAAGAGCCGAGGGCTAAACTGTACTGTAGTCACTAAACTCTGAACAAATATGTCATCAAACAAACCGTAGGCCTTTTCTCTTTACTTGAATGCTATCTTATCGTATTTACATACGTACAGTTTGCGTAACGCCCAGCATTCGGTCACGTGCTTGCTGTTTAAATGCGCTCGCGGGCTCTCTCCCTGCTCTCCTCGTGACAGTCTCTATGGTGACGACAGGAGGATTAGCGGCCAAAACATCACTGATAAGACTGTAAACATTAACCCAGACGTGCTCAAAGCGTCCAAACGTGACAATACTTCTGCCTCACACACGGAAACATGGCGGCGGCTTGTTCTGCGAGGTCTGGACGGCTGCGGGCGTTTGTCCAGCGGCATCAGGCTACACGGTGAGTGAACCACCTGAGCGCGGATGTCAGCTTGGTCATTAAGCTAGTCAGGTTAGCTGCTCGCTCTATAGCGTTACTTAACCTTACAGTTTAGAAAGGGTTTCTTGGGGAGTTTGAACAGTCTGAATTATTTTTTTCTTGTCTGACCCAAAGTAACTGTACATGTGTACCCGGAAGTCAGCTGTCCAACAATGTATTTTTGGAACATTACGTGTTATGTTGTTGCATACAATACATAAAGTGCAGTTTGAACATGGTCTGATCTTTACAGCTTTTGGATAAGTGCAGTCATTTGAGTGGAGGTTAGATATATGAAATCTTTAACTGGATATTTAGAGCAGTGGATGTGAATTTTGCCATAATCAAGTTTGTTTTAACTCTGTAGGTAAAATATTGCAGACAGAATATTTTGGTTCATTTATGTGACATAAAATATATTATATATAATATTATATAGCAGCTGTTAATACTTTCCTTGGCAGCATGTGATGTGAGTTTCGACCCTATGTGGAAGTAAGCTCTTAAAAGCAGCTTTAATCATTTGCTGAGCTCTGAACTTTGTCCACACACATCAGTCCACTGTTGTAAGCCAGTCACTACTTATCTTTGCTACCACATTGTACACGCTTTGGCTGTTTTAATCAGAATGGGTTTTGGCCAACAACAAAAAATATATATTTTTTCCCCAGGGTGAAAAAAAAAATCTAATTAGCACTTTCCAATTTGTTATCAGCTCATTATGACATTATTAGAAAGGGTGCCAACGACCTTGAAAGTTTAAAGAAATTACTGCTTCTATAAAAACTGGATAACAGCTGTGTTCATATCCTTGGTTTCACACTCCTGAACAAGGTTTATTAGAAAGTGCAATATTTTCTGAATCCCTATTAAATCACACATGATCAATTTATTTAGACAAATCCAAAATAAAGTTTAATGCAATAATATGTCCAGTATGACTATGTATTATTTTTGTATAGCACAATTCACACACAATGCAATTATAGTACTTACTTACTTACTTACTTACTAGTACAAAAATGAATGCTGTTACAATCTTTCAATAAATACAATTGTTTTCATCCTAGACTTGACCCTTGTCAGAGCAGAGGTCTAGCCTCCACATTGTCAGGAAGTAAATCTGAAGTTTAATCTTGATTCTTGGCCCTAGCAGGAGGCCAGTCCCTGTGCTCCTCAGTATCCCATCAGGAGGTTAGTCCCTGTGCTCCTCAGTGTCCCAGCAGATGGCCAGTCCCTGGGCTCCTTAGTGTTCTCCAAAATATAATTTCTTTAGAAGTTTTGATGGTAGTTTTGTTGTTAATGAAACTTGACCATGATTTTTCAGTAATATACCAGACCACTATGTGTAATATGTGTTGACTTCTATTCCTTGTTGAGTTGTTGTACTCATGCTGTTCCAATTTTAATTCTTGTCTTGGGCTTACAGTTTGTGTTGGGTGACTGATTTGAAGCCAGGGTTACAGACATTCTAACAATATTTCTCAAAGTGCGCAATTTTCCTCTTTATCAGCTCTGGAGTGGGTGAAAGTCTGGCACTCTGGTCTCCCACTCTCTCACTCATACAGTATGCATGCAGTTCATCTTCTAACATTATAGCATGACTATCTCACAACCTATACGTTATGGACATCTTGGGACTCCTTTAAAGTTTTACTCTTGATATATTTAGCACTTGGAATCTTCTTTGAAATGCAAGGTGCAATATAAATGAAACTTGTTATTATTATATTATCAGTATTGTTATTGTTGACCTTCTAATTTTATTTGTTTTGAGCTGCTGTAACAGACGGTTCTCCTTGTTGTTGTGTAGGTGGTTCTCTGAGAATGGCGACAAAGGCTGGTTCCGTTCCTTATTTGTCCACAAAGTAGATGCCAGGAAAGATGCCCACTCCAACCTGCTGTCAAAGAGGGAAACCAGCAACCTGTACAAAATCCAATGTATGTATTTCCTGTTGACACAAACGGTATGTGATTATGCTTTGAATGAATGAATGAATAACACAAACTGTATGCGATTATGTTTCTTATGATAATATAAGATGAGAAATGTACATGTCACATCTGGCATGGTTCAAGTCACTCAAGAAAAAAAAATGTGCAAGAAAGAAGTGTGCAAACATGTTAATCATCAAATACCGTCAAGCCGATGCTTCACAGACAGTTATCGTACTTGGATACACGTTCAGTCATAATCTGAATAATACTCCCAACTGGATTTGAAATGACATCACTATTCAAACAATATGAATTTAGGATTGATTTAAATAAGTACACCACAAGTTTTTATTTATTCAATGACCACACCACTTATCCTAAGCATGCACTTAATGGTAATGACACAAAACGTCACTGTTAAAGCTTAACTGGGGCTACACATAACTATCACTTTTATAATCGATGAATCTTAAGATTATGCTTTAGAATTTTTGGGCCTTGATCTCTTTTTCAAAGCACAAAATATAGGAATTCATAAAGTGTATGGATGTTCATGAATGTATAGTAAATAAAGATAATTGAATTTAAACTGAATCTATAAAATGTTTAATAATTTGGAAAAGTTGGAGGACATTAAAATAGGTAATATTTCCAGACAAATTTGTGCATCATGGATCCAATACGTTGTAATTATTGCAGTGTTCTTACTTTTAAATGTGCAGATGACTCGATATTGATTTGCATCTACTTGGAATAAAGTGTTACCCCTTAGATGTAAATATTATGCTAACAATAGTTTTTTTTCTCTCTCTTCGATGAAACTTGTCAATGTTCACATACCTTACATTCTAATCTAGATTGTAAACCTTTCTTGTTTAACTTTGAACATTTCACACTTTTGGGCTTTTCCTTGAGTGTCTGCAGATTACGTTGTCTTGACGTCTGTACCACTTCTCAGCTTTGATCTTTTCTTGTTGCAAATTCCAAATCATGTAGATGTTTCAATTTGAGCACAGCCTATAAGCTATTGAGTAAAATAGTTAGAATCCTTTTGTTGAACCCGAGTGTGAAATTACTTTGTTGAAGGATGTGAGTGTCTCTCACTTCTCTACATTGTCTGTGTGCCCTTCTTTTCAGTTCATAACGTCAAACCTGAGTGCCTGGAGACGTACAACAGTCTTGAGTAAGTGCTCACAACTAAACTTCACTTCCCATAGAAATGAGTCCATGCACATTTATATTACAGCTGACTTGTAGTGCTTTTATTCATAAAGGAAGGCGGCTGTTCTTGCAGAATCAAATTCAATTGGTGTTAATTTGAGAAACTGAAAAGGAATAAAACGCTGAGAAAATGTGTATTTGGGAACTCTGTTCGGCTGTGCTCTTTCAGAGAAAAGGGAACTTTAATCACAGCTCGTATTTTCAATTGTTGAGCTCAGGAAACTTCTCGTGATCTGAAACCCCCATATTTTTCTTACTAGTGTATAAGGACAGGCCAAACCTCCAAAATGTGCTGTACAGGATCCATAATGATGGATTACTCTCCACCAGAAAATGCATTGCACAATTAATTTATATGAATCTGTATACAATATGAATACATTGATTTTATAGGGCAGAGGTGCAGAATAAGCTCCATCATGATGAGGATTACCCATGTGAGGTGGTGGGGAGTTGGAATACTTGGTATGGAGAGCAAGATCAAGCTGGTAAAAAAATCTATTAATCATGTAAACTTTGTCATTTTCTCAAGTCTTAATAACAGTTGTAAAATCTACTTTTAAATATGTTCTTATAAAAACAATAACAGCACCTATGCGTCATCTCTCAGCTAGCCAACAGCGACATCTGGTGTTCACTTTGTGCAGTGCATCTTTGGCGATACAGAGGAGGGTACCCTGCTTTGACTGAATGCCTTCAAAAGTTGAACAAGAACAAGGCAAGACCTGGCTTGTGTAACTATACATGCTTTGTAGACAGTGGTCATTTTTATGTATGTGCAACTTCTTTAGGAGTATTTGGATTTCCGGAAAGAACGGGCCAAGATGCTGATCTCAAGACGTAATCAGCTTTTATTGGAGTTCAGCTTTTGGAATGAACCCCTATCCCGCCCTGGACCTAACATCTATGAAATGCGTACATATAACTTAAAGGTATTTGTTTTAACCCTTAATCCAGCTTGAACAAAAATTAAGGCAGAAATAATAGAAGTATGTAATTGTTGTCATCTGAAAGAATGACAACAAATATTTGCCAAATATGTTAAATGGAATTTCTTTGGTATAATGGTAACAGGCAATTATGACTCACTCAAATAAATAGAAAAAATAATTTAGATGAGATTTGTATTTGTTTTTAATATTCTATGTGATCTTGATGGTTATTTTTTATGTTCTGTGTAATTCTAATGTGTATGATTTAATGCCTTTAAGGCTGTGTTACCTTGTATAGGAAAAGCTCTACAGATAAAGGTTAATACCAAAAACATCCAACAGGGTCTGAAATCTCACGCCTAATGGCCTTATCTAAAAAATAAAAAATAAATCAGATTTATTTTGGAATTTATATAAAAATACCGTCATTTAGCTGTGTTTTTTTTTTTGGGTCAAATTTGTTTATTTGCAGAAAAAACGGTTAACTTGTCATTATAATAATCATAAACTTCTCTTCCAGCCTGGGACCATGATTGAATGGGGAAACCACTGGTAAGACGTGTGGTATTCATTTTTGTTTAGTTCAGTAATTACTTCCCCACGCTATAAAATGCATACATTTAATCCATATAAACATACACATTAAAATACGCTAACAGTAGCTAAACAAAACTGTGAACTGTAAATTAAGTTGTCATTTATTCAGCTTTTATTGGAGTGGACTACAGGTGTAAATTAGCACTGCTGCTACAACCTGGTACAATGCACCTCTCCTTTTGGCTAATGTTTAATGTACACTGTCCCTGTAAAAATAAAAAAATAAAAAATACCATAAAACCATAGTCTAACCTTTGCTCTCTTTTTTTATGTTTTATTTTTTAAATAACACTGAATGTTTCCTCCAACAGGGCGAGGGCCATCAAACACCGACAGGAGAACAATGAAGCAGTGGGGGGATTCTTCTCTCAGATTGGTGACCTGTATGTCGTTCATCATTTGTGGGGTGAGTTTTAAGAATATTATTGCAAACATGACATTACAAGCTCAATTGAATATTGTACATTCACTAAATGTCTTTTAGCCTATGAAAATTTACAGTCACGTGAAGAAACGAGAAATTCTGCCTGGCAAAAGGAGGGATGGGATGCAAGTGTCTATTATACAGGTGAGAGTACTGTCTGTAATTTCATCAGATATTTAGATGTTTTTGTCATATTTGTTTTGCTTTCTCTTGTTACAGTACCTTTGATTAGAAGTATGGAGTCTAGAATAATGATCCCCACCAAAAGTTCACCTTTGCAATGAGACAAATCTGACAACCCACCACCATTGGCTGCAAATCGACTTAACCATAGAGGAATAATTGAACAACACTCACACAGGTCATTTTATAATAATGTGATGTCACGTTTCAACAAGATTTTATTGTGTCATTAAAAAGGAAAATGTGATATTAAACATTGAAATTAAAAACTATTTGTAAATCCAGGATGTATGTCAAACTTAGGTCAAAGACTAAACAGATGTTTCAGGAAATTACTTTTCATATGTCATAGTTTAAACTAGTTTGTTGAGATTTTTTTTCTAATGTCCTATTGCTTGATTACAAATTATCACTCTAATTACAGTTGAAAAGGGAACTTCATATCTTATTAACATCAAATGCTTTAAACCTTATTTAATCAGCCTTTCTACCTCAGACTTTCACTTTTGTTAATTGGTGCTTATTCAACGCCTATGTTTTCAAAATAAAGTATCACTTAATAGGAGTAAAGTGAGTAAGAGTAACTTTCTTTTACTGTTATAAACATCAATATAAATATACATAGGGTGCATAGACTGAGTGAGTGTGATACGTCAACGGCTGCATGGAATACGACCCACCAAAAATAAAAGTATTTTATTCTGAAGAACCATAACAGAACATGTTTTATATATCTGTTCGATCTTTTTTTTCACGTGTGTACAGTGTGGCTTTAAGACGGGGAGGCGTGTCTGAGCCAGTCCCCTGCCTTGTATGAACAGTATCTTTGGCCCAGCTCGGGTGATGTTCTGTGGTGTCGTTAGGACCCGCATAGGCCACTTCTGACCTGTCGCCACTTACTGTGTCTGAGCAGCCCGAATGGTTCTGTTCGGGTAAAGGAGCTCTGCAGGTCCACGCACTACACCACTGCTGCTGCTGCTGCTGCTGCTGCTGCTGCTCGGGGATCATGGACCTGCACATTCTGGACCACAGACTACGAGTTACCAGCATATCCAAGAACGGGCTGGCGAACTTCACGCACCCCTTGATTAAACTCATATTTCTCCGGAACAGGACACGGTAAGAATGCCCAGTCATTTGTGTAATGTGCGTGAAGGAGGAAAAGCAACATGCACTAATGTCTGACTAAGCGGTTCAGTGGTTTGTGTCTGCACATGCCCAGTGACTCCGCCATGAAAGTGTCCTGTGCATCGAGCTGAACTGTTAACAGGTATGAAATCTGTAGGCCTACGGGTGCTTGTAAACATGTGTTTGCAGAGGTCACATTTAGCTGGCAGTCTACATTGTAGCTGTTGGACCACATCCACTGATTCGTTCTTATTCCCCGATAGTGAGATGCTGCTTTTGTTATGTAATTGTTTATGTGACTGACTAGCCCCGCATAGATGACAGAGGCTGAACATCTGCTTAGCCTTTGCCTCTTCTGCAGGATGAATGGATCAGAGTCGGTTCATTCATTGGACAACAGCTGCTGTATGCAAATGGTCACACACTGTATCATACTATTCAACCTCTGCATGCCGTGATGCAGGCGTTATTCTATAGAGTGGAAAAGAAAATGCATGAAACACGCTGTGATATTATTTACAGTAAAGCATTATGTTATCCCCAAATGTCAGCCACAGTAAGACATTTTGAAGCAAGATAACAATGCCAAACTCCTATTTTCCAAAATGGTCATGAACAGATACCTGCTGGATTGCATTGTAACAAAGCAACTGAGAAGAAACTTATTTTCATCATTTGAGATACCAAACTGCCCAGAAACCTTTTTTAAGTTCTCAAAACCCAACAGTGAAAACGGGGGTTAACTCCACACTTGCAATAGTTTTCTCGGTACCAACTTAAAATGTGTTGAAACCAAAATATTCCACAAGTTACTCACAGCTTTGCTTTTATGACAGAACTAATCTAACAATAAATAGCTTGAGTTTTGGAGATACTAGCCTAATGCTGTGCCTTGTCCATCTGTTGTAAGTGAACTTAATTACAAGGCCCCGACCAATTGGTCAACAAACAACTAATGACCTACTACAGGCCTATGCTTTGTGTGTTAAATTAAACAGGTCAGCTGAACTATGCAACAGTTTCTGACAAATCCCTTGCTCTTCTCTGACCTCAGTGTCATCGTGATTAAGCAACAACATATTCTACTTTACTAGAAATAAGAAAACAATATAAATGTTTGATTTAGAGCATTATTTGAAGCTACATTTAAGGATGTAATAAACCAGTGGAACAAGCAAAACTTTAAATTGATTCAGAGGGGTTCACATTGGCCTCCATCGTTCCTGACACGCATTGGTATTCTGCCGCTGTCCCATGTGCGTTTCCCTTGTTTTTCCCGTTCTTTTTATGTTGCAGGCTTTGCTTATTTTCTCTGTTGGAGCTGTACTCTGAGCACAATGGGGAGTGGCTGAGGCAAACCAAATTCTCTACTCTGAAAACAAACTGCAAAAACAAAGCTGAATACTCAAGTTCTATGCGTCAACTGCAATCTTGGTGTGAATTATAAAATAGATACCAGATCAGCCCCATGCGTAAAACTATACTTTGTGGCTTTAAATGTCCATAAGTGTTTCCTTTTTGCATCTTGTTATGAATGAGAAATCTTATGAATAAACTAACAACTTGTATAAACGCCACTAACCCACTCTTTAGTCGACTAGTGTTTATATGTTGCGATGAAAAGGCCTGCCATCTTTGCAAATACACCAGACAAAGTATCACAAATGATTTGAGTGCAACCAGCTGCATGGGTTTTCTCAGGCTACCATTGACCAGGAAGTAACATTTACTGCATGCAAGCTAGTAATAATTTGTGAGATGCTGCTCGTTCTAAATAGAGAGTATTTATTTACGTTTCTCTGGCTATAATTTGTAACGCTAAAATCATCATGACATCCCGTTCCCTGCTCACTAACGAGTTTAAGAACGGAACAAAACCACGACAGAAGCAGATCCGCAGCAGGGAGCGTTCCGCCTGTCTGCTTCAGTGATCGGTCAAGCTTCCATATGCACCAGTTCACCCAGGGTCATCCTCGCTTCCCGTCCCAGAAACAGGGCACACATGTCAAGGAGGAAAAACAAGCATTGTTTAGTTCTTTATGATTAGAACAGATGAAGTTGTTTTCGGAGTGGGGTGCCCTCTAGAGATGTGTTGAGGTTTCACTCTTGAAAAACATAGGTTCTTTGTGTTCTTATCGTGTTTCCTCAGCTGTGATGTCATTCGTACCTCCTCCTCTTTTTTACATAAACGTGTATACAGTTAAAGATGGTCTTTTCTCCATTTCCTGTCCTCTTATAACTACTACTAACTACTCTTAAAGCTGGGGTACCAAACCTTTCATCTTCATAGTCAATGCATTATGCTCTACAAAACTTTTTCTGTTGTTACAAAGTAAGAATTCTGTGAACAAATCAGACCACAGCCTTCTGTCCTGTTTCGAGAAAACATCATTTTGCAAACTTGTATCAAAGAGCTCTGAGTCAAATATTAAAACTGGTTTGATCTGAACTGCATGGATTTAGTCACATGGTTCTATCTTATGACACTCTACATGTCTGTTTCATACTTTTCATTTTGTACGAGTCCAGAATAGAGACAGGATAAGGCTTTGGGTTCAGTGCTTCCAGGAAAACACTTCCCAGGATCCATGGGCGCGACAGTGGTAGAACACAATGAGCTGGCTCAGCGTGCTCTGCTGCTGGAGCACAAGAGCCTCCGTCTGGATTGTTTAGTCAGCCGTTTGCTCCGACTCAAGAGAGCACATCAGACTGAGTACTTCAGGAAGAGCAGGACAGATCTCCCAAAGACTGATAACTCATGAAATCCATGATCTATGCAATCAGTTCCTAGCACTCAAAACATTAGTTTTCATATGGCTGCATAATTCCACTGAGAAGGTCGTTATAAGGATGTGACAGATGATATCAGTCCAGCCCTCACTCAGCCAATCAGCTCTTGGTATGTAAAGAGTGAAATGTTTTCGAAAAATATATGGTCTGATTTGTTTGTAAAATGTTACTTAAACAAGACTTTCGGTTGTGACAAACCAATTATTTGTAAATTATTCACTTTTTTAGTACATAGGATACACATTTTCTTTTTTTCCTCACGTTAGCTTCTGATGTAATATACTTTATTTGTTCCAGAAATAATCTATTCATTAGTATTTCAAGTTCTTTATTTGAGGCTATTGCTGTACTTTGCCAAATAGGTCTTTGACTCACTCTTTATTCAGCCATTCACAAAGACACCATTCATCGGGGGAAACCATTTAAAACCAAGGCCCAGCTCCAACCCAGAGGAAGCCTCAAACAACATTTCAGACAGAAAAGCATCCAAGAATGAGATATCTTATTGCTTAAATAAGTATTATACCCCTTAAAACTTTTAACATTTTAGCTCTACGGTCACTTGCATACAGATGTTCTGTGAAAGACCAACACATGTTGCAGACATGTATGTAACAGTTTTGGGTTAACAAAGTCTAACTCACAAAGTCTCTTGGTGCTTATCCTGCCATCTCCTGTATCTCTCAGTATCTTGTCTCTTGTTTCAGGTGCAAGTTCTTCAGCCTGACGGAAACCCCAGAAAACTACACTGTTGTACTTGACGAGGAGGGGTTCAAAGGTAAAACACTATATTTATTCCACACTTTTTGACAGCCTTTGTACAAATATTGTCATACTGTTTTTCTCATTTAGATATTCAGAGCCTGTTCCTTAATATCTACAATGCAGTTTAAAATGTTAGTCCTCATCCCCAGGACTTTCTACATCTAAAATGTTTATATGGCCTCTCAGTAAAACACTGGTAAATAGAATTGAGATATTTTGCACTTTCTATGCAGATGTAGTCATCACAAACTGAAACTTTGCTCCAAAACTCTTGGAACTATCTTTTACACAACATTGTTTGTATCCACTCAAGGTTGAAGGTGTCTTCATCAATGTGTGCTTAACACAAGGACTTTCAGAGCGGTCATTTTGACGATTTCCATTCAAAACAATTGAATTCTGAAAAAATCTTTTACCATTACTTACTTATGATAAATGCTCCAACTGCAAAAGCAAAACTAGCTAAAACGGGCTGAAAGGCTAAATGGTAACTGCTGCAAGTAAACCATGTGTTGTATGGTCACTAGCACTTGCTCTGGACCAGACCTAGCGCTTTGGAGAAAAGGGCCATGGCACATTAGTTGCCAATGGCTTCATTTAATTTCATTATAGATACAGAGAAAGTCATGAGGTGCTTCTGTATTGCTTTGATATCAACAATAAAACGTGTGTTCTCTTAAAAAATAGTCGCTCATTTTGCTTCACAGCTGCTTACACCGATCCTCTTCCTTCACAGAACTGCAGCCTTCAGAACATCTCCAGGTTGAGGGTTCAATCTGGCTCCCTCTCAACGTGGTTTCCAATGGCAACGCTTCGAGTAGCTCACAAGCAGTGGGAGTCACCAAAATCGCCAAGTCGGTGATTGCGCCTCTCGCTGAGCAGCATGTCTCGGTCTTCATGCTGTCCACCTATCAGACTGACTTCATCCTGGTGAGGCCTTGCTCAAAAACACAAGAACACAGTTGCGTTTTTGAAAATCTGACCATGAGCTATGTTCCCTTCAAAAACGCAATCGTATCAGGTTTCTCAAACAAGTTGCCCCACCTGATTTGTTCAAATACTTGAACTTAACTTTATTATGCATAATAAAGTTAAGTTAGTATAATGTAATTCCCACTTCTACCAATAGATGGAGGTGTTGACTCAAATAATGAATGCTTTGTTTTGTACTACATGATAAAAATTGACATTTTGATTTAGAAGAAATGTTTGTTCATGTGATAAGGAAATTATTCAATTACAAAAAAGCATTGGCCAAATTGTCTAAATAAACTTCAAACCATGTGAAACTTTAGCACACCAAACTCATCGTTGCACTTTTTTCAAATTGAGAGACTTATACATGCATCAAGAGTTCCGAGCTTCCGGCTCGACCGCACGGCATTGTGGGTAGTTTTCTCAAAAAGATGGGCATCAAATCACGCTGCCATATTGGATTACTTGTTGCGAACGTGATCTCTCTTGTTTCCAGCCCATAGATTGTTTTAAGAGCAAAGGGCTATACAAGAATAAATTGTATTGTATTGTGTAGGAGAAAATCAGGGGTCTAAAACGTGTCCATCCATACAAACAAAACAAAGCGACTTGTCCTTGAAATTTTTAGAATCAAGTGCAATTATAGCTCCATCATTTTATTCTATCTATTCTCTTAAATAATAATCCTGTGTGATTTTTGTGGGCAATCTGAGACAAAAAAAAAAAAAATTGATCTTAACCTATCTGAAAGGTTTACATTGGATAAAATGGATGAATGAAGGGTTAGGGTTAGTGATGCTGTGATGTGTCTGTGTGATACTTATTATGTGCAGGTGAGGGAGCAGGACCTGTCTGTGGTGATCAGCACTCTGGAGGAGGAGTTTCACATGTTTAGGGAGGTGGCTGGAGAGTCCATGCCTGTGCAGTGTCAGGATGTTTCTAACGGTCTCCACAAGAACGGCAAAGAAGGTACGATCCAGCAAGTATAGAATATCTTTACTGTAGATAAAAACATTTTTTGCCTCACTATTACATTAAAAAAAGTCTAAAGACGGTGTTGGGAATCGGCCAAAGTCTGGGATCGTATCTTTAATTCAGACAGAAGACATGTTTTATTGTCAATGGTAGAGACAGCACAAACAAGAGCACGAACAAAATGCAAGTGTATTATACAGCATGGGAATGAACACCGTCCAATCGGCTTTCGCCGTGATGCCAGCAGCTTCAACCTTGAAGTTAACCAAAACAAGGGAAAAGTACCGTCTGCTTGTGCAAATGTTAGAATTTCAGTGTCATGAAATACCTAAATCGGATAAAGAGATATTTAAGAATGTGATCTGATGCATACATTTTTTTTGGTTGAGAAAGCATGGATGGAGGGAGCTGTATTGGGGACAGCATGCCCTAAAGCTATGTGTGTTGTATAACACAGCAATTCACACAGTCAGGTCTGAGAAGTCTAAGTATGATAAAGCCTTTTGAGTTTATTCTTGTCAGCAGCATTGAGTCTAGAATGGTGTCATATATTTAGTATATTTATCATTTTGAATCATAAGTGTCAATGCATGGGTGCCACCTGAAAACCATCTAATGCTGAACATGTTTTTGTCCTCGTATCCAGCCATGCTCACGGTCCATCCTGTGCTTATTCCGCAAAATCAGTTTTGCGTTATGTCTTTGGACCCGGACACTTTGCCGTCAATCGCCACGACCCTGATTGACGTCCTCTTCTACTCTAGCAGGTGAGCACAGCTGCTGCGCTTACCTAACCACACCACAAGGTGGCAGCACACACTCTCAACACAAGTGTGTACTGTTTTTAATGCCATATGTTATTCTAATCTTTGTCAGCCCTAAAGAAGAGGCACAGTCCAATCAGGATTTGGATACCATTAACTTCTTTTCGTTTTCTTTAATCGATGGGTACATTTCGCTTGTGATGGACACAGAAGCTCAGAGACGGTATGTATCTCAATAGGAAATGGTGCACTTTTCTTTTCCAAATAATGAACAGTTTATTTCAAAAACCTGCACACATAATTTTCACAGAAAACAAGACAACAAAAGAAGGCACATACAGGGATTGGAAAGGGGTTGGAGGAAGCAAAACGCAATACTATAAAAAATAAAAATAAAATAAAAACCCTTACGCAATCAATTCATTGTCAAATATGAAAAAATATTGATTCTAATGTATCTGTTTGTTGCATTAAAAAATGTCACTATAGATTCCCTGCAGATCTTCTCTTCACTAGTTCTTCAGGAGAGTTGTGGAGGATGGTGCGCATCGGGGGGCAGCCACTTGGCTTTGGTAAGGAGCTACATGGAAATATTCATGTGCGTATGTTAATCGTTCAGTTTGATATATTATATACAATACAACTGTTGATTCTTAACAAATCCAAACATTGGTCTGATGTGTCTTATTATGTAATGGACACAAATTGATCTGAAATGGTAACTTTAAAGTACACACAATAATATATATTTGTTGATCCTTCAGATGAATGTGGAATAGTTGCTCAGATTTCTCGTCCTCTGGCCGACAGTGACGTCTCAGCGTATTACATCAGCACATTCAGCTTTGACCATGCTCTGGTGAGTCTGACTGATCTACAGGACTAAAGCCTGACGAATGCATCAGGGGTGAATCATGGTCACAGGCAACTCATGATGCTCTTTGGGTTTATGCATTCCTTCATAAAAGCAATAGTGTTCCCCGTAGGAGAAATTCTGGTGACCAGTAGCAGCAGAAACACATGCATTCATACAAATATTATTGAATTGAGGGGCGACAGTGGCTGGTTTGTCGAGCATTGGCCTTGGGTTCAATTCCACCACGAGACCTTCTCCATAAACACCCACTGATGTCTGCTGTCGTGTCCTTGGGCAAGACACTTAACCCCACTTTGCCTGAAGCCCCGCTGAATGATTAAGGCTGTGCTCTCATGACTGAGCATCCATCCTCCTGTGGACTCACCACCTGCAGGAGGATCAGTGAGGGGCTGGAGCTGTGTGGATTGGGTGCAGCTCTGACAGCCCCCTGCCTGATCCGCTTGTTTCAGAGACGAGGCAACCATATGATGTTAGAGTTGGGTATCGGTTGGCCTCCAGTTTACATTGAGACAGAGTTTCAGGGGTGTGACCAGCCTACAGAGTGGAACAGAACAGATACGCTGCTTCACAGCTGTGTGAAGGAAAATGTGTGAATCACAGCTACTGTCAAATGCAGAATGATGTTGGTGCATTCTTTTCATGTCTTTGCAGTAGCCTGAGGAGGATGTTGTTGAAGTGATTAATTGCTGGGGGTCACAAATGTCACGTTATAAAGATCCTTCTAAACTGCTCCTTCTATCTGCAGTGTATCTAAGGCTGTTTTTCCATAGTCACAGCATGGCGCGGCAGAGTGTGGTTGCTGTTCCATTAAAAATGGTACCTCTCCTCAGCGTGGGAGGGTTGTCAGACCACGTCATTTACACGCAACGCATAACTAGTATCATTGGTCTGATGCGTCACTTTTTGTCATTTGAAATGAAACGTTTTTATTTCGAGTTCAATACTCATTTAAAATGTGTGTTGTAAATCTAAGTATCAACTCAAAAAAGGAGTAAGAAGTAAAGTATTATATGATAAAAATCATATGCCTAAACATTTATTTTGCCCTTGTGTTTTGACCAAAAATAAAAACTTTTTGAATGTAGCAAATACTGTCTCCATCCTTGCTCATAAATTTACCAAGATTATACGTATTTACTGACAAATATAATGTATGTAATATAAGTAAAAGTATATGGTAGGGAATCGTAACTTTTGCTTTTGAACCCCTTTTATGCATGTGTACAGACAAATGAATGAAACAAAATCTTGATTTCATCACAGATTTATTAAAACCAAAAGTAAAGTGCAAAACCAACAATTTACATAGTCCAAAGCACGTATGTCTCTGAGACCAGGTGAGGGGACGAGTGGTCATTCATTGCTCGTTGGTATTCTCCTGTGGGAAGGGATTCTCAAACAAATTCACACACGACAACTTAGTACAAGCACAAAACAGAATGGCAAAACATGAAAGAGCAAGATACAGCACACTAGCACGTTTTAGCTTAGCTTGCTATTGATAGCTAAATGTCGCTAGCTCAGTGTCTACAACCATGGATGTATGTCTACAACAGACAATCAAACTTTTACATGAGTGAATACATTTCAGTGAGAGCTTTGGGCCAACGGGATACGTAGCTAACCAGTTATTTCCAGGATTGCCACAGACTAGTCACAAATCAAGAGCTGGGCGATCTCCCTGAAAACCTTCTCGTTGCATGTTGAGCCGCCGAGCTGCCTTTGAATTCTTTCTTCAGCCTAAAAAGAGTAACGTGTGAACCTTGTCGACCGACCATGACGTTGTCTTTAGGGGCTTTCTGTGCGATTCCATTTCTCTTGCGTGAGGATGACGTGTTATAGCAGAGCAGCCAGTTTCAAAGGGTTGGACGTCGCTTCCAGTGACTTGCTGACCAATCAGCAGCAGTCGGCTGACTGTACCCTGATCCCAAGCCCAACCCTAGTGGAAATGCAAAATAACCGCACTGTGCCGTGCTGTACTCTGCCGTGCCGTTCTGTGCCATGCCATACTGTACCTCAACTATGGAAAAGCGGCATTACAACATCCAAACGCCCAAATCCATCCTCAGAAAGTGGCTCAGTATGTAGACCTTGAGCCTGGAGGTCGTGGGTTCGAGCCCACCAAAAGACTTTCTCCACCAACTCCCTCTGATGTCGTTGTGTCCTTGGGCAATACACTTCATCTCTGGGAACACCAGGTGCTACAGTGGGGCCAAACTGCTGAAGCGTCCACATTGCCTAGAATGAGTGTGGTGTGTGTGAATGGTTAGTGGTAGTATGGTGGCCCATACTGGTTGCCTTGCTTCTGTCAGTGTGCCCCAGGGCAGGCAAGGCAGCTGGGGCTCCATACACCACAGCGTATAGAGCAAATTAATAATGACACGTGAAGTGTCTTTGAGTGCCCAAAAAAGCGCAATATAGTAATTGGAATGTTGTGAGAAGGTTCATTGTTTGTTTGTAATACAACTATCTGTAACTAATCTGTTACATATGCAAAACCTTTGGTTAATTATCATGACTTAGAGCTGGTAAGAAAAAACATTCAAAATCTTAGAAGATATTTACCTTATATTGTGAGGAGGGACTAAATTGTGGGCTCACCTGCAGAGGGTGCCTGGGACTTCAGATGGTCTGTCTGGTTCAGTGGATGTCACTATTATGGGGAAGACCGTTGTTCAGAAAACCTTTGTTGACACCCTCCAGAGAAAGCCGTAAAAGCACATCCAGCTTTTTTGCCGTTGCCTCACAGTGCTGTATCAAAGCACATTTATAAAGTTGATGAAATGTAATAGTGTGGGCCCACATTTCTTTTAAAATATAAAAACATTTTAAGTTCATGTAATATTCCAATTCTGTGTAAGTAGTAAACACACACTACTTTGGATGCCGTGAGTCCACATCATATTTGAGTTTAAGTTGTATTGCAGAAATAAATGTCCTGTTTCACAGTTGTAGTGAAACAGGTTGGTATTTAACAGTTGTGATATGTTGGACACTGGTCCCACAGTGGTCTCACTATGCCATAGTAACCGCAAGCTGTATTCAGTTATTCTGAGCACGGTACGTACACTGTTGCAAGTAGGGTGCTGACTTAAGCGACTTTTAAGAGGAGGAAGTGGCTGTCATCATAACATTTTAAAGACTTAAAGTGTCTTTAAGTGATTATTTGTCTCCAACATCCAGGCCATTGTATTGTATTGGTCAACTATTCGAAGATGTGCACAAAAAGTCTCACATGGGGAGTCTAATGCGACCGGTTCGGCACAAATGTTTTTTAAGATAAAATTTCACATTTTTGGGTCCCCCAGGGACCAGAAATGCTAATTTTAGAGTTGAGAAACACAATTCAGAACAGTGATGGAATCTATGATCCTTGCCATGGTGAATAACGCCTTCGTTTGGGATGTTTTTGCTGAGCCCTCAAGGCCCCAGGCTCAGACCTACAGAGCTGAGACTCTCTTCGATAATATTAGGTTATGGTCTGAACATAATGGCGTAAAAATCATATGCCCAATATGAGCTTTTTAGCAGAGTATAATTTCTGAATTTCTGAAAGGCATAAGTCCCATACCTGACTACTGGGGAAACCCCGTTTTCTTTAAATGGGCAATTTTTTTTGTCTGATAAGGCTTGAAATTGATTCACAAATACAACAAATTACCCTGAACACGTCAATATGCAACACACTACTGTGAGTGCAACAGCGCCACCTACATACCGTGTCATTTCACCGTCTGGACGGATTTAAGTTATACAAATCTCTTATCTTAGCTGAAACTCTCATCACAAATAGTTGATTGTGGCCTGAACATAATGGTGTGAAAATACACACCTAAAATGAACTCTAGAGTGCCACCTATGGGAGGCCTTGAACCTAAACATATTCCGATCTGCACTAAAGTTGCAGAGTCAAATCTTGACCGAATGTAATATTTTGCTTGTATGGCTGTGGAGGATGCATGTCCCATGGTTGACCACTAGGGGCGCTCTGAATCCTTAGCTTTTTTGTGCATAATCTTAGTTGGCAAATGCACTCTATGCAGCTTATCGGACTGGTGCCTGGGAGGTGGTTGCCAGAGTGGCGAGGGCTGTAATTATTTTTTGTGTTTTGAAAATTACAAAGTGATTGAAGATGTTTATTTACTTTTATATTCAATCCAGGTCAAACTCTCAATTCACATGTTTATTATTAATCTAAAAGTTTTGTACATTTTGGGTGAGATGATTGTTATTTTTTGTGTGTCTCCTAATCCATCAACTGGGGTTGTGGTTTTTTGACCAATAATTATGTCAACTACTGCCCTAAAATAGATGTTTGACTTTTCCTGCAGGTCCCTGAAGAGGATATCGCAGGCGTTCGAGACATGCTCCATCATCAGCGAAAAGAACAGTCCTCCAGTTGAAGTGGTGGAGACTCTTTTGGCATCTCTGTGCACTCCCAATACTTGAGAGGCTGAGCTAACGTGCCTATTAGAAACTCCAGCTCTGTATTGCAGCTGGCAGTATTAACCGCTCTCAAGCCGCCACGAATGAAGACCTCAGATGTCCTTCCATGCGATGTGTATGTTGGAGTGTAGGGTCGAGTCCAATCGAGATACTATGTGTCTTCATATCCGAAATGCATAAAAAGCACAACAATCTGTCTATAGACAGCTTTTCTAATTATTTCCATTACAGCAGAATCAATGTGCAGACATCTTCCAGTATTGTTACTTTTGAAATCTTTCTGCCATGTCTCTTTATGAAAGAAACTGACTGACTGGTGCAAGTCCACTTTGCCCCTCCCCCAAAACACTTAATTGGGATGCCGTTCAATTGGAACGTGCTTTTATTTTGAAATGTCCCAATTGTAGCAATACAAAGGTCATAAACACTATGTCTTAGTGGATTTTATTATTTGCACATTAACATTTTGATATTTAATAGTTTAAAGGTTTTTATTTGGAACCACTTTTTTTTTTTTTTTTTACTCTTTGAAGAACTTCATTCTGCATTTGTACGTGTTTGCTGCCTTATTCAATAAAGAATACTTAAACATGAATGGAAATCTGTGTGTCAATGCAAATAAACAGCTGACTCCCTTTACTAACCCTTACTCAATTTACTGTAGAAATGAACGGTAGAAAGTTTGAGTTGATGGGTGCTTTCCCTCGGTCTAGTCATCATCTATTAGTCCCAAGAAGTCTGTTGGTGAAGTAACTGGTGTGATGTTAAGGTCATCAGGCGAGCTGATGTGTCACAGTGGGTGGAATAATGATAAAATACTTCCGTAAGAAAGTAATGCTTATAAATATGGCCGTATGGATTTAGACATTTACTGTCACTATGGATTATCAACTGGAGCGGCCACTTCACTTTGCAGGTGAGCAGCTGCATAGCTACTGTTGTCTGTCCTTATTACTTTTGGCCTTGATGCACTGAAGCTTAAATTCTTGTTGATGCTATATTATTTTTCAGGGGTGCTCTTGATACTTGTGATGAATGGGTGCCTAGTGTTTTCTGCACCACGCCAACCAATTACACACCAACAAATTACTCGCCGATTACGCAGTTTGAAATTCTTCATAAACGAGTTATTTCAAGAATATGTAAGTAACTTTCCTACTTTTATTTTGTATTGTTTTCAGAATTTGTACAGAAGTTATACATAGTTTCCCCATGAATGAAAATCAACTTGTTTTGAAATCACCGATCTGAGTAAATTAGTGTGGTTCTCTACATGTGTATTTAATGTATTTTAGATTTAGAAGGGCATGAAACATAAAATAATTTAAATTTGTTTTTGCAGATTGCATTTCATCAAGACAGGAACACTTCAGTTCCTTCAGGGATCCCAGATGTTGACATTTCTGGTGCTACTGTTGAGGAGAGACTGCAGCACATTTACAGCAAGACCATGCTTTTCAGAGCTCATGTTCATCAAGTACAACTCTACCACGAACAGAATTGGAACAACTCCGAGAAACTTGCCACCTGCTTGAACGTCGTCCATGTCCAATGCCGTTATTTCGCCTCAAGTGTCCGTAATCTACTCAGGACTCCTGTGCCCACAGTACCAGCTCTTGAGGTCGGCCCTCACGGTAACAAATTCCAAATCCGAGTGTACGGCTGGGCGGTGCTGCGGCAGCTGCAGGACTGGATCACTGCTGTGGAGACCGTTCTGACCGCTGACCTCCAGGACTCCTGAATGACCTTATCCACCTGGTTCTTGCCTGATTTGATAGTTGATATTTTTTGCTATACAAATGTGTATTTATTTTATTATTTAATCACTTTTTTTATTTTATTTATCATAAAGCTCTTTCCTGGAGTGTTAAACTGAACTGTAAATGAGTTTGGTGTTCATTTTGTTTGACATTCAATTATCTGCAGGTTTGAAATAATCTTGAAATACGCTAGATACACTCGACTCCCAGATCATTTCACAAACTTCATCTTCAGTCTATCACAAAACCACACAAGACACTGACCATCACCAATCCCACACCACCTATCTGAATGCTCTCTCTTCAGATACATTTCCATCACCAAACTTAAATTTCTATCTGTCCAATAAAAAAAAAAAAATGATGATCGTATTAATCACTGTCCTAAATAACACTTGATGGATATAACTTAGGAACTCTTAAGTAGATTCCATTGTTCATTAGGAGCTATTGTGGAGTAGATTTTAGATACAGGAAGAGTGTTTTTGTACCATGAACATAATTTGTGCAGCTCTAATGCATCTTAGTTCTCCTGAAATTATATAATATATATATTAGTTATATATATATATATCTTATATATATATATATATATATATATATATAATATATATATATTATATATTATATTATTATATATATTATATTATATATAATATATATATATAATATATATAATAAGTTCAAGCTGTCCTTTTTCAGAAGGCACTATGTTTTGAAAGTTTGTGTTGTGGACTTAATATTTACAGGAAACAAATTCATACCATGCGGTTATGAATGTGTCAATTTCTTCTTTTCCATTCCATATTTAATGTATAGATAATACCTGTTCTACTCACGCAGAATGTAACTTTTCAAGTGGAAATCTTTTCCCATGTTAATATTTAACCATGTCTCTGATTTCGCAACAAAAATAGATAGTATTTTGAATTGGTTCAAATTATTTTTTATATTAATAGCATGTGAATATTAGACAATATTTGATGCGATCTGGGAAACCCCTTCCGAGTGAATATAAATATAAAATAAGTCGAGTCATTTTTTTGGCTAAATTATGTTCTCATTATTAAATAATTATTCTACAACATCTTGTCTTTAATTCCTGAAAATATCTAGGTGAAATTCACCAGTTTTATACATTAAAAAGGGTGATATGTTTTGATAAACCGAACGTTACGTTACATCCTCCGCTCTGACCCCAGGAGCAGCTGCGGCCGCTTTGTGACAGTTCAGTGAAAGCACTGCAGTCTGTGCTCCGAGTGCGGACCATAGACACGCGGACAGGACCATAGACACGCGGACAGGACCATAGACATGCGGACAGGACCATAGACACGCGGACAGGACCATAGACACGCGGACAGGACCATAGACACGCGGACAGGACCATAGACACGCGGACAGGACCATAGACACGCGGACAGGACCATAGACACGCGGACAGGACCATAGACACGCGGACAGGACCATAGACATGCGGACAGGACCATAGACACGCGAACAGGACCATAGACACGCGGACAGGACCATAGACACGCGGACAGGACCATAGACATGCGGACAGGACCATAGACATGCGGACAGGACCATAGACCTGCGGACAGGACCATAGACACGCGAACAGGACCATAGACATGCGGACAGGACCATAGACATGCGGACAGGACCATAGACACGCGAACAGGACCATAGACACGCGGACAGGACCATAGACACGCGGACAGGACCATAGACACGCGGACAGGACCATAGACATGCGGACAGGACCATAGACATGCAGACAGGACCATAGACACGCGGACAGGACCATAGACACGCGGACAGGACCATAGACACGCGAACAGGACCATAGACACGCGAACAGGACCATAGACATGCGGACAGGACCATAGACACGCGAACAGGACCATAGACATGCGGACAGGACCATAGACACGCGAACAGGACCATAGACACGCGGACAGGACCATAGACATGCGGACAGGACCATAGACACGCGAACAGGACCATAGACACGCGAACAGGACCATAGACATGCGGACAGGACCATAGACACGCGAACAGGACCATAGACATGCGGACAGGACCATAGACACGCGGACAGGACCATAGACATGCGGACAGGACCATAGACACGCGGACAGGACCATAGACATGCGGACAGGACCATAGACATGCGGACAGGACCATAGACACGCGGACAGGACCATAGACACGCGAACAGGACCATAGACATGCGGACAGGACCATAGACACGCGAACAGGACCATAGACACGCGGACAGGACCATAGACATGCGGACAGGACCATAGACATGCGGACAGGACCATAGACACGCGGACAGGACCATAGACACGCGGACAGGACCATAGACACGTGGACAGGACCATAGACACGCGAACAGGACCATAGACACGCGAACAGGACCATAGACACGCGGACAGGACCATAGACACGCGAACAGGACCATAGACACGCGGACAGGACCATAGACACGCGGACAGGACCATAGACACGCGGACAGGACCATAGACACGCGGACAGGACCATAGACATGCGGACAGGACCATAGACATGCGGACAGGACCATAGACACGCGGACAGGACCATAAACATGCGGACAGGACCATAGACATGCGGACAGGACCATAGACACGCAAACAGGACCATAGACATGCGGACAGGACCATAGACACGCGAACAGGACCATAGACATGCGGACAGGACCATAGACACGCGGACAGGACCATAGACACGCGAACAGGACCATAGACATGCGGACAGGACCATAGACACGCGAACAGGACCATAGACACGCGGACAGGACCATAGACATGCGGACAGGACCATAGACATGCGGACAGGACCATAGACATGCGGACAGGACCATAGACATGCGGACAGGACCATAGACATGCGGACAGGACCATAGACATGCGGACAGGACCATAGACATGCGGACAGGACCATAGACACGCGAACAGGACCATAGACACGCGGACAGGACCATAGACACGCGAACAGGACCATAGACACGCGGACAGGACCATAGACACGCGGACAGGACCATAGACACGCGAACAGGACCATAGACACGCGGACAGGACCATAGACATGCGGACAGGACCATAGACATGCGGACAGGACCATAGAATGCGGACAGGACCATAGACATGCGGACAGGACCATAGACATGCGGACAGGACCATAGACACGCGAACAGGACCATAGACACGCGGACAGGACCATAGACACGCGAACAGGACCATAGACACGCGGACAGGACCATAGACACGCGAACAGGACCATAGACATGCGGACAGGACCATAGACACGCGAACAGGACCATAGACACGCGGACAGGACCATAGACATGCGGACAGGACCATAGACATGCGGACAGGACCATAGACATGCGGACAGGACCATAGACATGCGGACAGGACCATAGACATGCGGACAGGACCATAGACACGCGAACAGGACCATAGACACGCGGACAGGACCATAGACACGCGAACAGGACCATAGACACGCGGACAGGACCATAGACACGCGGACAGGACCATAGACACGCGGACAGGACCATAGACACGCGAACAGGACCATAGACACGCGGACAGGACCATAGACACGCGAACAGGACCATAGACACGCGGACAGGACCATAGACACGCGGACAGGACCATAGACATGCGGACAGGACCATAGACATGCGGACAGGACCATAGACATGCGGACAGGACCATAGACATGCGGACAGGACCATAGACATGCGGACAGGACCATAGACATGCGGACAGGACCATAGACATGCGGACAGGACCATAGACATGCGAACAGGACCATAGACACGCGGACAGGACCATAGACACGCGGACAGGACCATAGACACGCGAACAGGACCATAGACACGCGAACAGGACCATAGACCTGCGGACAGGACCATAGACATGCGGACAGGACCATAGACATGCGGACAGGACCATAGACATGCGGACAGGACCATAGACATGCGGACAGGACCATAGACACGCGAACAGGACCATAGACACGCGAACAGGACCATAGACACGCGGACAGGACCATAGACATGCGAACAGGACCATAGACACGCGGACAGGACCATAGACACGCGGACAGGACCATAGACACGCGAACAGGACCATAGACACGCGAACAGGACCACAGACACGCGGACAGGACCACAGACATGCGGACAGGACCATAGACATGCGGACAGGACCATAGACACGCGGACAGGACCATAGACACGCGGACAGGACCATAGACACGCGGACAGGACCATAGACACGCGGACAGGACCATAGACACGCGGACAGGACCATAGACATGCGGACAGGACCATAGACACGCGAACAGGACCATAGACCTGCGGACAGGACCATAGACCTGCGGACAGAACCATAGACACGCGGACAGGACCATAGACACGCGAACAGGACCATAGACACGCGGACAGGACCATAGACACGCGGACAGGACCATAGACACGCGGACAGGACCATAGACACGCGGACAGGACCATAGACATGCGAACAAGACCATAGACATGCGAACAAGACCATAGACAGGCGGACAGGACCATAGACACGCGGACAGGACCATAGACAGGCGGACAGGACCATAGACACGCGAACAGGACCATAGACACGCGAACAGGACCATAGACACGCGGACAGGACCATAGACACGCGAACAGGACCATAGACAGGCGGACAGAACCATAGACACGCGGACAGGACCATAGACACGCGAACAGGACCATAGACACGCGAACAGGACCATAGACACGCGAACAGGACCATAGACAGGCGGACAGAACCATAGACACGCGAACAGGACCATAGACACGCGAACAGGACCACAGACACGCGGACAGGACCATAGACACGCGAACAGGACCCTAGACAGGCGGACAGGACCATAGACACGCGAACAGGACCACAGACACGCGAACAGGACCATAGACACGCGAACAGGACCATAGACACACGAAGAGGACCACAGACACGCGAACAGGACCATAGACACGCGAACAGGACCATAGACACGCGAACAGGACCATAGACACGCGAACAGGACCATAGACAGGCGGACAGGACCATAGACACGCGAACAGGACCACAGACACGCGAACAGGACCATAGACACGCGAACAGGACCATAGACACACGAAGAGGACCACAGACACGCGAACAGGACCATAGACACGCGAACAGGACCACAGACACGCGGACAGGACCATAGACACGCGAACAGGACCATAGACAGGCGGACAGGACCATAGACAGGCGGACAGGACCACAGACACGCGAACAGGACCACAGACACGCGAACAGGACCATAGACACGCGAACAGGACCACAGACACGCGAACAGGACCATAGACACGCGAACAGGACCACAGACACGCGAACAGGACCATAGACACGCGAACAGGACCACAGACACGCGAACAGGACCACAGACACACGAACAGGACCATAGACACGCGAACAGGACCATAGACACGCGAACAGGACCACAGACACGCGAACAGGACCATAGACACGCGAACAGGACCACAGACACGCGAACAGGACCACAGACACGCGAACAGGACCATAGACACGCGAACAGGACCATAGACACGCGAACAGGACCATAGACACGCGAACAGAACCCACCATAGACAAAACCATACGCAGATAGAACCATTGACACATTGACATTCAGACAATCCCCAGCTTGTTGCAAGTGCATGTCTCCCCCATGTCTCCTATGCGCTCACGAAATTAAAGCTCGGGTACCAAATTTTCTCCTTGCATTAAAAATGCTTGGTGGTTGTATATATTTATACTGTGTGATTGGATAGAATAATACTGGCTTTGTCGAATACATATATAATGTTCAGTCACTTATAAAAAGAAAGTAACTAAAAAAGAAGAGTTAGAAAAGTTTCGTAAAACAAATTCAATTAATAGAATTTTTAAATCATTCTTGATTTTCATCTAATTCATGAGTGTTGTGTGTTTAGTTGGTGCCAAAGTAACATTTGTTTATCTTTTACAACATAGTGACTAAAATAAGTGTGTGCCAAAACAGAGTAATTCATATTTAATATGTTATATTTGATTGTGGTGATTCTATTTAGAATGTCTAACTTTAAACCTGTTTTTCTCAGAATTCTGTTTCACAAAACCATGTGAATACCCTGACTTCAGATAATGATAACTTTTGTTACAGACCTGCTATGAAAAAAAGGAAAACAGCCTTGAGATTGAAAGCAGCTCTAAGATGGTGTCAGAATCTTGAGTTGGTCAAATTTCACCATGTGATGGGTTTTCCCAGATCGCATCACATATATCCTTTGTGTTTTGTATTTTATGAGAAATTTTTGCCATATATTCTGTACATATCTTTTGGATAGATCTCATTTAGACCAGCTTGAAATTTGTCAGTGAATGGAAAAGATTAAAGAAAATTAGATCATGTTTTGTTCAGTACTGGTCGGTGAGTCAAGGCCACACAGAAAAAGATGATGAGATGAGGACGATACACACAAATATGCACATTACAAGCAAAATATATTGTGTCAAATACCAAAGAAAGAAAACAATATACATACTAGAAACATTGTTGAATTAGTCTTCATTCCCTAAGTCAAATTTTCATTGAAGGATGTGTAAGTGACAGAAGCTTATCTTCAGCCACGTGACACTCTGTGTATAAAGTCTTTGACTGCGAAGCATCAGATTCAAAATGAATCGTGGAGCAGGTACTTCATTCTTTCTTGTATTACAATTCTGTGTTGAGTTTGTTTCATGTTTATTCTTTGCTTTTGCAGTTATCCAAATGATGTTTTTTTTCTGGATAATAGTCTTGGCACAGATTGTTGATGCCAGACATTTGCTAAAAAGGTTCTCAAATGCTGGTTTAACTTGTAATCCAAAACAGCTGGCTTCTTTGACAAAACGGCAACTGGAACTTGGTTTAATTGATTGACTGCGGAACCTTCCGCAGTCAACCATTGGTTTTGTATTTCTTTATTCCGTCATTTTTTTTGACACGTTTCACAGCTTTCACATTTTCAACAATTTCCACAAGTTATACATCAAAACGTTCCACATGTTTGGGAGATTATTGCTATTACTTTTGGGACTTCAGCGATTTCCGGTTTTTCCGCAATCGGACAAAAATCTGCATTGAGAATTCTGCAATGCATTTTAATAGGCCCATGCATTTTAATAGGACTTCAGCTCTTTCAGACATTTCTACAGTTTCAATGATTCAACAGTTTCAAGGATTCAACAGTTTCAAGGATTTCAGCAGTTTCAAGATTTCAAGAGTTTCAAGGACTTCAACAGTTTCAAGGACTTCAGCAGTTTCAAGGACTTCAGCAGTTTCAAGGACTTCAGCAGTTTCAAGGACTTCAGTGTAATCATGCAACCTAATAGGGATTTTTCCATGTAAACCAGTATAATGCAACTTAATAGGGATTTTTCCATGTAAACCAGTATAATGCAACTTAATAGGGTTTTTTCATGTAAACCAGTATAATGCAACTTAATAGGGTTTTTTTTCATGTAAACCAGTATAATGCAACTTAATGGGGATTTTTCCATGTAAACCAGTATAATGCAACTTAATAGGGGTTTTTACATGTAAACCAGTATAATGCAACTTAATAGGGTTTTTTCCATGTAAACCAGTATAATGCAACTTAATAGGGATTTTTCCATGTAAACCAGTACAATGCAACTTAATAGGGATTTTTCCATGTAAACCAGTATAATGCAACTTAATAGGGTTTTTTTCATGTAAACCAGTATAATGCAACTTAATGGGGATTTTTCCATGTAAACCAGTATTATGCAACTTAATAGGGATTTTTCCATGTAAACCAGTATAATGCAACTTAATAGGGTTTTTTTTCATGTAAACCAGTATAATGCAACTTAATAGGGTTTTTTTCATGTAAACCAGTATAATGCAACTTAATGGGGATTTTTCCATGTAAACCAGTATAATGCAACTTAATAGGTTTTTTTTTTACATATAAACCAGTATAATGGAACTTAATAGGGTTTTTTCCATGTAAACCAGTATAATGCAACTTAATAGGGTTTTTTTCATGTAAACCAGTATAATGCAACTTAATGGGGATTTTTCCATGTAAACCAGTATTATGCAACTTAATAGGGATTTTTCCATGTAAACCAGTATAATGCAACTTAATAGGGTTTTTTCATGTAAACCAGTATAATGCAACTTAATAGGGTTTTTACATGTAAACCAGTATAATGGAACTTAATGGGTTTTTACATGTAAACAAGTATAATGGAACTTAATAGGGGTTTTTACATGTAAACCAGTATAATGCAACTTAATAAGGATTTTTACATGTAAACCACTATAATGTAACCTAATAGGGGTTTTTACATGTAAACCAGTATAAAGCAACTTAATAGGGATTTGTACATGTAAACCAGTATAATGCAACCTAATAGGGATTTTTCCATGTAAACCAGTATAATGCAACCTAATAGGTTGCATTATACCACCAGACCAAGACCCAAACGAAGACTCAGACCACCACCAGATAATGACCACAGACCAGGTTTCCTTAGTTACAGGAACCAAATTGTTTCAGCGGTGAGGGGATTTTTCAGTTTCAAGGACACTTTCAATACATTCAGTAGTTTCAAGGATTTCAACTGTTTAAGAATTTAACCAGTTTCAAGGATATCAGGAGGTTCAAGGATTTCAGGAGTTTCCACACTTTCAACAGTTTCCAGGTTTAAAAAAGTTTCAAGGATTTCAGGAGTTTCAATGTTTCAACAGTTTCAAGGATTTCAGGAGTTTAAAGGTTTCAACAATTTCAAGGACTTCAGGAGTTTCAAATATCTATCAAGTATTTTAACAGTTTCAAGGCCTTTTAAAGGATTTCAAGGATTTTTTTTAGCAGATTTCCACATTAGATCTGTTCCGCAGTCAATCGCAATGGCTTCAGCCATTGCAAGTTTCTAGTTCAGTTTGTAAGTACAGTTTTTTGTCACTAAGGTTCTGTTATGCATTGTTGCATGTTTTTTTAAATTAAATACTGAGTTACTCTGTTTGCAGGATGAAGCCAATGGCAAGCACCTTGGCATCTGGGCGCCCGGTTTTCCTGAGCTCACAGTAAAAAACAACTCTTCTGTTGTTGGGGCCAAAGTGCAGTGCAGCCTGCTGTTCTTAGGACAAGCTCTAGAAGGGGTTCTGAGGGACCAGAGAAATGACCTGAACCCTGAAGATGTATCCCTTCACAGGGTGCTGATGGACTCCATCTCCAGAGTGGAGATGTTGGCTGCCTGTCTGCTCAGTGTCCTGGGAGAGAAGTGCTTTCCTCCCCCAGCTCCCCCCGAGATGCCCCCAAACACCTTTGAGAGGAAGCAGTGGAGCCACACGCTGCTGACAGCAGCCACACACTATCTGCAGTGGCTGCAGCGCAGGCTCCCAAAGACCAACATCTACAGAGGGGACTTCAAGCAAAAAGACATCAAGTGGCAGGCTCTCATTAAAGGAAATGGCTTTCATATTTAAAATGTTCCCATATACTTACTCCACCAGGGACAGGAGTTAAAATTGAGCATTAGCTATAAACTCAGTATGTGTCGCATCAGCTGCATCTTTCCTAATGCTTCTATGTATGACTGCATTGTCCCTGTCAATTAAATAAATAAATCATTCAGTATTTTACCTTAGATAAAATGTTCAATACAAAGTATCCATTTCCTTTGTTCTTTTTGGACTAATCCCAAGTGATAGCAATTAATCAATGTGCCAAATGAGAAGGGCTTCTATTAAGTTTCCTAATTATGCCAGTTTGTTTTCTCAGCCTTCACAATGATTAATTGTTTTACTCTGGCTTCGCTCTCCCCTGTGAGTGTGTTGCCTGAGGTAAGGCAGATAAAATCACCTTTAAAGAAGTCTCTACTTTGGACTCACAATTACTGTACACCGCGTCTGCAGTGGACAGATGGACAACGATAAGTCTGTCAAACTTCAATCTGTGAAAAATGGGATAACGACCAATTTCAAACAAAGATTAATGTGGGCCAAGCTTCATCCTCAAATTAACCAATCAATTCAAATGTAATTGTCTAGTATTGAAAGACAAGACAAACATTTTTGTATGAATTAAGGTTAGCTCCCTCTTGAAAAAGAGATCCAGTTTTTGCTGATGTTTTGTATAGGCCTATACAATGAAGACTTTTTTTTTTTTACATTAAATAACAGTTTAATAATCATGCAGAAACAACAGAAACATTCATTGTTAATTTTCCAAAAAAATAAAGTTAGTCCTTAATGGAATCATCGTTTCCTTGTTCATGAAATGAGCTGCCAGTAATGATCATCATGGATCAATGTGTGAAAATGTTGACGCACTTATGAAGTGTAAATAACGCAAATACTAATGTCCATTTGAGGTCCAGTTGCACGTCCTTGTTTCACAATCTTTCAGTCAAGCCTTCAAATCAGCAAGACTGTGATGAACAGTGGGCAGTAAATGCACCACTGCAGTGCAGTTTCAGACTTAAACCAGGGATACAGAAAAGTCATATAGGTAGCAGCTCTGGGGGGCTTTCTCCATAACAGTACTTGGCTTGAGGGTTTCGATAAGTGTTTTCATGTTGGACACTCTGCAGAGAAAAGAAAAACATAAACATTATTAAATGACATGAAACATGTATATTTCATCTTAATTTGACCATTTGTGGATCAAAAATCATTGTATTGTCATTAGTATTAAACTCATCTATACTTAAGTTTCAAACATACTTGTGAAGAGGTTCTACACTTTGCCAGGCACAATTCAAAGTGGTCTTCCACAGCTGTGAAGAGATTACTGAAGCCTTCTGCTGCTCGGTTCAAGAAGCGCTCGAGGAGAGGTTGCTGTAGAACAGAATATAGATAAGAATTAGGAGGAGAATTTCATCATGTTCTTAGATGTTTGTGATAATTGTCACCTATGAAACAATCTGAATTTACTGAACATCCGTGATGAAGTAGATACCTTATCAGGCTGGAGGCAGCAAGATACACAGTACTCATATATGTTGCAACAGCCATTGGTGAGGCAGCTTTTACAAATGTACTGTCGAGTATTGAGAGCGTTGACATTGCAGCAGCCATTGACCAGCAAATCGTTACGATCACAAACATAACCTGCAGGATAGATTGTTATGGTGTAAGTTATATGGTGCCTATTGCAAAAAGCAAGTACAAAATCAGCCTTACACACCAAGTTCATCTGTGAGTAAAGTTTTGCCCTGGATAGAGTTTCTACACTGATTAATCTGCCTGCTGCTGTTGCCCAGATTGAAGCGTACTTTCCATGGGATGTGGTGGTCTGAATCCCTCACTTCCAAAAGTGTACGATCTCTTACAGTCCTCTCCTCCTGAAACAACGTCATGAAAGATGATAATGATGTTGATCAATTTAGGATAAATACAGACGCATTTGTTGATTTAGAAAAGATTAATCAGACCGTTGGGAAATGTCAGTGTTGCAGAAAGTGGGATACAAAGACTTGTAATGAGAGCACTATGCAACATTAAGCTGCAAATCTTTAGCTGAAGTAAAACTTATTACACAATGTAAATACATATGTAAGTAACCATTTTTACTCAAATACTGTACTTGAGTAGTTTTTATTTTTTTCTGGAATCAGTACTTTACTGACAACTTTTTGCTTTACTTTTACTTTCAAACAGCAGGGTAGCAGTCTGAGCAGAGACACCTACACTTCCCTAACAACACACACTTCCAGCTAATTCGAGCTAATCCTAAGGCGTTCCCAGGCCAGCCGAGAGACTTGGTCCCTCACATGTATGTTGGGTCTTCCCCAAGGTCTCCTCCTGGCAGGACAGGCCCCGGAACATCTCTCCAGGGAGGCGAGCCATCTGAAACAGATGCTAAAGCCACCTTAACTAGCTCCTCTTGACATGGAAAAGCAGGGGCTCTATTCAGAGTTCCTCCTGTGTGACTGAGCTCCTCACCCTGTGTGTAAAGGGGCGCCCAGCCATTCTGCTGCGGGTACTCATTTCAACTGTTTGCATCCACTATCCCATCCTTACGGTCATCACTCAAAGCTCATCCATCTTAAGTTCTGCCTGTTTTGTTCATTGCCATATTCTCTATTAGTATGCAAGATTAAAGGCAATGGTTAAACTGTCTCAAATATATAGTTTGTCAATTATTCAACAAAACTACATTTAATTACAGAGAAGACAAGGGAGTACTCGTTTGTGTAGAAACAGCACATGAAGTGAACGTCAATGGAGTGCACATTATATGTATTTTTACCTGCTTAAATGTGCTGGTGATAAAATAGATGAGAGACAACCCAAAGACCACACCTAGCACCCAGCGCTTCCTCAATAGGCGTCGGAGCACCATCATCATACGGCCTTTTAATACAGGATTGAGTAACTTGTATTGTGGACTTTTCTAACAGCTACGGGAGCTGCAAGGACTCATTGATCTGAAGTACAGAACTCGCAATAGTGAAATGCTAACAGGGTGCAATGCTAGCGCTGCTGTGTCCCACTAACTAATGTCCTTGAAGTTATCCCATGATAACGAATACAGAACCATCGATAACATAAAAAGGGGAAAAAAGACAGTAAAGTAGTCCTTATCTTGTGTGCGAGCCTGCAGATGCTAACATGGATTAGCTTTGTTAGCTCGGTTGCTCGGTATCGTCAAAATGTTCGCAAGCTACGCCGTGTTACTTCACCATACTGTAAAACACATGCATAAAGGAGCAAAGTCAAATCCCGGTGCACAATATATGTAATAATGTCCAGCATACTTTGACAACTAAAAACCGCAAAACAAATATCCAACTTGCGGAAATGCTATCGCGGAAAGAGTCAGGTGATTGGACGAATACGAATCACATGTCCCGCCCTCCCGGAAGTGGTTGAGTGAGGGATACAGGATCACAGCATCCGAAAGAAAAGCATCTCCATCATCAAAGACAGCTGTGCCACAATGACCAGCTACACACACATGATATATATTCAGGTAAATGAATATAATGTATGTTTTTTTATTTATTTGCAATATTTTATCTAACGTGCATCCGATATATAATTCGTATTGTCGATCGTATTGTTGCCTTCAGAGGTGGGCCATGTGACAGGTGGTGTGCAATGCAGAGGAGACATAGCAGCAACACGGATGGCATGCCCTCTGAAAGGTGGGCGCAGATATCATATAGACTTTCTGTTCTGACTACAGACCACCATTGACTCTGTTTCTATGGCAGCATGTATGCGATCTGGTCTGTAGATGTGAGGATTGAAGTAGCTGGTTGAATGGATGTATAATCTGTTTTCATGAAGTGCACTTCGATAAGAAATGTTGTTGTTTCACAGGAGCCGTAGCCAAACTCTGGGGTCTGAAAACAGCCTGGATGAGGGTGGTGTGTTTGACTGTTTAAAACCGGATTCACCCACCTCACACCAACAGATCTTCTCTGGCCTGGTGGGCGTTCCCTCTGGTTCTGTGTCCTCCGCTCAGTTTCAGGCCGCTGGCTTAGTCCTGGGCTCCCCTCCTGACGTTTTTATTCAGATGACCACCTCCTCCAGGGAAGAATCGGGTCCTCATCGCAGCGAGGTTGGGCCTTTCCTCCCTCGTCCTGCTCAGCATCACCACCACCATTCTCATCACCACTTCCACCATCAGCCCCTGCAGCACCGTGCTCCCTCTCTGCTCCAACAGGCCACTACAGCAGCTGGCTCTGAGAGGCATGGCTCCAGGGAGGACTCACAGGAGGACCAGGCCACTCCAGCTCCAGCATTGTCTGAGCTGAAGGCAGTGGTCACCTGGCTGCAGCGAGGCTTCCCCTTTATCCTCATCCTGCTGGCTAAAGTCTGCTTTCAACACAAGCTAGGTGTATATTTTGTATCAAGAAAAAAAAAGTTCTCAACTAATTAACAGTTCTCAACACTTTTCTCTCTCCTTAGGTTTAGCTGTCTGTGTGGGGATGGCTTGTACTTTTGCATATGCCAACTCATCATTAAAGCACCAAGTGGCATTAAGGGTAAAGTAAATTCAACATTATTTATTGTATGTTTTATTTCTTACAATGATGGCTAAATGCCGTTATCTGCGGAAACTAACTTTTAAATAATGAAAAATCTAAGTTATGAAATCCAAAACGTCAAATTGTAGTAAAAGTATGCCACATGTAAACTGTTTTGTTGTAAGATGAAGACAGCATGCTGTGGTCTCCTTTGTTCACAACATTTTTCTTTCCTAAGACAATCAACATGTAAAAAGGGGAGGACTGAAAAAATTGGTTACATATATTGTTGTATTGAGTGTAATTATTACAATTGACACAGTTATGACTTATTATGCATCTCTGTTACTAGGAGCACCGGTCTCTGCTCGTTGCTTTGTGGATCCTGCTGTTTCTCTCTGGAAATATTGTCTATATCTACTACACATTCCGCAATGAAGAGCTTCAGAACAGGTACATTATGGTACCCATTTACACATGAACTACACCTCCTCACTTTCTTGATAAGATGTCATTAAGAAATTTAATTGTGAGACTTTCCTTTTTGTGTTTTTATTTATTATCTTATTGTGGCATTGTGTAGTTTCCTGATTTTGTATCATTACATTACTTACTGCACACTAAATGATTCCTACCTGTTTCTTTCTAGCCTCATGTTTGCCAAACCAAACCTTGACAGTTTTGACTTCTTTGATCTCATTTGGATCGTGGGCATCACAGATTTTGTCCTCAAATACTTCACCATTGGTCTGAAGTGTTTTGTCCTTTTCCTTCCGAAGATTATCCTGGCGTTCAAATCAAGGGTAAGAAATGTTCACCTCCAGCACCACCACTACCACTAAAAGAGTCCCTCTTTTATCGCGGGAGATATCTTCAAAACATTTGAACCACCTGAACTCACAACTCTTATGCTCCTGCAGCTGTCAAATGCTGGGCATACACTGTAAGAGACAGCTGCACAGGACATTGAGGGCTACAGAAAGTCTGTCTGAACTAATCACACAATCAGTGCACACGAGCAACACAAGCACGTTTTCTTCTGACTTTAAAAAAGATAAATGTCATGTTATACTAGTGGTTATGCTGTTTTATATGATGGAGCATACATGATGGAGCATACATGATGGAGCATACATGATGGAGCATACATGATGGAGCATACATGATGGAGCATACATGATGGAGCATACATGATGGAGCATACATGATGGAGCATACATGATGGAGCATACATGATGGAGCATACATGATGGAGCATACATGATGGAGCATACATGATGGAGCATACATGATGGAGCATACATGATGGAGCATACATGATGGACCATACATGATGGAGCATACATGATGGAGCATACATGATGGAGCATACATGATGGACCATACATGATGGAGCATACATGATGGAGCATACATGATGGAGCATACATGATGGAGCATACATGATGGAGCATACATGATGGAGCATACATGATGGAGCATACATGATGGAGCATACATGATGGAGCATACATGATGGAGCATACATGATGGAGCATACATGATGGAGCATACATGATGGAGCATACATGATGGAGCATACATGATGGAGCATACATGATGGAGCATACATGATGGAGCATACATGATGGAGCATACATGATGGAGCATACATGATGGAGCATACATGATGGAGCATACATGATGGAGCATACATGATGGAGTATACATGATGGAGCATACATGATGGAGTATACATGATGGAGCATACATGATGGAGCATACATGATGGAGTATACATGATGGAGTATACATGATGGAGCATACATGATGGAGCATACATGATGGAGCATACATGATGGAGCATACATGATGGAGCATACATGATGGAGCATACATGATGGAGCATACATGATGGAGCATACATGATGGAGCATACATGATGGAGCATACATGATGGAGCATACATGATGGAGCATACATGATGGAGCATACATGATGGAGCATACATGATGGAGCATACATGATGGAGCATACATGATGGAGCATACATGATGGAGCATACATGATGGAGCATACATGATGGAGCATACATGATGGAGCATACATGATGGAGCATACATGATGGAGCATACATGATGGAGCATACATGATGGAGCATACATGATGGAGCATACATGATGGAGCATACATGATGGAGCATACATGATGATACATGAGGAGCATACATGATGGAGCATACATGATGGAGCATACATGATGGAGCATACATGATGGAGCATACATGATGGAGCATACATGATGGAGCATACATGATGGAGCATACATGATGGAGCATACATGATGGAGCATACATGATGGAGCATACATGATGGATACATGATGATACATGATGGAGCATACATGATGGAGCATACATGATGGAGCATACATGATGGAGCATACATGATGGAGTATACATGATGGAGCATACATGATGGAGTATACATGATGGAGCATACATGATGGAGCATACATGATGGAGTATACATGATGGAGTATACATGATGGAGCATACATGATGGAGCATACATGATGGAGCATACATGATGGAGCATACATGATGGAGCATACATGATGGAGCATACATGATGGAGCATACATGATGGAGTATACATGATGGAGCATACATGATGGAGCATACATGATGGAGCATACATGATGGAGCATACATGATGGAGCATACATGATGGAGCATACATGATGGAGCATACATGATGGAGCATACATGATGGAGCATACATGATGGAGCATACATGATGGAGCATACATGATGGAGCATACATGATGGAGTATACATGATGGAGCATACATGATGGAGCATACATGATGGAGTATACATGATGGAGTATACATGATGGAGCATACATGATGGAGCATACATGATGGAGCATACATGATGGAGCATACATGATGGAGCATACATGATGGAGTATACATGATGGAGCATACATGATGGAGCATACATGATGGAGCATACATGATGGAGCATACATGATGGAGCATACATGATGGAGCATACATGATGGAGCATACATGATGGAGCATACATGATGGAGTATACATTTTGAGAGGCCCACACCAAACACTTCCAAACACTACACATATTCCATCTCGACGTAAAACGATTAATCGAGTTAATCAATTTATTCAATTGAAACACAACTGCATTACCTCTTTTATTATTATTTTATTTTTTTAATAGTTACTTCAACTTCAATGTGAAACTGCAGAACACAAAGTGCCCAGAAATAAAATACGTCACTTGTTTCTCACAGAGCTGTTTCTGTGTGGCTCTGCTCCACACTGAAGGCGACATACACACTTTAGTAGGAGATTAAAATGCTGTAAATGTTTTGACTATGAATTATAATATTTTCTTAAACCACAAAAATTGCATTTAAGGATGCTTGATGAATCCGTTGTAATAATTGATGGATTACTCAAGAAGTAATTTAAATCAATACTTATTATAGCCAGAGTTGTATATTTTTTAATTCATTATCAAAAGTCATTATTTGTGTTTCTTTTTGTCTTCTATTAGATTGTTTCTTTTATCTCAATGATGGGAATAAACTCATGAGTGAGAACTTGTTAACACAGTTTTAGCCTTAAAGCTAGGGAATGAGAAAATAGAAATGAAAAGAGGAGATTATCCATCCAAGCACAACCCTAAAATGGCATTTCAATCATTCACAATCTGCTCTCAGACAAACCTCATGTTGTGATTCACATGGAAAAAGTTTAAACGTTTTCTGTTCTTCATTCAAGTCAATGTACAGCTGACTCATTGCAGTCGAAGAATTCAGAAAGAAAAAAGCCCACTACATGCTGTCTTCATCTGATAAGAACACATGTTGTCTTGTGGAAGCTAGTGAGAAAGATCCCTGTGGGTCACTATTTGACCATTTGGGCTGAGAGCTGTTCGTCTGAGGGAGGGTTGTCTTCTCTTCTTCAAAAGCTGATGTAATGATGTGACAGAGGTCAAAAATACATGCATGTGAAGAAATGGAATCAACCCGTGACAAACAAGTTATATGGATTTTATTGCTGACACTGCAAAAAGTCCCTTGCTAGAAATGAGAAAAAAAGAAGACATTTCTTGTTTTTAAGATTATTTTTCCTAATCAATAATTGGGATTGAACAAGAACATAATTCTTAATTCAAGCAATTTTATTACATTTATTCCAGATCTAAGCAAAATAGCAGAATAGAGGAAATAACGCTTTAAGAAATTGAAAATTAAGGATTTATCTCTTTTCAGACTGATTTTAAGCAAAATAATTTAAGCAATATATTCTTTATAAAGGTATAATTTATAGAACTTTTTCCTTGTTTTTTGCAATTAGTATAGAGTTATACACTCAAAATGCAGTCAGTTTGCATGATAATTGAAAATAAAACAATTCTGAAATAAAACCAAATTCTCTTAAAGTAGTAATATGTAAGATTTTCATGTCCAGTCACCATTCAATGGCCCTAATACGTCAAAGGGCATTAATAAACCATGCTCTTTTCGAGTACTTCTTTAACTGATGAAAGGAGTTCAGCCGAGATATTTGATTTTTACCAATCAGAAAGTCTGTGATCTATGTTGCTAGAACTCACCGCGTTGAGCTAATCTCACTGGTGAACATGTGGCCGCAGAACTAATAAGGTCTCGTTATGAGTCTCAAATCATTAATGAAAAAACAAGGAACAAGAATTTCTATGAGGGATGCCTTTGTGAAAAAGGTGGTTATAGATTTGTTGTTGACAAAACTCTTATCTATTCAGCTAATATGGTCCCAGCTGGATTCGTCTGCATATCTGGCAACCTGAGTCAGGGAGAGTGGGAGAGGTTGCAGTACCACTTTTGGCCAGAATTCTATTTATTGCTCCTTTAACATTGGATTTATTAACCAATCCGTGAACATGCATGGCAGAAATCACTGTGGTGTACATTCATTTTCTTTTAGATGAAGGTGAAAAATACCAAACTGAGAAACTCTAGCTGCAATCCAATAACGCTGCAATTGTTTGTGGTTTGAACGTTAGGGACTCCTGCTTTAGGTAAAAAGTCCCATATCTTGGCCTGAACTAAATACACACAACATCGTCAGCGCTGGATATTCATGTGAAATAGCGAATGAAAACTTCCACAGTGGGGAACGTGCTGCAGGCTGCCAGTGTGTGGCTGCTCTGTATTCATAAGGTCTTGGGTGAAAATGCACCCTCAGGCAAAACGATACGACGCTCACTGGAATAGACATGTGCTGCTTGCTCTCGCATTCACCCAGTTTGTGTGCACGCCAGAAAGGACACACAAATTATTAGGATGACATTTTCCACTGATATACGTAGCTACTGGGTTATCAGAACACAGCAGCCAACAACTGAGATCATTTGGCCTCTGGGGGTTAGCAGGAGTGAGGTCATCCCCCCACGGACCTGAATCATTACCTGTTCACTCCATTCACAACAAAAACATATACATGCCGCGTCAACTGTCCGCGTTCTGCTTTACTTAAGATGTGCCCGTTTCGGTCAGTGGTCACCAAGGTTTGCTGTGAGGAGGAGTGAAGTGGGGAGTTGTATCATGGATAAAAAAACGTGTAGCATACCTGGAGTTGTAAAAGAAAAAAAAATTATGCTTGCCATTTTCGACGAATTGACGAGTTAGATAGCACTTATTATATAACATACAAACTAAATACTTGTATTAAAACAGTAGTAACATTTTTGAAATAATTCCCTTGCTTAGGTCAAAGCTCTTTTATATAATTAACTATAAAAGTAAACTGTATTTTTCTTGATTAATTGATGGAAAATACATTTTGAAAACAACATTATCTGTAGAAATGTTTAATAAAAACAACAAACAAAACATGTTGAAGCTGAATGTTTATCTGAAGCACATCAAGAAAGGTCCTGGGTTCGATTCCACCCCCAGATGTCTTTCAGAATGGACTTTGCATGTTCTCCCAATGTCTGTGTAGGATTCTGCCGGGTGCTCCGGCTTTCCCTACCACAACAGGTAAAAGCTGAGCATTAACATGTGGAGAAGGGTCCCTGGACGCTGCTCTGTGGTGAATGACCGAGGCTCTAGTGGCACCTCGGGATGGGTCAAAGGCAGAGGAAAATTTGCCCCACATGCATAAATAAAGTCTGTAACCCTAAGTGTGGCTAACCACAATTAATGAATTCACTTAGAAGTATGGTTAACCACTTCATATCTATTTTTATACATCTGCAAAGGAACTTTTTGTTTTGAAATGTAAGAAGTAAAAGTAAAGAGGAGAAAAAAATACAATGCTTGTTATCTGCCACCTCTGAGTCTTTATATAATGTTCTCTACATTTAAACTACAGTATCAAAGTGAGAGCAAAGCAGTTAATTCAGTAAATGTGTTAACACATCAAATATCCCAGATAGGGCCCACAATGAACCTTAATTCAACTTCTTGGCCTCTGTCCAAAGCTTAGATTTGACAGTTTTTGCGTAGGCGAGATGGGCACAGTGGGATACCAAGCTGAGGGGACAATACAGGAGATGAATTAACTGCTAGCAGAGCCCATCTTCCTCCACCAACAGACTGCTCACGGCTCTTCACCTCTAATCATCAATCTCTGTCAAAAACATTACAGGAAGTCATTACACAAACTGGGGTGCCACAGGGGCCATCAGTGAATCATGATTTAACTTTAGTCTAAACAAGAATGTTCTGTTTGAAGCTGTCAGGGCCTTTTTAACAGTTAATGGCAGCAATATTTCAGTCATTATTGATCTTTTGAGAACAGGTATACAGGTTATAAAATATAAAATAGATAATTCAGTATCTATTGGGATTGTTTTGGTGTCACACAAGACAAGTGCAGTTTTTAGTTATTACTACTACTACTACTACTACTACTGCTACAGCTACTACAGCTGCTGCTACTACTCTTACTACTACTGCTACTACTCCTACTCCTACTACTCCTACTGCTATTGCTTCTGCTTCTGCTACTCCTACTACTACTACTGCTACAGCTACTACAGCTGCTGCTACTACTCTTACTACTACTGCTACCACTCCTACTCCTACTACTCCTACTGCTATTGCTACTGCTTCTGCTACTGCTACTTCTACTACTGCTGCTACTACTACTACTGCTACTACTCCTACTCCTACTCCTACTGCTACTACTACTGCTGCTACTACTACTACTGCTACTACTCCTACTCCTACTCCTACTGCTACTACTACTACTACTAATACTAATACTACTCCTACTCCTCCTCCTACTGTACTACTACTACTACTACTAGACGTCGTACCCTCCCCAGAAATGTTGTGTGGTGCCTCTTACAAGCAAGTTATTAAAAATTCTTGCACACTTATTGTGTAACAAAATATACCACAGGCTTGAACCATCGAACTCAAGCCGATACCGGAGTTGAAACGTTTTTTTGTGTGTCTGATTACGGAGGGCATTGCAGGTCCTCTCGAGCCACTGCGGAGCCCCCCGTAGGGCTCGGCTTAATGCAGGCGCAGGGTAGCAGGTGGAGAGAGCGGCTGCCAGTTTCCAGAGCTGTGTGGGGAAATTGCCTGTACTGTTGTGAAACTGTGGCGCTCTGGACCGCCGCCATGTTTGGGCTGGAGGCGTGCTGTTTTTTAAGCTTTTAATACCACACTGCACTTGATGTGATAGAAAAGTGCCCTGAAGCTATCCAGTCTTTCCTGTATTTTATCAAGGATTAAAAAAATGAATTTGTTTTGTGAGGTTTATATTAGAATTCTTAAGTATTTTTTGTTCAATAAATAAATGCCAGCTTAAGATTTATTTGGTGAATGTTTGCTTGGCTTTCCCTTGAATGATTAAGTATGTTTTTTTGTTTTTTGTTTTTTTTTACAGGGAAAGTGCTACCTGCTGATTGAAGAGCTGAGCCAGTTGTTCCGGACTCTGGTACCCATCCAGCTTTGGTACAAATACATCATGGGAGAGGACACTTCCAGCAGCTACTTTCTTGGGGCCGCACTCATCATAATCTACAGCCTGTGCAAGGTGACTATTATTGTCCAATCACTCGACAATAAACTCCATAATACAACATGGCGTCCATACAAACAAAAACCAAAAAAATCCTTATTTAAGAACATAAATAGTTATAGTTATGCTTGAAAGTTTACACACTCAGGAAATTATGTTGATTTTTTTGCCCATATTTCTGAAATTATGAATTTTGTGGCAAAAACTTTTTTTCACTTATTGTTGGGGTTGTGGTTGGTTGTATTTTCAAATTACAGTATAATGAGAATTCTGACCATGTTTAGAAGTTTAATTCCCGATCGAGTTCTGAATAGTATGTACTGGTCCTTGTGATAGTTGTGGATGAGGTCATTTGTTGTAGGAAGCGGAAGTAGCGATTGCACATTTATTTAGTCGGGGAAAAACCCTATGAAAGATGCATCATTGTAGTTCTACAATATGTAATTCTTTCTTAATTTTCACCAATTGTTTTTCTTTTGAAAAAAACAACAAATAAATGAAGAAACAAAATTAATACTGACTTAAGTGTGTTCACCAGTACTGCATGTCATTTTGCTGATACTGTTGGTGTTGTGGACACGGGCTGTGGACAGTTCCATTTAAACATGTTCACAAGAGCTACTTATCTGGCTATAGCAGATTTTGGGTTATGGACTAAAGTAGTAAGTAATCTTTATTTATATACCGCCTTTTCACTGCACATCGGAGTCTCAAAGCGGTTTTACAATTGTGATTTTTGGGAGTGGGGGTGCCAGTACAGGAGGCACATGGCAGACCTATTGTACATATTTTTAGTGGTAGGAAACCTACGCAGACACGGGGAGAACATGCAAACTCCACTCAGAAAGGCCCTGGTCCAACCGGGATTCGAACCCAGGACCTTCTTGCTGAGAGGCGAGAGTGCTATCCACTCAGCCACCGTGCCGCCCCCATGCCGTCTCTTTATGCTGCCACTAAAGAGACTATTTCTAAAGTTTTTTGTGTTTTTCCTACTTTAGTCAATATATAGGGGGCAACAGTGGCTCAGTTGACAGAGCATTGGCCTTTGAGCCTGAAGGTCATGGGTTCAAGCCCACCATAAGACCTACTTCACGACTCCCACTGATGACTGCTGTTGTTGTGTCCTTGGGCAAGACACTTAACCCCACTTTGCCTAAAGCCCCCGCTGAAAGATCTCAGCTCCTGTGGACTCACCACCTGCAGGAGGATCTGTGAGGGGCTGGTGCTAAATGTACTGGGTGCAGCTCTGACTGCCACCCCCCCAACCCTGAAATGGATTAAGAGGAAGAAAAAATGGATGGATGGATGGATAGTCTATATTTGAGTACATCTAAGCCAGGGGTGCTCAATACGTCGATCTACCAGTCGATCGCAAAGGTAGTATTGGTAGATCGCATTACATTAAAAAATAATATCTGTTTATTGCATTTGTGTGTAGACAGAGATAACCGGAGTTTTGCGTTTTCGCACGTCACAGTATGACAACAACAAACAAAACGTCCAACCTCTGATCACTGAAGAAGCATGGATCTTACTGCCTTAAAAAGTGTTTGCTGCTGTGAGTGGTTCGCAGCAGTGAACATCCTCGCTCCACATCAGAGAGCAAAGTGATCAGGCTCGCTCGAAAACAACCAAAACAGGAGCTAAACAAGGAACAAACCAGGGCTGAGGACGGGGGTCAGTGCTTGTAAACATATGTCTTCATCCTGAGTTTCAACTATGACTGTAGTACCGCTACAGAAGTACCTGCGTCAGCATTAAAGCTCTGGTTTTTTCCCCAATGCAGGACAGGACGTCAGAGGACGCACATGTCTGGAATGTTATGAATGTCATTGAAAATGCCGACGTCCAGTTATGTGTGGATGCAAATTATTTCATAAATCATGCGTTTTTGCATGTGCATCAACATAGATTGCAGATGCAAAGAATCCTCAGTATATTTAGAAATAAATATATGTTTTGCATTTTTGTAGTAGGTAGATCATTTTGACTTGACCATTAGCTCGCATGCTGAAAAAGTGTGAGCACCCCTGGTCTAAGCAGTTTAACAACTTTGTGTCCTATATTCAGTCTAACTTTCTCCTCTGTAATTAAAGTTCATATTTTTTGTTTGTTTTTTACATGTGGAAATATTATCACTTGTCCTTGAACTTGTTCCATGAATCATACAAGTTGAAAGGAGAAGTTGACAAATTGAAACGTTAAAAATGTTAGACTGAGATGTGGAAAGCTGACAAGGTGAAAACCAAATAAGTTACTCATCAAAATTCATGTAATCGTGAGTGACAACATTAATAGGAAATTGTGGGAGGGCACTATTTATCTTTTGACAAACAACACAGGATGTGATCTTATAGTCATCTGATTGATTCAGATAAAACTGTGGTAATTAAGACATTTGTATTAGTAATATTGTACTATTTCTGTCATTCATTTATTTAATCATATTTGATAGATTTATATTCTGTTTTTCAGTCCTTTGACATCTGTGGTCGGGTTTCAGCCATACGCAAGGCATTTGTGATTCTTTGTGGCACTCAAGTGAGATTTTCTACTTTATTTATAAATCAGGGCTGTAATTAACAGTTATTTTGATAACTGATTAGTTTTCAGATTATTCTTTTGATTTATTGATTAGTTGTTTAGCCTTTGACCAAAACAAAGCTCCAGTGATGCCAAAACGACAACTTCATAGGGATGACTTGTTGCACCCTTGGGTTACAATTAGGGTTTTAATCAAACAAACACATTGGTTTGTTTGATTAAAAATACTTTGTAAAGACATAGAATTATCTGAGTCATAAAACCTCTTCTCAGCAATTCCAGGTTAAAAAAGATAATGCATTGATTACTAGATTAGTTGACCACTATTTGGTTTAGTTGTGATTAATCAATTAACTTGTTATATACAGCCCTAATTTGTATTAATCAATGAGAAAAAGAGTAAACAACTGAATGTTCACTCATTTATTCAGAACTATGGAGTGCGAGCCGGCAGCCAGCAGTGCAGTGAGGCTGGTGACCTCTGCGCTATCTGCCAGTCGGATTTCAGAGATCCCATAGCTCTTCTCTGTCAGGTAAGATTACTACACAGAGCAATACCAAAACCTTTGCAAACAAAAAAGATAATTAAAGTAAATAAAAGTATTTGGTTCCAGACAATAGTTTGTTTTAGCAATGTTATTACCTTGGCATGTTTCAAGCGTCTTCCTAACCTTCCTAAAACTTTGATAACAAGTTATATGTAATGACACTACTATTTATGTTCAAAGAATACATATTGAATGTATGAGACCAAGAATAGTTTGATTGTGATTTGCTGTGCGATTCTGGAGTGTTTTGACACCGTTTGTTGCTGTGTTGTTTGATTGCAGCATGTGTTCTGTGAGGACTGCCTGTGCCTATGGTTCGATCGTGAGAGAACCTGTCCCCTCTGCAGAGCCACAGTCATGGAGACCCCCCGGTCCTGGAAAGATGGCACCACCTCGGCTCACTTTCAAATCTACTAGTCCATACATACTGTACCATGTTGGCCGCTGAAAACACTGGCAGACAATGTGTGCTGCTTGTGGAATGTGTAAGGTTTTTTTTAAGGGTAATTCTAGTTTTCAATTGTTTTCCAGTTTGTTCGATTTTATTCTTTTGTGCTATTTCTATAAATATCCTCACTTATGCGACTTATTCTGGGTGAATAAAACTTCAATGTGATTGTCATTTTTTGTGCTATAACATCAGAATTAAACAAACCACCTGTCTCTGTGCATATGTTATGATGGGTCAATTTTTTCAATGAAAAATAAGAGGACACAAAACCTCCCATGGAAAACATCTTTTTATTATTCAGGTTTAACAAAAGTCTTATAAAATAGTTTAAAAGTAAAAATAACATATAAACAGTTACATCATTTCATCCGGTACATGTCATATGAACCCATTATATTAGAAATGACCAAAATGAAGAAAATGTCCAACATTTTGTAATAAATAAAAGCCACATAACACTGCATTCAGAAACGACGATGCAAAAGCGCAGAAAATGTGAAACATCTAAACACTGTAGAAAACATTGATAAAAAAACACTAATTCCTTTATAGTTTAATAGCTTATAGAAAACATCATGCCAAAGCCCATAGTGCATTGTTTACAGCTCCATGTACAGTAACCTAGACGTCATGTGGTTGACTGGGTTTTCCCCTGCTGGAAACTGGTGCTCTCAAACATTACCTTGTGAGGTGAACATTCAGAGTCTTATCAGTAAGCTTTCCTCTCCGCTCTACCAAGGGAGCATTACATCACCGTTCAGTTAACGGATGACAGAGGCACGTACAGGACGCACTGCTCAGTAAAACCTGAGTCGTCACCTGAATTTGTTCGAAAAGTGAACAAACATTAGTAACGCATTAACCACGTTTTTGCCTACACTTAAAAGTTTACAACTTGGAAGGATCCATCCTCCAGCTCACTGTGCAGACGCAGTTTCATCGTCTGGCTTCATCCTTACGCCAAAACGCACTGTTTGCACACAGAGAAACACAAAAGAAAATCTTATAAGATAGTGCACTTGGAAGAGCCAACATATTACACATGAGTTTTACAAAGATGAAAAACTATTGGCATGATGATTAGGCTCAATAAGCAGTTCAAAATATAAAAGGTATCTTGCCATCATTATGCTGCTTTGAACATATAATGGTCATGTGAGACCCCACTTGCAGACTTTTCTTGTCACTTTTTGAATGATAAAACTCAGATAAACCACAGATGTTGATATGTTTGTTGTTAAGCTCCTTATATGTAAACATGTTTTAGAAGTGTCACCCACGTGCCCCGTAGCAGCGGTTGGTGACGCACGCACCTGTTGCTGAGCGCGCGGTGCGTCCATAGACCGTCCTACAGGTGTCGCCTTGTGAAGAGCAGCAGGAGCGCGGCCAGGCTCCACAGGGCGCTCCTCAGATGTCTTTTGCCGCCAAATCTCACTGAAGTGTACTCTGTGGCTCCAGACGCAAAGCTCTTCTCAAACTGGTCCCCGACTCTCCTCAAGCGCGATGCAACAACCTGAGCCATGGAGCAGGGCGATGGACTACGGGATAATGACGAGTGTCTCGGCATCAGCAAAGGCTGGTCTATCGGCAGCCAGCACATCGTTATTGCAATAATGTCCTTTCTTCTTTTGGTCTCAAGGATAAATGACTCTCGTTTTATCCCCATCCAACCTTATACGCACGTTCCCGGTCACTCTCCCGCTCTCTCTCTCTGCTGTATTATTCATTATGGTGTCACATGGTGTGGGGTTTACATCATCTTATCCCCAAAGAGAAGAGCAATGGTTAACTATTGAATCTCTCCTGTTCACTTACATTTCCCAAGTCTTTTGTTGTGTAGGGTTAGCGGGGACAGTGTGTTCTTAAGTAGCATTAAAGTAAACAGAGTATTTATGTAATTAATTAATAACATGTATATAAAAACACAGAAATTACATTATAATTTAGACATTATGCCTATTTGAATCGTAGTCATCTGTTCAATAATGCCCCATAATAAACCTGAGGAATTAAAGTTACGCGGAACTGTTGTGTGAACGCGTGCTTCAACTCGGAGTATTTACAAAGTAGAACTAGTGCATATTTTCGGGTACACCTAATGTTTTTCTCCTTTTCGCTTGAATTTTAATAATAGTACGTTTTACAATTTCTTTCTTTGGGCAATTATTGCGTATTAATTTTCATAAACAATGTAGAACATGGCAGAGGATGAACTTGCCGCTTTTAGGGAGCACTGGAGACAGGAATTGACCAGTGAGAAGGAAAAACATGACATTGTCCAGCCTGGTTCAGCCGGGGACTTCAGACTAAAAGACTCAAAAAAGCGCTATTTTGAAGAGAATGATGATCACGCTAAAGTAAAGGAAGATATCAAGCCTGAATATGAGGATCAGCCTGGGTATGTTTCCATCGCGAGCAGTTTACTGGATGGACGAACGAGCCCCCTGCTGGATAGAATAGAGGAGGAGAGGGTTAAAAGGAAAAAACAAAGTGAGAGTTTGACAGGCACAGCATCAACATCATCATCTCTGCAACAACACCAGGTGCTGCACAAGAAAGACAAAAGCCAACTGGTGGATCAACTCATCCAAGATCTGGTATGAGAATAATACAAAATGCTGAAATGTAGAAGAGCAGTATATCCTCTTGGTAATACTCTAGTCTACTTCATTTTATATTGGGTGGGAATATTATTTTGTAAAAAGTCTAGGGCTGCACAGTATTTGCTAATATCTTGTTAGTGCAATACTGGCAAGTGCAGTATTGAAATAGCAAAGAACTACTAAATAATTACTGCTTCAATCAGTACCATGTCATGACCAATAAATGCATGGGTAAATCATTTTGGTTTTATTTTGCATACACTTAACTATGTTTTGCAAGAGCCACAGACCTTAGACTTAGACTTCTCCAATCAAAATACCATAATATGTTGCTAAACATTATATCATGGTTGCCAACCCCTTTTTGAATTAAAATGTAGAAGACGTCTATCTCTTCAACTTATGTTACTCCAGATACACGGTGCACCTTTTAATCATATTTGTATTTCTTTTCCAGAATGAAGTTAATGACATTCCATTTTTTGATATAGACTTGCCTTATGAGTTGGCATTGAAGATTTTTCAGTATCTCAACTGCATAGAGCTTAGTCGATGTGCTCAGGTAAGCCTACAATGAATCCTTTCTGTTGTTATATTTTAAAACCATAATTTGTTTAAACATATATATTTTATGGACGTTTCAATGAAAAATGATCATGAAATCCATGTAATTGGTTTCATTCAAACCGATTTTACATCCATATATTTTTCACCTCTGGGACATCTTTAGACAGGCTTTCTCAGGCAGAAAAGTGAAAAATAGAGGGACACCCTCACTAAAATATTTAGCTCTCAGCCCAAAGTGTCAATATTTTACTTTCATTGACTCTGGACAAAAACAAATTGTACTATTCATAAAAAAAGGTATGTCAGCTTTAATTAATATTTGGAGTAACTGTGTTTTGTTGGTAGATATGAAGTTGTTATAACATGTTGTAATGAAGTCTAATGAAGCTCTATTATAATAATTAGACAAATATAAAAATCTGGACACAAGCTTAGATCACACGTGTAACCTGTCCAACCCCTCCCAGGTGAGCAGGGCCTGGAGAGTCCTTGCAGAGGATGGAGTTCTTTGGTTCCGGTTGTGTACAAGAGCGGGCTTTCATGGAGATGCCAGTGTGTCAGACTCCCCCTGCTGGAAAAGCACACTACGGGACTGCAGGACGTCAGCCAAGACTGTGTGCTCCAACTGGAAGGTCTGCTCCGTCTGCTCTACATCACTGATCATTGAGTGCATTTCCCCACCATCAGTAGACCACAGAAGTTTACTTTTTACATCAGAATCAGAACTCACCACAGATTGATTGTTCTCTGCACATAATTTCATCTGTCTCAATGTGTTCAATATTACACACTTTTCAGAATCGCGTGGGATCCATCAGCCAGCTGCAGTTTGAACTTGGGAAGGTGCTGTGTGATGTCAACTCTTGTGAAAACTTTGTCTTTGCAGGGTAAGTTATATCATTTTGAAATTATGCATTTTGTCAATTTGATACTCTATCTTCTAATGACAGCAGGAATAATTATATTTGTGGTAGGGAGGCGCCGATACAATACTGGCATCAGATATTGTGCCAATAATGAACATTTTGTTGAATCAGGTATCGGTTCGATGATATCAGTTAAGTCGATATCTTGAGTAGGGCTTTATTTTGATGTAAGCATGTTTGGTGGCAGATATTAGCCCAGCCATTGGTTCTGTCATTACTTAACCGGACACACAGCTAGTTTAAAACACAATTGGACCAATTTAGTAATAAGTTAGCTTTGATTTGATGAGAGGGAAAACAATGATATCAGCAGTCCCTTCAGACAGACATGAAAAAACATATACATAAAACTGCAAACTATGTTATTGGCATCAAAGTAATTGTGGTGGATTGGACGTGCAGTTTCTTTGTATTCATTGACACATTATGAAGTGTATATAGTCGTTTCTTGAGTTAAAATGATCTCCCTGTCACAAACTTATCACACTATTCCACTCATTGGGCAGGCATAGGAAAACTTTTCCCCCTGTGGGCCATTTTGGAATATCAGCCTGCTGTTGGGGGCTGGACCTGTTTTTCAATGTTTCTCTCAGGCTTCATTTTTTTACATTTTTTACTACATGCGACACAGAAGGATTTTATTTTCGTTATACTATGGAAGGCCTGATAGAAACATCCCAAGGGCTACTCACACAATGGAGTATAAGAACCTCATGAGATGTTTTTGATGATTTGAGAATTGTAAGAAAACAACAAAAGATTTACCAAATGTCACTATAAACTAACAGTTAAAGATATGAATGTGTAATTAAAGTCACTGGATTCAACTACATATACATATATCTATTTAGTATCAGTGGTATATATTTTTTCTGCATAATAAAACGTTGAAAATGATCCGTCACATAAGAATTGACACGGTTGGAAGCTTTTTTTTTGCTATTGTTTACTTCTTGCTAAACCCTGGGATATTGGTCACACTTTGTAGCTGTGAAAGTGAGAGACATGATGAAACTGGAGGTGGGACTCTTTCATGATGGTGGGGATATGCAATGTGGAAATTATATTTTTTGTAATCGATAATTTCATTATTTTTGCCGGTAACATAAAGACAAATACTTTTCTTGTTCATTTTGATTAAGCAATGGATATAAACTGACTTAAATTCTCACTTGACTGTACAATGAATACTGCTTAAGTCTCGCCCTCCAGCCCACATCAAACATTTGTTGACTATTCTTGCTACTCTTCTGTATGTGCATTTTTATACTTTCAGGTTATTTTTTCATTTTGAAATATTTGTAACATCTAATAATCTTTATCTTGTTGATAAGATAATTATATCAGTGAAATCAGTAGTAGTGAGTAACTAATTATATCAGTAACATGTCTGGGTGACATGTGAGGGCTATTGCTTCAGTGGTGGTGACAGGGCAATGTCAAGTTTATAAATATTATTTTTGTTGATAAAACTTGTGTTCATTGGTTTGTGTTCAGATACACTTCTGGAGACATAAGGCTGTGGGACACGCTCCACTGGGACTCAGGCACCTCCTATCTGAAACCAAACAGTCTGTCTGCCAACACTGAGCCACGGCCGCATGTTGGACTGGTGCAGGTTAATAGAACTGTGGCTGCAGCTGCGTACCAAGATGGTGAGTCTGAGCCCGTTTCTTTGATCAAGTTGTTTTAGGTTTTAATTACTGTTTACAATGTATGTTTATTTTGAATTGTCTCTGTCTTGAATTGGCAAGTTATAGTTCATAATGACTGACACTGACAACTGTGTGTAGGCTGTGTGGATGTGTGGAGCACAGAGACAGGAGGCCAGCCTATCCACCACTACCAGGGCTCTGAGGGGATCCGGACCTTGGCATTGAGCCCCGATGCCCCGATCCTGGGCTCCTCCTCTGGGATGGACATACGCCTCGACCGGCCTGATGACTGTGGCTACTGGAGGACAGTGTGCCGGGCTCACCTCTCAAAGACTGTAAGCATCAACTCCAGCTACTGCACCGAGTTTGCACCTTTTATGAAGTCACATTGACAAATAAGTCTAATCAAAAACATGACATGGTTCCATATTGTCAGATAACAAAAAACAATTTGGAACCAATAATTAATTAATTTATTTATTTATTTATTTGATAAGAACAAGTTTACACAATCAATATATGAAACACTACAACATTTATAGCCAAGGCTAATATACAATGTCCGCCACTAGGAGGGCTTTTAACACAATTTAAAAATATATATACAGTATTTACATTACATAAAGTCAGGTGTCTCCAACTCATTAATGATCACATAACTGGTTTGTTTTTTAAAAAATAGCTTCAGTTCGTATTTAAAACCAGCCCAGTCATAGATCAGTTTTAGCTGAGGGCTTAAAGAGTTTGGTCCTCCTGAGGGACACTTCGTATGATGGACCTCAGAGGAACTATTAAGTATCACCTCAAATAAACAAACCAATTTATATTGAATACATTAACTGATCAGAAAAAACAACAAGTACTGACCATATAATAATCAAACATGCTAGTTTACCTGTGTTTCTTCTCTCTGCTGGCAGGTGGAGAGCTTAGTCGTGTTGCCAGGTAAAGAGCAGCCTGGGCCAGTGGCGGTTGCTGCTGCTGGGGACAGTGTTTATTTGCTGGATCAGACAGAGGACCCTCATGCTCTACACTGTGTCTATGGTCATCCGGTCACCTGCCTGGACGCATCCCAGACCCAGGTGGCTTTTGGTGTGAGGCGCAGTGGCTGGGCTATGCATGATGGAGGCAATAAGGTGAATCTACTATTGTTCTGTCACATTAGAAACATTCTGCAATCAGTGGTGGAACAAAGTACATAAGAATTTGTTACATGAATAAGTACTGAATCAATTAATCTGCAGCATCTGAACGGCCAACACTGGGAATACACATGTGTTGTGCTTGTGGGGCACTGCGCACACTGACATGGCCCACAAGAATTAGGGCCATGTTCAAAAATCATTTTGATAATCGATCCAGAGACATCAGCAATTTTTTGTCTGCATTTGACAAAAACATAGCTCATGTGATGCCTCTGGTGAACATCAGTTCAACCCAGAATGGTTAGAACTGTGAGGCAAAAATACCTCCAGATTGTGTTTGTTCCCAATACTTATACACTATTATATTAGGCAGTGCCCTAACAAAGGTATTATGCCACATAAGATAAATACACATTTCTGAAATTACAATTGATATGACATAAATGATGGCAGATCCGGATGGACCGTAGCCTTCTGGCTGAGGCGAGTGGTTCGGATATGTGATGGAAGGCTGCTGCCGATCACCTCGTCATCGCTGCTTATGGTACATCTGTGCAGACAGCTTAGCTTTCCTGAGCTTAATGTCAAAAGAAAAAATATAAACATTACCTCGTTAATTTAGCCTAAACAACAGCATCAGACAAGCTTTGGACATTTTCAGTTTTATAGAAAATGGAGCCCACCCCCCAGACCCAGAAATGGATTAAGGGGAAGAAAATGGATGGATGGATGGATAGAAAATGGAGCACCAAAAAAATCATGTCATGCATTTTCTAAACCTACCATGAACAACTTTGCTCTTGGCCCTTAGAGGCTGTAGGTCTCATTAGATGTGGCCTCTGAAGGATTGTATAATAACACAATAGTGACTTTAAATAGCTGTAGTAAACCTCAGTGGGTTGTGCATCTAATTAGGAGAGCTGTGGTCTATGGTTCTGAAGATGCACTTGTTTGTTTCTATTATTGCCATGTTTCTATGCACCTTGTGTTCTTAATTGACTCTGAAGGTTTTACTATCCAAGTGGGATCACAGTGCAGCAATCATATTAACAAGTGGACTGTGTGTGAGGTCATGCTGCATTTAGTGAGTCATTATTATAGAAAGTTAAATGTGTGATACGTAAACACTGGCGAGCGCAACAAATAATCTCCTTTATATTTTATTATTTATGTTTATTTACATTTTCTTAGTATCAAAGCGTTTAAAACTTTTTACTTACTAACGGTAAGTAAAAAAGTTTAAAACATTGACTAACAGTAAGTAAGTAAAACTCTGCGGCCCCACACTGTTGTCACTGAGTGTTGACACTAATTACCTTTACTGATGATTAAAATTGGAGTTCAAGTATTCCAGGTCTTGTTCACAGTGAGAGAAGGATGGAGCATGAGAGTGACAGACAGATCAGTGCAGCGTGTGCAGTGATGCGGTCGCTGTATCGGACTGTTGTGGTGAATATGAAGCAGCGCCTGTAATCAGCTGTATAGGGAGTGTGAAGAGCTGTGAAGATGGAGCTGAGTCGAGAGACAAATATTTACCGGTCAATCTATATTCCCACTGTCACCTATGGTTATGACCTAGGGACACCTAGGGTGACATGGTGGTTGTGTAGGTAGCACTCTCGCTTCTCAGCAAGAAGTCCTGGTTTCAAATCTCGGTCAGAACAGGGGCTTTCTGAGAGATCGGGTGAGGAGCTCAGTTACACAGGAAGAGCTTGGAGTAGAGCCGCTTCTTCTTCACGTCGAGAAGTTCCAATTGAGTTAGCTCAAGCATCTGTTTCGGATGCCTCCTGGACGTCCCACTGGGAGGAGACCTCGGGAAAGACCCAGGACACATTGGAGGGACTATGTTGGCATTTGCAGCTGACCTGGGATGAGGAAGTGGGCGTGGATAGGGAAGTCTGGGCGTCTCTGCTCAGACTGCTGACCCAAAAGAACGGATAAAGTGGAAGAAAATGGATGGATCAATGTGATACTGCTGAAACTATAAATCAAATAATTGCTAAAACTAACAACAAATAAATTTCAATCAACAACTATTTTAGTAACCGATGTATTGTTAACTGATGTACACACACACTCCAACAAATTTACATACGTTAGGTTGGGAAATGTGATTTTAAGACTCAGAATTGTAATCTCTTAAAAAACAAACAGGAAGTGTGTAACTGTCTTAAAATCAAAAGCTTCTGTTAGAATGTCCTCCTGTGGCATCACTCAAAATACATGTCATACTTTTGAAACAATTACATTGGATTAATTTAAAAAATAATTCCTTGATGAGGAACATTAGTAACAGCCAGAGTTTGTCAAAATGAACCAGTCTTGTCACTCTCTAAAAATATGAGTATTAACTGCTTCCTGCAAGCGAGCATGAATTGGCTGCTAACTCTGAGCAGACGTGGATTACGCTGCTTTCAATGTGGAAACATATGCTTCATTAAAATCTGTTAAATTGCACAGAGGTGGTATCCAACAGAATATCTTCACACTTGTCTTTCAACTGAAGAGTGACACATTTTAATTTACAACTTTTTGACTCTGATGAACTCGAGTACATTGTCCCAAATATGTTGTTTTTTAGCAGAGAGCTCTCACTCTTTTCTTAGCTCTGCAAATGTCACAGTCCCTTTATCTTTAAGCCCTTTCCTACTCAGCGTGTGCCTGTGACAGTTCAGTCAAACCAGCCTCCAGACCCTCATTACTCTGGGCTCCCCTCCTATTCTATGGACCGGAAAGACCCAGGCGTTCACCCAAGCTTTCACCCAGCTCGTCTGCCATCTCCACTGGCAACACATCCCTCCAACTGAGTGGATCCACCACAGAGAATCACGCACTGCTGTCAGGGACCCAGCCTTTTCTGCCTCCATAAGCCTTTTTATGTGAAGTATATATGACAGTGCTGATCTACTCTCTCTGTGTACATACATACTGCTCATACTGTATGGTTACCTAACAACAAGAAAAAAAACCTGTTTATTCATTTTCACATTCATATTTGTTTGACATTTCTCCACACAATCTTAAAACTGCTGAAGCTCATGTAAAGGTACCCTGAGGACTTTTGTAAATGCCAAAAGACATCAGACCAGAAAGCTGCCATTAACACGTAAGCTCCATAAGCCATATGGCGTCTGATATCCGGTAAAGAGGTCCAGTATGATTTAATGTAAAAGTTCACAGATTCTTAACTATTTCTTAAAAATATATAGCATTTGAATATGATAATGACATTCATCCATCCATACATTTCCTACCCCTTAATCAATTTCGGGCTCAGGGGGGTGGCAGTCACTCATTCACAGAGCTCCAGCCCCTCACTGATCCTCCTGCAGGTGGTGAGTCCACAGGAGGATGGCTGCTCTGCCGGTGACAACACAGCCTTGATCTTATAGGCTTGATCAAGATAATATTGATGAAGATAATGATACACTAATAATACATTTTATCGATATTGCACCCTAAATTAAAAAAAAAAATTCATGGTGCTAAAAATGTCTGTCATCACTGCCATCACTACCAGGGATGACGGCCGCTCTACCAGCTGAGTTCTGCAGATGGCATGCTGGTAGTAGCCGAAAGATTTCATGGCAAATACATCTTACTAATGCAGTTGTCCGACGAGGAGAATCTAAGTGTAATCCTTTTGTGATCATTTTTTTTAATTCAAGTGTTACATTGTGTTTACATTTTTGCACTGGTTGGCATGCATCACACTTTACTTTTTGTCCCCTTTTTGTTCCCCACATCCCGTTTTCTCTTGTGATGGGCAGAGAAGCAATAAAAAAATATATAAGAAAAATAAAATAAAATAAAAATCTAAACAGAATGAGTAATTCATTGAAAAATAAAATAAAGATAAATACAATAAATAACAATAACCTCAGTGAGAATCTAAACGTAATCCTCACTGAAGGTCGTTGGTTCTACTCCTGCTCCTTATTAGTTAAAGGCAAAAAACCGATACACCTAGAAAAAAACCTACCCAGACACAGGAAGAACATGCAACCTTCACTCAAAAATCTTACTTACTTACTTACTTACTTACTTCACTCAAAAAGTTTGCATGCCGACTGGGAGTCAAACACTTAAACCTAACCCTCACATTCTTGCTGAAAAGTGACCACTGGTGGAATGGTCAGACAATCCATATTTACACTTGGTGGGTCAGTCACATAACCCAGCCTTGCCCTATAGGTGAATGATTTAGTGTTTCACCGAGATGTAACAATATATTAGACAAGATGTTGTCACACAAGATTTCTGTCTACTGTTTCCTAAATTTATTGTGAGGATGACAGTTATTTGATAAGAAGGATCCTCCCTGATAAATGGTGATCACATAAAAATGCCATCTCTGAACTCCTTAGCTCATCCCATTCAAAATCCCATCAAGCTGTCATTTCAATGTCCAAGGCAATTTGGTTGTTGCGCTGGACCAGAACACAATTAAAGCCACAGCTCAGACCCAAATTTGGGACAGACAAAAGCTGCTGGCACTTGGTCAAGACTTGCGTCATGTGGCTTTTTGACTTTATTCCAACATGTCTCATCCTAATCTCTACATATCATAAGTCCTTTTTGTCCCCTACTTTTTCATGTCATGCGTGCTGCCTTGCGGCCATCCTGGTTTAATTCTGTAAGTGTTTTGATTATACAAAGATAATTTTGCTTGGCTGCCGGTCTGTTTTGTCATCTAATTTGGATGAGAAAACACTACGCGGTAATCGACCAATTAGAGCAGCTCCAGATGACATCATTGTAACTTTAATGAAGAAAACCCCACACCAGAAGTGACTTATCTTTATCCATGAAGTTCACATACAGGTCAAAGCAGGTAGTTAAAAGTTGCAGGTTGTTTGTATTGTATTTGCGTACGTGGAAGAAGGTTATTCAATGTAGTTTTTTCTGCAAATGGCAATACATTTATTCTGAGGCCTTAACTTTCATGCCTCAATGGATCGTAAGGATACTACTTTTTAGTTATCAAGTGGACGAGTTGGGAAAAAAAGAGTTTGGAAATGCTTATATCCAGTGGTGGGCAAACTACGGCTAAATCCGGCCCATTTAACTGTTCTGACTGTTTGATTTGGACAAATGTCTTATTTATGATATTTCGTTGTCATTCAGAAATGCACTTTTTTAAATATCTACTTTCCAAAATGTACTTATTTGTCCTAATTACTTGGCTGTTTCATTTCTTTTAATTCATTGTATCTTATCAAACTTAATTAATAAAGCGCTTTTTCATACAACGATAAATAGCTTTAGACTTATAGCTTTAGACTTTAGACTTAAATACATTGACCCATCAAGCCATCCATCCAACAGACACCAAACAATTCTTTACAGACATGACCAACTTAGTCTATAAAAAAGAATCCCAAAATCTTACTGCTATGCTCTTGCATGTTAGAAAACGTTGCTATAGTAGGTTTGTTATTCAATATTTAGTTTTCCTTTAGCGTTCGCATAAATCTTCATATCATTCACATTTTGTCATTAGTGTGATAAATTACCCACCTGTACGTTGCTCCACTACTGCCCAAGGGATATATTGCAATTTGTGTTTTGTTTTTTTGATTATTTTCCACGTCTGAGAGCTTTTAAGTTGCCGTACCTAACTTTCTTCAGAAAAAAAATACTTTGTTTGTCCCAACATAAAGGTTAAGTCTTGAAAAAGTAAAACCAGAACTGTTTTTATCTTAATATAAAACATTCAATCTTTTGCGTAGTTGTGAGAAAGTGCCCTGTGAGTCAGTATTTGACACTATGGACTAAGAGATGAGTGGTTGAGCCGGGGTGGTCATATCTTTTTTTCATGTTTCAGTCTGAAAACGATGAGACAGAGGCCAAAACATGCCTGCAAGTGAAAGCTAGTGATAAAACCAAACAGTTTTAGGATGGATTTTATTATTGGGGTTTGAAAGTTAGCTACCCCAACTTTATTATATGTTCTTCATACAGTACAAACCTGCTCACTGTTTTCATGTCGATGTGTTTTAGATCCACGTTTACAATCTGGAGACGCGCAAAGCAGAAGTTTGCCTGGGCAGCTCGGTGGGAGATTTCACCTGCATCAACTTGAGAGACAGTCCACCTCACCTTGTTGTGTGCGGCAACAAAGACAGACGGTACAAGGGAAAGCACACACACTACCAAACTTGTCTCACTGCAGATGTTTATTTATAACACTACTCACTACGACGCCACGGCTTTGTTCCATCTGTCGAAAGTGTGCCAATGACTGCATGCGAAGGAGAAAGTTGCTAAATGGTTTTAACACTCAGCGTGGGGAACAGGTGCTTGCAGAGTGCGTGACAAGATAAAAACTCTTTTCAAAAACATTCAAAAGATTAGGCATTAACAAATAGCCGGAGAATTGTCGTCTTGTTTTGTTGCGCTGAATAGAGATGCATCATTTGCAATTTGTACCAAATCTGCCTTTTTGATAACCTGGTTTTTCCCAGTAAGGAATGCCACATAAAAGAACCATTCTCATCCATTCTTTCCTTGTTTGTCTGTGCCGTATTGCGCACCAACGAGCAGAAAAAGAAAAAATCCATGGCTCGTCTTCATCCAAAAGCTGCCCTCGCTGTCTCTATTCACAACCAAACCCATCTGGCTGTTAAGGAGTTGGCATAAAGTGAAAGACTGCGCTGCGTCGCATTGTCTGCCTTCAATTCTCACTACTCAGGACCTCTAATGCAGCACAATGAAAAAAGGCTTCATTAGAAAGATGGGTTTTAGAGAAAATATTTCAACAAGAGTGTGTGAATGTTTAATACAACTGGCTGCGTCGTAGCCAGGGCATTTGTAGAGTCACTCCAATTCCTTTGTGCTGTACTTTTGCCTTCTGAGGGGCGCGCACACACACACAGGTTTGGCTCTTCTGCACTGGCCCATGGAAGGACAAATAAAACAGGGGAGCAGCCGCTAATCTTGGCCCTTACACAGCGTGGCATAGGGCCAGCCACTAATGCATCTCTTCTTCATCTCCAAATGAGTTGTGTCCCTCTGTTTTCTTTGTGTGTGGTGTTTTCATGTTTAAAGTCTGCCTGGAAGAATGCCACATCTGTCCAGACAGCGGGGATTCAAAAACATGAGTGAAAAGGATGATGAAAGATTCTGTCCATGTGGATGTGTGCAGATGAAATGAAGAGCTTTTATGTAGATTAAAGGTACATCACGTAATTAAAACATTGTTATTGATTTAGATGTTAGGATATTTGCAGTCTGTCTTTTCTGTTAGTTATAAAGTTATAAAGTTAATATTAGAAAGGTGAAACTTGAAAAGATTTTTAATGTGTGCCTTTTGTTTAGGGATTCTTTGATTCTGTATAATACAGATGTTCATTTAACTTTCAAACTACAAAAACATTTAGTTGAACAAAGAAAGTGCTTCTAACTTTCTAAGTTAATCACAAGTTTCTTTTATGCATTTGTTTTTCGGCCCCTGACAGAGAAGTGGTAAAGAGAGAACGACCCATACCGAGCCAATCAGTCCTCAGTCTAAAGTGTCAAATAGTGACTCAAAGACTCTTTCTAGTTGACAAATAATAAAAATGTTGAAGTTGAAGACAGCATTTTCATCTTCATAGACAACATTGCAATCTGACCTTTGAAAACAACATGAGACAAAGTTTAGCACCTTTTAAAAAGACAAATAGTACTTTGTAAAAGAATTCAAGGAAATCAAAGTACTTCATGAAGAAACCACCCACCAATTCAGACATTCAAACACAAGACACTGGGGTCAGGAGCGTTGGTAGGTCACAATGGCAGCATTCATCTTTGGAATCAGTTGATTTGACGAGTGGCTTTTTTGATCTTCGGATCAGAGGACACACTTCACCAACTGGGATACGGTCACCTTCTCCAGAGCAGCACAAACTATCATCTCTATTGACAAACACACACAGCAACACTGCGTTCCCGAGATTAATTGATCAAAGCTCAGAAAATACATGGATTGCATTTAAAATAACCACTTTACACAATGCATAAAAAATAATTGCTTCAAACATTCACTTTGCATTTATTTATTACACATTTGTAATTATATGAACAATTAAATGGACATCAAGTTCAGGAGGACCATAGAAACATTCCTAGTTTGTGATGCTGGTTACTTAAAATTGTAGTAAAAATAATTCTGATTTATATCTGAAAGATCAAGGCTCCTGTGGGCTCACCACCTGCAGGAGGGTCAGTGAGGGGCTGGTGCTACATGTACTGGGTGCAGCTCTGACTGCTGCGCCCCCCCTGACCCAGAAATGGATTAAGGGGAAGAAAATGTATAGATGGATATATTTTGTTTGTGTTGTTATTGTTGTGGAAGGAGTATGGAGAAGCATACAACCATGACCTCTCCCCTAAAACTTTCCAAAAAAAGACGTTTGCATCCTGTTTTATTGGCACCAGGCTAACAAGCCAATTCATGTTAAGATATAGCTTACTTTAGAAAATTCACACAAAATGAAGTGTACTGTTCTGGTTCTTCCTGTATGTCTTACATGAAACCCCCTTAGGCACAAGACGTGCTCTCTGCTGAATACAGGCTGTACATCACCAAACCATGGAACTGTAAAACTACTATCAACTATGGAGATCCAGACACAGGACGACTACGTTGAAGCCTTTTTGCAATTTGGATATTAAACTCTACACAGTAACACTGCTTAAAACCAATGCTGGATCCAGACAGTGATCCGAACACCTCAAAAAATGTAATTATTTGTTCCTTATCTCATTTCTGAAATTTTCTGAAAATTTGGTAAAACAACACAGGAAAAAATATATATTGATATCTCCAAACATCAAATCTACAAAATAAATAATCTGTACTATATCTATGCACACAGTAGTGGTAAACTAGTGGTAAACTACTACTGTAGCCACAACTGCCCTGGGACACACTAACTGCAGCAAGACCGTGACTCTGACCCATGGGCCCCTTCAACCACTACCAACAATTCATGCACACTACCCACTCATACAAGGCAATGTGTCTCTCCGAAGGACTTAACCGCTGCACCCCCTCCCCTGAACCTGGTGGTCCTAGAGGTCTCCCATCACAGTACTAAACAGGCCCTGTCCTGCTTAGCTTCAGAGTTACGATGGGCTAATATAGATCATTTAACTCCTCTACATATTTACATGTCCCATAAACGAGAATCAACACGATATATTAATCTGTATTTTGTCCTAAATGCTAAATATTTTGAAACATATTTAAGTCAAGACATTTTTCTGGGTATAGATTGATTTGAACATACTTGCAAAGGACCGTCATGTTTATAACCTTTTCCAAATCATATGCAAATGAGTATTCAAGTTCTCTTCTGGTCACTGCTTAATAATCGCAGGGAGATAAAGCAGTAAGCCAAAATGTAAAGTATGCAGTCATCTCCCAACACGCCCTTATTAGGCCGAGTTCCTTCTGATTAATGAAGACTTGTTTGGCCCTTGACAACTTGCTGAAGTCTGGTCCGCCTCCAACAGCAGATTTATTCCTCCCCACTGTCTGCCAATAACGCTCGCTCCTCATTGTTAAAACGTGTGCTTTCATCACGTAATGCCACTGTGCACACAACGGAACCACCCCACAACAAGCCCAACGTGACTATTTAGCCAGTTTCAGAGTCTTTCAAAGATTTTTTTTGTTTTGGCAGCCAGTAGCGACCATGCGATGTGTGCGAGTCCCCGTAGTGAATGTGATTATGATAATGAAGGCTTGGATGAGGGACGGGTCTGGATGCGGTCATGTCCTGGATGCTTTCGGCTGCAATGAAGCCACGGCGACAACAGATGGAGCTGGTCTCCCCTGGGCACCAGTTGCTCACTAAATAAAGGCTGGCTCTCCTGCTCGTCCATCTCGGAGTGAAACATAAGACATTACGCTGATGGTTGTAATTAAAGTAGTTCTGACTGCTTGATCTTCATGATATTAACGATTCACATTTGCAAAGTGACTCTCGTTTTGTTTTGGGAAGGATTATGTTAAGGACTTACTTCATGCACTATAAGTACAATGGGAAGTGCTATATTGAAAACGACTCAGTAACTAACTCAGTAAATGTTTCAGTAATGTGGATATGATCTCAAAAAATGATCTTGACACATTATAGTATTTGGTTTAAGTCAGATTTGTGGTCAACACAAGTGAACATGATTGTAAAATTAAGCATGGTGCATTGATGATTATACACATTGATGATTAATGCATGTTTTGAAAAATAGTGACGGTCTGTTTGTTTTTTCAGTTATTATATTCATTTATTTCAAACCCACATTTCACACAAACAAAAACATACACATGTCACAAGTCATGCATAGTTTGAAAATGGGTTGCTGATTCTGCTATAGATTATTGACTGATTATAGAATATAGACACACACACACCCACGCGTACACTTCTGCAGTCCTAAGTCAATAAGGTTCGAACATGTTTTTAGTTCTTCCAGTTAGTTACATAACTCAAAAGGTTATTGCCAGATTTTATAAATTAGACAAGTAACACATAATTATATTTGGAACACAGATTCATTTTATTTGCCATTTTCAGTAAAACCACATCTGCAAAAGCCCCCAATGTGTTTTTCCTGGAAAAGTACAAATAAAATGGACCCGATATACCCTATATTTTCCTGATCCCTGTCTGGGTCAAATATTTGCTCTGATTTAAGTACTTTTATAGTTAAAGAATAATATACTCCATATACATGTGTATCTATATCTTCAATACAACCATTATGATATCTTTTATTTTACAAAGCACTGTCTGCGTGAAACGTTTTCCTGATTGTTACCAAATGACATGGATGCAGTCTGAACATACAACATTAAGACATGCTCTGGTATTTAATGACTGTTTTACCTCGTGCGCCACAGCCTGCAACACCCATTACTTATGGTTTGAGTCTAATCTGTTTGAAAACAAGATGAAACTAGTCATTCCAAACGATGAAGGAGTGGTGACGGTTGTTTGTGTTTTTACATCTACATGAATCAACGCTGAGCCTGAATCTTGTCTCCTCTGTTTTTGTTTGGAAGAGTGCGGGTGTTTGACCTGCGCGCCAGAGCCTCTGTGGTGTCGCTGTACGCACATCACCTGGGTGTCACCGCGGTGCAGACGGACGAGTGGAAGATCGTGAGCGGGGGAGGGGAGGGGCTGGTGTGTGTGTGGGACCTGAGGATGGGGGCCAAGCTGTGGGAGATGCACAACAGGTGAGCCCTTTGAGCTGAGGCTGACTGCTTCTTATTGATGTTTTGACTCTTTTGACTTCAGTATTTTGTTACTTCCCAACACTGAACAGCACATTTAACAAAGTTTTCAGAATGCCTCATAGCAGTTAGTTTTTATGTTGGCTATCTTGATAAATATACTGTATCCACATATTGTTCAATAACGGATGGATATATTTTTGGGCTCAATATGTAACACAATGATAGGTTTTATCAGAAGAGGGTTCAATATGACTAAATATGACTACATTCTACTGTTTATTTTCTAACACCAGATTGACAATTGTCCTGGTTGTGTTCGTATCAGTGGTCATTTTGAGATTATTTTATGCCATAATCATTTTCTGAGTCAATATTATATTCTCCATCAAAATGTGTTACTGAGGTCTATTCGTAATTTAAAAAATCCAAACAGAAAAACAAAAAGAAAAAAGACATACCAATACATGCTGAAAACACTAACAGACTGGCAGACACCTTTTTCTGCTGGTTTAGACTCTGCCTTGACCTGGTTCTTGCTGGATTAATCCTGGTCTAGTCCCAGATGATCTTTGATGTACTGGGTGTCGGTTTTAAAGTTTGTAATAAAGCTGAATTGAATTGCATTTAGTTGTATATTTGCAAAAGTGTGATTGCCCCATGGAGATAACGTTGTCTGATTTCAGGCACCCTGTGAGGCACATATGTTTCCGTGGCAGCAGACTTGTAACGGCCAACATCCCAGACGACAAGGCTCCGAGAGGCGCATGCATCACAGACGATGACCTCACCGCTCACCGCAGGTCTGTAACTGCACCTGGATCAAACCATTTTCAACAAAAAGTAGACTATGTACAGTCTCCAATTAATACATACTATATTAATATATATTTTTAGTTACTGCTGAGTCTTGTTTATCAGAAGTTAGAATTAAATAATCATTATTAGATCATTAAAATGTTTAAAATATACCAGTAGTTATTTTCTGATTAGTTGTATAATTTGTCTGCTTATTGTAAAATTCATTGCAGAACCTTTTTTTTTTTTTTATCTTAAGAAAAGTCATAAAGTTACCAGCTGGTTTTAAATATATAATTCTATTTACTCATCTTAAAAACTTGCAAGTTGGTCATCTTAATTATTTTTTTGTGTATTCATCTGTAAAAAGGTATGTATGTGTAATAAGTGCTTTCCTCTCACAGACACCGAGGAGTGATCTGCCACTACGACTTCTCAGAGGAGGCTTTGTCCCAGGACCACGTTCTGCCCATCTGCCGCTCCGACTACATGGAGTCCACAGGATACAACTACAACATCGGCCTGACCGTGCCGTACGACAGACTGAGCGGATCGCAGCCACCACTTTGAACACAGCTTTTATAGAAATTGGTCTTCTTTTTATCACAACCGTTTTTAATAATTTATAGAGAGAGATAGAAAAAAAAATACAGAATGTGAACTGTGCTTTATAACAAGTTTAATTTGAACTTGAATTGTATAAATCTTGTACAAATACGCAGCCATTTCAACAAAATTATGTAAATAAAAACACAAATCTCTTGGCATTCTCACATCAGTTAATCTTTGGGAAATGGTTCAGTGTTTACAATACTGTAGTAAGTGGAAAATTGCCGTTACGAACACTGTTAGTCCTGAGTCTCAAAGGGCGCTTGACGGTAGAGTGTGGGATAAATATAATGGGGAATGGTATGCTTCTCCATTGGAGCCAAGCCTCGACGGCACGAGAATGCCAGAGCCGCCCTTTGGCATAGCGGACTGCAGCTTTTATGAGGAAGGACATGCTTTTTACATTGAGCACATACAACTGCCCGAGGGGGAAGAATGAGAAAAGCAGAAGTACAAACTTTTTAACCACACTAAACAAAAGTATACCCTAAAACTCTAGAAAAATATAGACTCTTGTTACAGGATATTGTTTATACTTTGTTAAACTCGTGCTTATCTGTTACATTTCTATGCAACTAATACAAGGCTTATTTAGTTGATCTCTCCGCTCTCTCATCTGCTTTCTTTCAAAACTCATAGGGTTCCAATGACCTACAAAAACAGAAATGATTAACAATTTTGTGTTTAATCATTGATACCATTAAGCTAGCCATTGATGGTTGCGTTCATGTGCTAGAATTCTATTTTAGTCAGAGGGCTGGTGTCACAAAGTCACAACCCCGTTATGTCTGAAAGTCCTTTCTACCGGACAACATTATGCCTACATTTTCGGAATATTATCTTCATGAGAAAATAATTAGACTGTTGTTATGTTCTGACAAAGAAGATGTGAAACTTTGCCACAGTGTTTTGGAAAATATGGATTAGTCCAGGAACCATAGTTACCAGGAGTAATTCAGCTGCCCTCCACCACAACTAAACTATATGGTCTTTGGGCTGTTGTGATGTCACGTCACATGAACACAACCTATTCAACATTTGCAATGGTTATACTGTAGTCACCAGTCATACTTAATTTCTATCACAGCGCATTGTGACCGTGTCTACATCCAAAAAGCGGATGTGCATTCTTGACTCCATTTCCAGACCGTTTAATATCTGTAAACAAGACAATTAGCAACATAAGCAACAGGCAATAAACAAAGGCAGAAAAAAATTCAAGGGAGGCATATTCACCAGTTCAAAATGTTCAAAAGTAATTCCTTCATAAAAGTAGTCGGCGGGCTGCAATCACAAATGCATGATTACGGTACGGACAGACAAATTAGAATTTGACTGATGCCATCGCTGAGTTACCATGTCAGGCATACTTGTGCTCGCCACCTCCAACATGGCGGCATCTGCAATGGCCCGGGCCGCTTCCAGGCCAATGGCACCACTTCTCGACAGCAGCTCCTCCACCACCTGTCACACATACAGGCGTAATGATGCACTCACGGGTCACTCAACACCTTAATCGTGGCTGTTGCACTACTAAACATGACAGAAGTAAGTTAATTATCTTGAATTTGGCCAAATGCATTTTAAAACAAGATTTGCTAATGGAGCTTTGGTCTTGTTACTTTAGGTGCAAGACATGTTGTGCTTTTGTTCAATCGGCATCAACCAAAACAAAACCTGTTTCTTTAACTCATTAACTTAATCATTTCTGCAGTGTACATATTTTGAATAACTCTTACTTTTCTGTACTCCTCCAGAGTGATTTTGCCATCGCTGTCAGTGTCGTGCATGTTGAAAAGGACTAGGGGCACAAATGGAGATAGCATCACAGTCTAGGAAACAAGGAACTGGACCAAAAGAATGTTTTCAATTATACTCAAGGAAGAGCATGCCTGGTAGAATGTTTTCTTAAGAGATGAAGAAAACTACATTTATATAACTCAATAGATCCGGAGGCAGATGAGGGATTCCATCATAAATGCTTGAACTTCAGGCAGGATATTAAAATGTATCAAACAGCTCAGCTAGCATGCATACTGTATTTACAAACTGGGCTAGATGGGACTGGATTAGTTCCAATGAGCAGCTTGTAAGTATTAACATGCTGTATACCAAATGTACAGTAAAATAGTTTAAACTAAAGCAGAATTTATACTATTTTTGTTTTTGTTTTTTAGTAGTAGTTCACAATATTTACAAAGCTGGTGTATTAGTTAGATGTGTACCTTGTCTGACACCTGCATTCATACACACCCTGAAATGGACCTGAATGCATGTCTTCAAATGTATTAACATTGAGTTAACTTTCAGGTATGGTGATAAAGAGAATCAACCATTATTATGAAACTATCCATCCATTTTCTTCCGCTTTATTTGTTGCCAAGTCATGAGGCAGCAGTTTAAACAGACACCCAGACTTCCCTATTCAAGCACACTTCCTTTCTAAATCTTAACAAACTGCCACTTGTGTTCTCATTACTATCCCAAAATTCCCAGCAATAATTAGAAAAATCGAGGATTATTATACATTGGAAACAGTGAAAAATATTGACAAAAGAATCCAAAGTTAGTCCAGCCTAGAACACCAGATGCTCTGCCTCATTGTGCTCTAATTCACTTGTTTATCCAGCTATTCCTGCCAAACTCAAACTGCTGCGTCACACCTAACTCCACTCCACTGAAAATAATGCCCATAAATGTGGTTGCTAATAATAATATTCACGATATGAAAGAAGTGCGCACGCATGGCTGAGCTTTGAAAGGCTCTAAAGCAGGGATATCAGAAAACCTGCTGACCTGAATCAATGGCAAACCAAGCCAAACTAACTTAGAGGAAGGAAACTTGCACTCAGAAATGGAACAATATAATAGAATAGTTTGTGTGTTTTCAGAACTGAGCTTCCACCTAATCACGCAGGTACACTACATTTAAAATAAGTGACGTACAGCGAAGCTTCTCTTTTCTCATTGCTGTCTTTTCGTCCACTGAAGTCTTCAGGGTTGGAGGGCGAAAGTGGGACATGACCATCAGGAACTCATCGAAGCCAATCTCTTCATAGGCCCCCACCTCGCCATTGTGCTGGTTCCTAAAACACAAATATACAAAAAAAAAAAACACATTTATTATGACCCAATAGCATATATACATTACACTTATCAATAAACATGACACAAATACTGTGCATAATGTTGAAAAAGTAAAGATTATATTATGCATTATCAATTTGAAGCCACAGCTGCCTTGAGACTGACGGATATCTTCTTTCAGATTTTTATTGTCTCAAAAAGGTGACATTTGTTAGAGGCCTCCAAGCAACACATGTGAAAACTAGTGGATCCAGCCTTGGCAGTTATACCTCCCACACAAGAAAAAAAAAACTAAATATAGACAACTTAAGTGAATTAGCTCTATTATTCAGTAGCATTTACAGATTTAGATATTGTCAGATTTAGATATTGTCTCATTTCTAGAACAGGTCTACACTATTTACACTAGTTCAAAATGAGGATTAATTCACAGAGGACATGAATATGGATTGACTTCAAACTAACTACATATGTCAATCAATCAATCAATCAAATGCAACACAAAGTGATTTACAGTTTGGTTAAAAATAATCCCACATGCCCTTCCACCCAACAGACCCTCCCCAAACCACATGTATTATTAAGTACGCACACACACACACACACACACACACACACACACACACACACACACACACACACACACACACACACACACACACACACACACACACACACACACACACACACACACACACACACACACACACACACACACACACACACACAGACAGATCTGACTCAGCACACCAAGGATAATATATATGTATATTTCAATGTGATTCTTTATAATTGCTTAGTCTATGGCCTGATGGTTTCAGTCTCTTCATCAATACCCTGCTGCATCCCCATAAACTCAATAGGACTGTGCTAATCACCTCTTTACGACATGTTTGCGTAATCAGGATGAAGCAGCAGGAACTTCAAGACCGACTGCGAGGGTTGAAACCTATTTAAAATGGAAATAGATATATAGGATCCACCTGGGACATTATAGTATGAGTCTTGCAGTTGTCACCCAAGGCAAAGGAGAGCGGAATGACAGCACCTACCGTTTATCAAAGAAGGCCTCGATGATTTGCTTTCTGATGGGATTGTCAGCCAGGGCGGTTATGTTGTTCAAGTTCTCCCTGCTGTGAAGCGACAAGACATGACTTTGTTTACATGGAGTGCGTGACATCAAGCTAATGCGGGGAGCTAAAATTGTTTATCGGCGATTATGTGCTTACCTTGCATGCACGTAATGTATGTTTTACAATCACACATAATTAGCAATGCTTCCCTTATATTAGTATTTACTGTGTTTTTCATTTTTCACCTGATGGTCTCAGACTCTCCGCTCAACTTCTTAAATCTCTTGTGCAGGATATGGATTTGTTCCAGAGAGACTGAAAACAAAACCAAGAGAAGACATTAATAGATTTTAAATGTGTAAATGGTTGCACACATTTAACCACTGTTTCCTGAGCAGTCGTGTTATCAGGCTAATGGAAGTGCAAACAGTCTCTGTCTGAGCTTTAATGCCATTTTAACCTCAATCATTAACAACACATCATTACGGGTGGTTACAAGTGTTATGTTACAACAGCAGGTCATTCATTTGTTTCTTTAAAGTGTGTGTAATCCTTTTCTTTTCTTCTTCCCAGCCCCTTTTTGAGATGGTAAATTGTTAATGAGGTTGTAAATATGTTGAAATTGTGAATATGTATAAATAGAACCTATGGTAACTGCTTGTGTTTGTGTGTGTGTGCGTGTATATATACTGGTTGTGCAGTTGGTAAAACAACAACATAATGGTATCTCCATTAAAAAAAGGGATGTAAATAGTGTAAATTGTTTTTGAATGTCTTGAATGGTTCTGCTGGAATGTAACATACAATAAAACTCCTGCGGTTACAATGACAGCTGCGATTATGTTCAAGAGAAACATGTTTTGATGTCACATGCACAAATGAGAGTGATACTACTACCACTACTGATTCCCCTGCGACAGTTGGACTCCGGACATTTCCAAAACAAAACTCAAAACCTACCTTTTAAAATTGCCTTGTAATATTGTACATTTATTTTATTCTGTTTTCATAATTTGTGTAATGTTATTTTTTCTATTGTAAGGCGTCCTGGGGTGTGTTAAAAGCCGCGCCATTGAATAGCATTTTTATTTTATTATATTATTATTATTACCGACAAGACAGTACTTTTGCTTTGCATGTATTCTGGGCCACATTGGGACATGGTAAAAGCCATAAACAGTTCAAAGTCTCTGCAGACAATGCCACCAATAAAGGTTTTATCTATGACCTTATTATTCCTGTTTGTCGGCATGCCACAGCGTGCACTCACCTACTATTACACCAAAAAAATATAATAATAATACTTGTCTTAGCGAGTAATAGTTTTTCCAGATTCAAACTTTGCTTTCAGGCTACTTCAAAATCAAAATTAACTTGTCTATATTATAGTTCTATGGTCCTTGTTGTTGAATTTACCCTGTGCAGCTTGGAGCGCGCTGAGGTTGAAAGTGAAACTAGACTCCAAAGTTACTTACATCCAGTTTTGTGGGAGAGGTCTTGGTAGCTGTGCGCGGCGCGTGTCTGTGCGGCTCCCATGTCTGTGTGCGCTCTCAGCTGCACCTGTCTGGGTTCAGCGCATACGGCTTTGAGCGCAACAAGAGCGTGGGAACATCTGGCGTCCGCATGGTCCTAAACCCGGAGTCTCAGATTGGCAAACACGCACACACACACACACACACACGCACGCACGTACGCACGCAAGCACACGCACGCACGCACACACACGCCCACACACTGTTACGGCCTTGGCATTACGATATTGGTCGCGGTCTTTTTAGCTGACATGGCTCTTTCGTCCTGTGGCAAAATGGGAGCAACTCAAAAGATTGAGCCAAAAGGAGTCTTCTTCTTTTTCTAATAGTTAGATTGCGGCAAAATGCGCCAAAATGGCTATGAGGCGGAGTCAATATTTGTTGTATTTTGTTTTCTCATCAAAAAACGTTTTTGCCATGCCTCCACACTCTGACAACAACACTGACAACAACATTCTCTTCTCCTCCACACAATCTGGCAACATACACTCCTTCTCCTCCTCCTGCTCCACACACTCTGACCACAACCTATACCTCCCTCCTCGTCAAGCAGCAGCAGCAGCGGCTCCTCCCATGGATGTATTGGCTCCTCCCCCCTCCGTCGTCATGTGGTAAGTTGCTTTTCACTTCAACATGTTGCATTTACGAGTTTATTTCTCCTCTTTGTCTAATGTACTATCAGCACCTCCAGGATTTTTCGCGCACTTGTTGATTGATGAATAATTATTGCGGGGTAAAATGCTTGATTACGCGGGACATTTTTCCAAAAGTTTCCCTGTTGAGTTTGGAGCCGTGTGAGTCTGCAGACTCACAAGCCATGGCTTGCAGCATTAGCTGCCAGGGAGCTATGGATGATGTTACCGTGTGGTTTATAGAAGGGACAGGGGGAGGTGATCCATGGCAGACCGGTGAGCGGGACCCATGATGAGCAACAAGTGTTAGATTTACCGCACCATGTTGTGCATTCTGCTGTGGTGCGTCTCACTGTGGAGGGTGCGTCAGGAGCGCGCCCGCTGCTGCTTTGGAACAGGGAGAGAGAGACTCTCCTGTTGCTCTGATCCCGGAGTCTGCGTGATTTTGCGTTCAAACATTGAGAGATTCTGGAGGGAGTGATAGCAATCACTGGCTTATACTATTGTAAAAATAAACATAAAGTAGCGTTTTTAGCGAGTATTGAAGAGTTTTTTATTTTTTTTTTATCTCAGTCATAGCTGCTGAAGCCAAAACTTAACACTTTTTATAATGTGAAAATGCATGGTGATTTTATATTTTCCTTTGTGTTGTAGTTGACCCCAGGACCCCAAAACGCTGCAGCAGAGCTTGATTTGGATCAGCAGCTGACTTCTGCAGCTCTTCATAACTGATGAACTTCTGGATCCTGGATCTTGTTGTCGAACAGACAAAGCTGTATGCAGCACAATATTTCAGTGCACACACGCAGCGTCTCCCATTCAGCAGAGAAAATGCATGGAAGCCAGTGACAGTCTGCAGCTAAAAACCTTTTTTGGTTTGACATTTCTCACTGGGTTTGTAAAAAAAACTAATCTGGAAATGTAAGGAACGTTTTGTTTATTCTGAAGTCTGTCGGGGCAACTTCCGGTTGCTTCCAGATTGTACTTAATGTCACACGGTGTGTGGGCTTGGGACAGTACGGTCTTAACTGTTTAAATGGTTAGCGCCTAGCTGAAAGGGGATAAAGGTGTGTATTTTAATGTGATTTTTATGATTCTTTGTCTGCTTAACTGATTCAATGTATTAATGGTTTTTAGCTCTTACGGTGAATTTGTGCGATTACATTAAAAACGGAAAATGGGCACATGCATCAGTACGAGCCTTCATTCATTCAGCTAAAGTCGCTACAGGAAATGTATAGAGATATCTCACGTGACGTCACGATGCCTCGAACTCGCGGGGCATCCGCCATACTGGAGGACAAGCAAACGCTGTATGATAGTGGCGTGCACCCGGGACTGCATTAACATGTTCAAAATTTTTGCCGTTTTTGGCTACAGCAAAAGGAGAGACAGAGAAAATAAGTTGTGTTACCGACTGCCAGCCGTCCTTACTTCACACGGCTCAAAAACAGAAGACATCTCAAAGAAACGAGAGAGAAATGGCACAACCATACGCAAAAACAAAAAACTAAAAGCCACCAGAGCGCCCGAATATGCTCGGATCATTTCATTTCTGCTAAGTGAAATCAAATTGATGGCGGATTTAGTGTTATTCCGAAACAAACAGAAGTTTAAGGATAAAACATGTCTGTCTGACTGCAACGTGGGGTTGCTCCATAGACTGTAGCTTAGCTTGTAGCATAGCTGGTATATATTTGGTCTCATACAGGACCTCACCCGGTTCACAGGGTATCTGACTTACCGAAGGCCAGCAGACATGTGAACGACTGAGCCGTGCTCCAGGGTGCCCCGTACTAGTATTTATTAATAAAATATACGGCTCCTCACAGTAGACGCAGAAAGCTCCATTGATTTGAATGTAATCTCATTATTTCCACTGCAGTGTAGCCACACATAGATCCATGGTGTAACAATAAACACATTAAATGTTAATCGGAGAATACATTATACATATACATTCTTAATACACGTGCACAGAGGTTTTCAGAATTTTCTGTTCACGTTTTCATGAAAAAACACTGTTTTAATGCGACAATATGCGACCGCGGTAAACCTGCATGTAACGAATACATTTTAGGATGCATTTTCAGAGGATCTGATTCATGAATTTAGGTTGAGTATATATTTGGGTCACTAACTGCAGAAGTTTCAAATTCTCTGTTCAGTTTTCATGTAGTTCGAGAGAGTTCTAGTTTTGAACGTCCAGTTATAGATAGCTAGCAGGGCTGTTACTCGCCGAGGTTGTCCTCCAGTATGGCTGCCGTGGCTGCTAGTCACGTGACCGTAGGATCCCTCTTCCACCCCACACTTCAGCAGAGTGTTGGGTCACCCAATTACTATTCTTTATAAACTAAAGTAAAATTGTTTCACAAAGTGTTCAGAAAGTGTTATTTTTACTGTATATTTGTATACAAAGTGTTTTTATTGTATACAAGTTGAATATTTTATGTTTACATAAGACAATCCTTTGAGTGTATTGTGTGTACACGTTTAATTTGTTTAAAAACAATTATACATTAAAAATACAATTCAAAGTATTGTTTCTGTTTTGTGTCATAGTAAGAAACTGTCATACATTGTAAAATATCAGTAAAGACAAAAAAACCCACTTTTCTGCTTGAAAATGCGCGTTTCACAAAAAGGCTGTTTTCTCCAAATCTTGGTCAGGAAACAGCATTTTGTGTGAAGGTTACCTATGTTGCACTCTCAATTGCTAAAAAACTAAAAGGGGTAAAAACTTACTTTAAAAAAAATGAAAGCCAAGGGATAGAGCTTTCATTTGATATGTTTCATACTTGTGTCAACCAAGGGCTGACATTTCTATGCGGTTCGGAAAAACACTAAAAATGTCCAATCTCTGGCAGTATGAGGGATGCTGCTTTTTAAATGGCTGGCAGTGAATGAGTTAATGATTCAGCCATCTTTAGTGGGTTCATAGCCCTGAACCTTTCACTGGTTTGCTCTTTCAGCTTGAAAATCACTTTATACTCCACAAATGGCCACAAATTTGGCCATTTTAAGCAGTCAACTTCTGTCCTTCTCTAAAGAAGTGTCGTCCCGTTTTCTCAATACCTTATCCCTTTCACCACCCCCTGACGCAGAGGTCAAACAAACTATAGTAAGTACTGTCAATATTCCACGGTCCAATATAAGTGCAAATTCATACCTTACGAACGTCAAGACAAGTTGTCATACAGCAAAACAACGCAAGGAGACACCGAAAAAGAACTTTTAAAATTTCCCACCACAAAAAACACACAAAGGAAACAAAACATTTATTTTCACAATGGAAAAACACAACATTTTTGTGAGTATTTGTTCATATCAGGTTGTTGTATATATTTCAGATGTGGTAGGAAAAAAATCAATTAAGTTAAAAAAATAACTTAAGCACCAGGAGAAACAAATAAAAGCACAACATGATTGTGTCCTGTGGCTGTTGATGCAAAGGTTAGCTTGTTAGTCGCACACGGCTGTTTCAGTCACACTAGTGGGAGGGGGCAGCAGTTCTGCTCTGTGCAATACTCACATTCAATACTTATTTGAGACAATTAAATGCAGACTTTGTATTTTCCCAACTAGTGAGTTTAGTTTAAAAAAAGTGTCTGTTAGTTGTGAAGATGAGAATATATCTTTTCAGATAAACTTATTTGTTTGCTGCAACTACGTTTGTTCCTCTCATTTGATACATAGCTCTAGGGCAGACTCTAATGCAAGCAGGTGCTTATGGGTAATGAAAGAGTTTGAGTGCTGTCATTGCATTCAGGTCAGAGAGGCATTGGGCAAGTTCAGCTGTTTGCTACAGGCTGCCTGCTCCTGCACAGAGTCCAGCGACAGTCCGTGGTAAAGCTCGTGCACTTTGCACAAAGTCTCCTGTGTGTCCTCTGGGTACCGCGTCTGCAGTTCTTCATTGGCAACATAATGAGTTTCGATAAACTCTGAGAAATAGCGTCCCACCTCAGGGTGACCAATTTCCAACGGGGAAGAATGGGGTTCCAGGTTTTCTGAGGTGAGAAACATTACAAGCATCACAATTATGGTGTGTTCAGCACAACGGGTACAAGCACTTTACCTTGTGCTGCATAGCGGCAGGTGCCGTCCTGCACCAGCACATTGTAGAAAGGCTGGTTGGCACCTTTGGACAGCTGCGGGACTCTCATGGTCGTGATCCACTCCTGAGTCATTGTACATTTGGGGTCCCAGCCATAGATTACACAGTTATATCCCGACCTAAAATTAGCCACCAACCAAGGGAGTTACGACCTGGCAACAACACTAGGAAAAATGGAAAGCGCATTTCTTCAACAGACCTTTTATGTTTCATGATGAGTCCCACTGAGTATTGGACCTCCAGATGCTCCGGAGCACTGCGTCTCTTTTCATCCGGAGCCACAGGATGCTTCTTGTGCTGAATGTGCTCCAGTGTGTGCTGCACTAAATAACCCACAGCCCCATGCTGGGAGGGGTCTAATGCCTGGATATGTTGTAGAATATCAAGCACCTGGCATGGAAACAAAACTGACATTATATAGACGTCATTATAGATTGGATATTAGAACAGTTACTTATACAGAACAGCTCTGTAACTCTAACCCTTGTTAAACAAGTGTAACAAGTGGAGTCCTATAATGCTGTTTTAACAGAAGCATTGCTGATTAAGCGAGTACCTTTTCAGGCCAAATTCCCAGGTGAAAGTAGAGGCGAGCCTGGAGCAGCAGGTACTGCACATTGTCTGGATTGATTGTGAGGTAGAGGTCCAGCGAGTCTCTCAGAAGCTGGTAGGACTTCTCATTGCCCTCCCTTAATAAGCAAACATTGGTTTTAAATTTAAGCATTATTATGATGCTGTATCTAGTGGATAAATGTAAATTTAAGAATGAAGTCTTACCCCCTTTTGCCAATGTTGAGCAGGTTTCCCACCATTCTGAGGAGCACCTCAGTGGTGCTAATAGCACTGTAGTAATCTGCAGTCACCTGATGGCCAATGAGATACTCGCACTCCTTTGCAGTCAGCTGCTTTCCTTTCCCAAAGGCGTCAATATAGATGAAGTCATAGATGTCCTCACTTCTGTTTAAGAAATACCCACATTATTGAGCAGGGTTTCAGCTGAACTCCTGAAGAGGACCGTGCACTTTTCTACTTCACTGGAATTTGACTCAACGTCATATACCTTGGGGAAGTGATCTAGTGTGGAAAAAAGGTTGCAATAATTCTTACCTCCTTTGTCTTTGGCACCAGCGCAATAAGAAGTGATTAGGGAAGTTAACTGGTTCCAAATTAACACCCAGCTTATGTGCGAGTGTCATGTAGAGAACAGAGAGACTTATTGGAATGCCTGTATGGCGTAGTAGCACCTAAAGTTACAAATGACATCAATGTTGTCAAAATAAATGATGCATGTGTACACATTTAATTATACTGATACCTGATGAATGTAAGAATTCAGAGGATTGTAGTAGTCAAACTCATTGCCTTGGAACTGAAGCTGCTCATATAAAACAGAGTTTAGGGCCCACAGAAGCTGCCTCTGTAGTTCAGTGTCCTCTACGGCAAAACGGTGGTCTACACAACACAGGCTAAAATGTATTATAGTCATCATGAAAACATGCCAAATGTTTTCTCTTATTTCTAACCTTGAGCACAACGCAAGCTTGGGTGGGAAGCATTCTTCAGCCTTAAAGTTTTCTTAACTTTATCTACAATCTCATCCAACTGGGCTGAGATACCTTCTGTAGTTACTTCAGCCAATGGGTTACAATACTGATCCACAAGAACAGCACCTGGAGATACAATGTTAGTTACACTTGTATAGTTCAGTGCTTTCCACCAGTGGCTCTCAAAATGTATTTCATCAATGGAAACTGCAAATGCATTGACAGTTGATAAAAAATGTACCTTTAAGTGCAGACTGTTGTTCTTCAGGCTGTTCCAAGAATATCTTCAAACTTTTTAGGATATTCTGCTGTCGCAAGAAGTATAGAATTTTCCTTGCATAGTATTTCAAGGTCAAACTTTTCCTAAGAAAAGTTAAGATGCAATAAAAAGACACTTTAGTCCGAGTCAATTCAATTATTAAGTGTTATTCATAATTAAGTAAGTATTGGGAGGTTTTCAGTACAGTATGATAGTAGCTTAGTATACTACGATAGTAGTACTCAATGTGATTTCTTTACCTTTTGTCAGTGTTGAGGATGAAGAGGAGCTCATCTTCACAAAAGTGCTCAGGCATTCCCAGGGACTCAATCTCAGCAAAACTGTCACCTAATACTTGACCTACACAAGGCTAAATGCCAGATCTTGGAGTTAGAAGAGGCCTAACAAGTGTAAACAAAATTATGTTCATAAACCTGACAAAAATGCTACTTACAACTTCTGTGAAGAATCTCTTGGAGATTGATTCTACTGTCCCTCTTATTTGTATCCCAACTCTGTGGCGTGTCTTATATTCTTTGAGCCAGTCACAGCATTCATTCTGACGATAAAATTTCTGCAACCTTGGCCATCTGTGGACATTTCATAAAATATGGTCAGTGTTTCCCAATCATTAGGATGCCAAAGAAAAGCATCAAACATTATATACTTAGAAGTATCTTGACAACACAACCACAGTCTTTTTCCATTAGTCAAAAAATAACTTTAACGATGTTATGACAAATTATATTCTTCATTATTATCTTTATTAAAATTCAGGATGTCCTGCATGCACCACCTGCATGTGAATGCCAGATCCCTGGGCCTGGTTAATACTGTCTTTGATACTCTGAGATAACTCAGGAACATCAGGTACCACAGTGCGGTGGCTGAAAAGTGCCAAATTGTCATTGTGTCCTTAAGCAAGACACTTATTACTTAGTATGAGTCTGGTGTGTGTGCATGATTGGTGGCAACTGTAGCTAAAGTAGTGGTTTACCACAGAAGGAGTGAATAAATAACCTCATGTGAAGTGTGTCCAAAGTGTCAAAAAGCGCTCTTGAAAACTGCTTTATTATGATTATTATTAAAAAAGGTTAACGTGGATCACCATGTACCATCACAGTAAAATAATTGAATTGATGAAGGCAATCATTTTATCCTACCTGTCAGATGAAGAAACATTATTTAAGTCTGGAGTAGCAGAATATTTTAGCTGCATGGCCATGAACCACTGTATTACACTAAATTTATGCATTCAAGGCCATTATTGTTTTGTTTTTTTCATTACAAAGCCATATGAATACTTTTACCAGGTTCTTCAAACTCTGAAATGTTGCCACTGCTGCAGAATGACAGCACAGAACTACAGTAACGATACGTGGTGCATCATCCAGAAGCCCAAGAGGGGTTACTGCTACTTGCTAGTTTGAGACCTTGCATCATTATGCTGTATCTTAGCCTTAACGTCAAGATTTATCAAAACTACACGAGAACAAATGCACGTAACCGCAACTGTGAAGGCTAATCAGGTTATCCGATAAGCAAAGACTGAAGCACCTGAGTTTGTACTGGTGTTCCCAGACCTTCCCCCTTCCATGGCAAACGTCGTGTAGCCGCTTGCAACAACAGGACACGTTACAAATGTCAACGTGCTTTAAAACGGGTAAACAAAGAATGTATTCAATTAACTCAGTAGGTAAATCAGTCAGCTTTTTATCCTGACACTGTGAGGTAATCCCGTTCAGTCTTGGCTGTCCCTCCTCTGTCACAGACGTCGCCATCTTTGTTTACCCCATTACCTCATTTGGCCAGACACGCCCATTTATGGCGCAGGGGGCGTGGCTAATAGCAAGTCTGTCTCTTGATTGGTTTGTTCCGAAATGGGAAAGGCAGTCATGTTGTGTTCAATGAAATAGTTAAAACAGAATGTTATTATATACAAAATGGATGGATGAACCAGAACTCATGTTATCAATCATTTAACTTTAGCTAATTCAAGCTTATGTTTTTGCATAATTTGTTTTCATAGTTTATAAATGTCGACCATGTATGTTCTTGCTTTGCTGATTTATATTCATTTTTTTCGTTGCTTAATTTAATGTATTTGCATACTAACAAATAAACCTCAAAATGGTTACAAGCATAGTTGTGAATTGTATGGTTATGCTGAAGAATAGCAGCCACAGAGTTAAATACACTGTAAAGCATTTGGTAGAAATATATACAATTTTGACCTAAAGATTAGTTGATTTTAACCACTAAAAATAAACGAACATGGTAAAGCTGGTAGATGACACACCAATATTACCACACTGTTGACAGTCCTTGAACGCGGCTTAACTTAGAAAGCTAAAACGTTTAGCATAAGTTCAATGCACGAATAAAATACAGCATTTTGTTTAAAACATGGCAGTTTTGAGAGCGCAACGGAATCAACATGTTATTCTCCGAGTCTATATCTCTACTCTGATGTTGATTTATGTTTATTAGATCGCTTGCTAAACCGTAGTTCTATATTTCTCGTGAGGGATAGCACTTAGCTTCAGTCATAACACTGTAATAGGGCCTGTCATGGACATTGAAGGATATGAGTTGCCACTTAAAAGTTTATAACTGTCAAAAAAAGGTTTGTCTTCCTATTGGCATCTGTCCACTGTTGGTTTTACTGGATGATGCTTATATAGTAAACAACAATTCATACTGTTTAGCTCGCAACTTTCTTCGTTGTATTTATTAAAACATGGCAAGTGCTTTAGCGGCAAAAATGGGATTTAACTCTCTTCTGAGAAAACAGGCAAAGAACGTTAGTTTTAAGATCTGTACAATGGAATCAGATATGGAGTTCAGCTGTGAGGTACGTACCAGATTTGTATTTACTATTGTGTGTTTGCTCTCGTTTAATTTATGAAGAAACTCAAAGCATATTCATTTAATGTCAAATAACAAGAAAGGGACAAACAACGCCAAAAATAAAATGCAATCAACTACTATTTCTAACTATACCACTAGATGGCGCCAAGATTATACATTTGTTGGCGCTCTGTACCTGTTTCAATTTCTCAATTTCTTTTGATCTAATCTGACCTGCAATGTTTCTATTTGTTGTGATCTCCCTTAGATTATAATACATTTCAAATAAACATTTAATTAGATACTTCCATGTTCAATTTCAGGACAATGCAATACCTAAGTTAAGGCATGTTGTGGGTCCTGTGTTATTGTCTTAGCTTAGACTGCAACACGCATCTAAATTATGTTAATAATTTATGTTAACATTAACATTGTTAATATTCATGTTTGGTAGCCTCTGTTCCTTCTCTTTCCCTCCTATCCATGAATGCTTTTAACACCTCTGATGCTTGACACTTCTTGGATTTTGCAGGTCAAATTGAAAGGAAAGGAGCTTTTCGATCTCGTGTGCCGCGCTCTGGGCCTGAGGGAAACATGGTTTTTTGGGCTTCAGTACAACGTCAAAGACACAGTAGCCTGGCTGAAGATGGAAAAACGGGTGACTAACAGAGCACTGTTCAACACGGATTTTGTTCTGAACAATGGAAAAAGGTCTAAAAGAATGCTTTATTGATATAGGTTTTGGATCAGGAGATACCAAAGGAGGAGCCGATCACTTTCCAGTTTTTAGCCAGATTTTACCCTGAAAATGCAGAAGAGGAACTAGTGCAGGATATCACACAGCATCTGTTCTTTCTACAAGTGAGTATTTTTGACAGAGATTTGTCAAAATGTCTGTGTTCTGTCGACTTTCTTTATTTGTTATTTGTCAAAATACAACCTGGAATACTTGCAGTTATTATCACATGTGGATAGGCTCAATGATTCTATCTATAGCTGTGAACTATGTCCTCCTTGGTGGTTGACTATAAGAAGAAGGTTCGATCATACACTCTTTCATCCACACTCACCCCTCTAGACCCCTCAGGGAGGCAGTACTGCCTGTACTCAATAACTACATGGCAATTAGCTTCAAACCAGGACAAAATAAGACTTTCAACCACAGAATGCTTAAAATGTCAATATTAGAAAAGTACATAAATTCACCCTCACCATCATACAAGTGATACTTGAATAATAAAAAATATTCAATCATACAAAATATTCTGGTCTTAGATTTTAGTACCAAATCTATACATCCTAACTCACACTCAACTAGCATTTGTTCTTGTACTCTTACTACTACTTTCCAAAAGGGGGCATTAATCCGCCAGTTTCCTGGCTCTTTCCCTGAGTTTTCTGTGATACAATGTGTTTTTCCCTATTGTCCCTGTCTGATTGTGTGCAGCCATGTGGAATCAATGCCCAACATATTACTGCTGCCCTTTCTCTGCTCTTAATACTCCCACAAGGCAGCCACACTATTCCCTTGGTCAGAGAGGAGACTTGTAACTGTGCTGCAATCATCTGCTTCTGCCAGCCACATTTATCAATTACCAGTTAGGATTTGAGCTCCCCTTATTGGCCCATTTAATAGCAAATTCCCTGTACGATTCTTGTCCCTATTAGTGCCCTGTAGCATGTCTTATTCTGCCCATCGTGCTGCTTTTGTTTCAAGTTTAAAATTGGTGCACTTTAAAATTATTGTGATTGACCTCTTAATTATAGTTTCCATGTCAGTAGGTGGTTGCGTTCAGAGAAATAGGCATAGCTCATACTTGGGATAATAGAACTCAAAGAGAACCTTGTTCATTTATTCATCACACAGTTAATTCTATATTCTACATTCCCTCAATAAAACTTTACAAGGTTGTCTTCAAGTTCAAGGTTTTACTACTTGATAGATGATCGTATAGATTTACCTTTCTGGTCTAATCCCTCAAATCTTCCATAATTCTGTTCTTTAGATTAGAACTGACAGATACTGTATATTGTTATCAGACTGATAGCGAGATATGAACATTCAAGATATATAGTGAAAAAGCAACAATATAAATCATATTTATTTCTCAGTAAAATTCCAGTAAATTTCAGAAAAGCTAAACTCTTTTGATGTTGTTAAATGATTTTTTTTTTTTTTTAACTCTGAATCTGTATTTTATCAATATCAATATATATCAGACATGAATTTTGTGAAATTAAATGTTGTCCATATTGTTCAGCCCTAATTAAGATGCAATTTAAAGGTATATAAGAGGATTTTCCCAAATTTAGGAAAGAACTTCCCTCTCCACTTTGGTCTTATTTGAGGGGCACATACAGTATCACCAGAATGTTTGAAAATTGGGAGGACCAGTAGTCTTGATGATCCACCAGGAGGTAGAAAATCCTCCTATATACCTTTTAAACTTCCAAAAATTGCGCTAGAGGTTGGTGGCCTTTGGGCCTGAAGGTCGTGGGTTCGAGCCCACCATGAAACCTACTTCACGACTTCCACTGATGTCTTCTGTCGGTGTGTCTTTGGGCAAGACACTTCACCCTAATTTGCCTGAAGCCCCCACTGAAAGATCAAGACTCCTGTGGACTTACCACCTGCAGGAGGATCAGTGAGGGCTGATGCTCTGTGAAGTGGGTGCAGCTCTGACTGCCACCCCCCCAACTCTCAGTTGCAATTAATTTATTGACCATTTGCATATAACTATTAGATATAACCCAAAACAAGGTCGCACCATCTGGATTTTTGGACAGTTGAAAGACAAATTCTACATAATTTGCAGTGGATAGCCCTTGTGCTTCACAGCAAGAAGGTCTTGGGTTCGATTCCACATGCAGACGGGGCGTTTCTGCATCCAGGTAGGTTTCCTCCGGATGCTCCGGTTTTCTCCGGGTGCGCTGGTTTCCATCCATCCATCCATCCATCCATTTTCTTCCGCTTTATCCGTTGCCGGGTCGCGGGGGCAGCAGTCTAAGCAGGGACGTCCAGACTTCCCTATCCACACACACTTCCTCCAGCTCGTCCGGGGGGACCCCAAGGCGTTCCCAGGCCAGCTGAGAGACATAGTCCCTCCAGCGTGTCCTAGGTCTTCTGCGGGGCCTCCTCCCGGTGGGACGTGCCCGGAACACCTCCCCAGGGAGGCGTCCAGGAGGCATCCGGAACAGATGCCCGAGCCACCTCAACTGGTTCCTCTCGACGTGGAGAAGCAGCGGCTCTACTCCGAGCTCCTCCCGTGTGACTGAGCTCCTCACCCTATCTCTAAGGGAGCGCCCAGCCACTCTGCGGAGGAAGCTCATTTCGACCGCTTGTATCCGCGATCTCGTTCTTTCGGTCATTACCCAAAGCTCATGACCATAGGTGAGGGAGGGAACGAAGATTGACCGGTAAATCGAGAGCTTTGCCTTTCGGCTCAGCTCCCTCTTTACCACAACGGTCCGATACAGCGACCGCATCACTGCGCACGCTGCACCGATCCGCCTGTCAAGGCACCTTTTTCCGGTCGAGCACCATGGCCTCGGATTTGGAGGTGCTGATTCTCATCCCAGCCGCTTCACACTCGGCTGCAAACCGTCCCAGTGCATGTTGTAGGTCCTGGTTTGTTGGAGCCAACAGGACAACATCGTCCGCAAACAGCAGAGATGAAATCCTGTGGTCTCCGAACCGGACCCCCTCCGACCCCTGGCTGCGCCTAGATATTCTGTCCATAAATACAGTGAACAGAACCGGTGACAAAGGGCAGCCCTGTCGGAGGCCAACATTCACCGGGAACAGGTCTGACTTACTGCCGGCAATGCGAACACAGCTCTGGCTCCGGTCATACAGGGATCGGATGGCCCTCAGCAGAGGACCCCCGACCCGGTACTCCCGGAGAACCCCCCAAAGGACACCCCGGGGAACACAGTCGAACGCCTTCTCCAAATCCACAAAGCACATGTGGACAGGTTGGGCGAACTCCCATGAACCCTCGAGTATCCGATGGAGAGTATAGAGCTGGTCCAGTGTTCCGCGACCGGGACGAAAACCACACTGCCCCTCCTGGATCCGAGATTCAACCATCGGCCGTAGCCTCCTCTCCAGTACCTTGGAGTAGACCTTACCGGGGAGGCTGAGGAGTGTGATCCCACGATAATTGGAACACACCCTCCGGTCCCCCTTCTTGTAGAGAGGGACCACCACCCCGGTCTGCCACTCCATTGGCACTGCCCCCGATCGCCACGCGATGTTGCAGAGACGTGTCAGCCAAGACAGTCCTACAACATCCAGAGACTTTAGATAATCAGGGCGGATCTCATCCACACCCGGAGCCTTGCCACCATGGAGGCTACCAACCACCTTGGTGACCTCAGCCAGGGAGATGGATGTATCCGCCCCAACATCCTCAGCCTCTGCCTCTGAAACAGAGGACGTGACGGGGGGATTGAGGAGAACCTCAAAGTATTCCTTCCACCGCCCGACAATATCCCCAGTCGAGGTCAGCAGCTCTCCACCCGCACCGTACATGGTGTTGGCAAAGAACTGCTTCCCCCTCCTGAGGCGCCGGATGGTTTGCCAGAATCTCTTCGAGGCCGACCGATAGTCATGCTCCATGGACTCTCCGAACTCCTCCCAGTCCCGGGTTTTTGCCTCTGCAACAGCCCGGGCCGCGGCACGCTTGGCCTGCCGGTACTGGACAGCTGCCTCAGGAGTCCCCCGAACCATCATGGCTCGATAGGACTCCTTCTTCAGCCTGACAGCATCCCTTACTGCCGGTGTCCACCACCGGGTTCGGGGGTTGCCGCCGGGACCAGCACCAGAGACCTTGCGACCACAGCTACGAGCCGCCGCATCGGCGATTGAGGCAGAGAACATGGTCCACTCGGACTCCATGTCCCCCTCCTCCGCCGGGACCTGGGAGAAACTCTCCCGGAGGTGTGAGTTGAAAGTCCGTCTGACAGGGGGCTCAGCGAGACGTTCCCAGCAGACCCTCACTATACGCTTGGGTCTGCCAGGTCTGACCGGCTTCTTCCCCTGCCAGCGGATCCAACTCACGACCAGGTGATGATCGGTTGACAGCTCCGCCCCTCTCTTTACCCGAGTGTCCGAGACACGCGGTCGAAGGTCAGATGATACGACAACAAAGTCGATCATCGACCTCCGGCCTAGGGTGTCCTGGTGCCACGAGCACTGGTGGACACCCTTGTGCTCGAACATGGTGTTCGTGATGGACAAACTGTGACTGGCACAGAAGTCCAACAACTGAACACCGCTCGGGTTCAGATCAGGGGGGCCATTCTTCCCGATCACCCCTCTCCAAGTGTCACTGGCGTTTCCCACATGGGCGTTGAAGTCCCCCAGGAGAATAACGGAGTCCCCGGGCGGTGCACCGTCCAGTACCCCTCCCAGGGACTCCAAGAAGGCCGGGTACTCTGCACTGCTGTTAGGCCCGTAGGTCGTCACAACAATGAGAGACTTGTCCCCCACCCGGGGGCGGAGGGACGCGACCCTCTCATTCACCGGGGAGAACTCCAACACGTGGCGGCTGAGATGGGGGGCAATGAGAATGGCCACCCCAGCTCGCCGCCTCTCCCCGCGGGGAACTCCAGAAAAGTGGAGCGTCCAACCCCTCTCAAGGAGTTGGGTTCCAGAGCCCAAGCTGTGTGTGGAGTAGGGATGTAAATCGGTGACCGTTTAACCGGTGGTTGACCGTCACAGCGTTAACCGGTCAAAGCTGTCGGTTAAAAATAAGAAAAAGCGGAGAGGGGAGGTCTCTTAATAAGGCTATTTTAAGCCCTATTTGTACGATGTGACGAGCGGGTCCGTATCTAGCTGTGTGCGCCAATGCATTAGTAGACTACGGGCGACTTTCATGGCGCACGCTCCACATATGCACGCAGCCACGCACACGCACGCGCGCGCGCACACACACACACACATACACAAACACTTTCCCCCCCTCCATACGTAACATCCACACGCATCATCTCTCCCCTCTGTTACCGCCAAAGTTCCACACTAGTGCAGGTCAGAACTACATTGGAGCTTATATTTACACACACATACATACATGTATTGTACACACACACATACCGGTCTGTCGCGCACCTCTGTCTCGCAGCCCAAAGAATCCTCGCAAATACGCGGCCCCAGTCAAACACATGAAACATGTTTGTGCTGCTGGTCCTTGTCATTAGATCAGATCCACACACATCACTTTTAAACTTTAGCGGAAACCTGCGAGACGCGGGGTGTAACTCGCTGCTCTGACCATGTGAACAAGCCGTCTTTTGCTTAAAAATGCTTTAACCCGCAGCACAGCAGAATGGGAAGATTAAAAAAGCAGTTCTCTGTGCGCAAAGGTGCCGAAGCTGTTGCGGGTTTTGGCGCCGCTGTCTCAGCTCTGATCTAGTAGAACGCATAAATAAACTTATGAAAAGTACGCGGCTCGAAATGGCTGCTATTTCAAAGAACGTGGAATATTATAAACTACGTGGTTAACCGGTTTCAACCGGTTAATGAGGCTCGGTGGTCGGTCATGAAAATGCATAGTTTTTTACATCCCTAGTGTGGAGGTGAGGCCGACTATCTCTAGTCGGTATCGCTCAACCTCCCCCACAAGCTCGGGCTCCTTCCCCCCCAATGAGGTGACGTTCCACGTCCCAAGAGCCAGATGTTGTGTGTGCGGACTGGGTCGCCGAGGTCTCCGCCTTCGACCGCTGCCCAGTCCTCTCTGCACCGCTTCGCCACCACGGACCCCTCTGCGGGTGGTGGGCCCACAGGAGGGACTGCCCATGTCGTCCATTCGGGCTGAGCCCGGCCGGGCCCCGTGGGCTAAGGCCCGGCCACCAGGCGCTCGCCTACGAGCCCCGACCCCAGGCCTGGCTCCAGGGTGGGGCCCCGGCTGCGCCATGCCGGGCGACGTCACTGATCTCGTAATAGTGCTGTCCATGGTGTCTTTTGGACTGCTCTTTGTCTGACTCGTCACCTGAGACCTGTCTGCCATGGGAGGCCCTACCAGGGGCATGAAGCCCCAGACAGCATAGCTCCCAGGATCATCTGAGTACTCAAACTCCCCCACCACGTTAAGGTGGCAGTCCAGGGGGGAGCTGGTTTCCACTACCACTAAAAACATGTACGATAGGTCCGGGATGCACCTCCTATATGGCAACCCCACTCCCATTACTGTGTGGAGTGAGAGGAAAAATGCCCAAGAATAGTTGTAAATAAAATGCTTTGTGACAGGAAAATAAATTACATACTTACTATAACCATTGTCAAAAAACAAGATAATTATTAACTTAATAAACAATTAAGCTTTTTTTTTTTTACAATCTACAAAACAGACAAATTGGTTGACTAACGGCTGAAGCGCAACATCGTTACAAGTGCTGAGGAATACAAATTGTCCTGTCCCATGTCGCTCCTCTCCTCATTACTCTGCTCCCTTTCAGATCGTGTGGCAGACATGACAGCAGGATTAGCACTTATCAGAAACGATCAGCGACTTGAATACAAACACCTACACGCACATGCCTTCACTCTCTGCTACGCTCCCCCAGACCGCCGCTCGTCTTTACCCTGCTCTGACCGCTAAAATATCACCTCATTTGTTTACCAGGTCTACTGACTGACCCCGATTAGCCACTGTCATCATTGTCCACACCTTTGTTAGTTCAAAAATATAAGATGAAGTTTATGTGCACAGTGTAAGCATGTCCTAAACCAGTAAGCAGAAATAACACTTTTCCTTATGTTCAAATGTGCTGGTTTTGTGTTCCTTTTTGTCCAGCTCTTAGTTAGGGATTTATTAACATCCTTATTATATTATTTTTATATTCACAGGTGAAAAAGAACATTCTTGAAGAAGAGATTCACTGTCCACCCGAGGCTTCTGTCCTGTTGGCGTCCTATGCCGTCCATGCCAAGGTTAGTGAGCTGCTCCCTCTCCCAACAATGAAACGTTAATGATATTTGTACATGGATTGATTACATGAAGTATATCAGAAGACACATATGAAAGCTATTTGTATTAAACAGTCATTTAAATCTTTAAACAGTATTATTATGAATGGCACTATACGTGTTGACAGGTTTCAACCACTTGTTTTACTAAAAGTACTTCTAATATTTTTTTGATTGTGATAAAAAATGTAACAGAATATTTAAGTTTTTCTTTCTGATAAAAAATTATGATATTCCTTGTTTCACACTGGACACAAATGTAACACTGGATTGTTTTATTAAATTAGTATTCTTAATGTCACTAAAATAAGTTTGTATGACCATTTTCCCATTGAATTTGTATATTTTGATGGAAATTGTGAGTCACTATGGAAACAATCATCACTTTTCATCACTTTGAAACCATGGGTATTTTTTGATACATTTTGCTTATTCCTGGCATCATGTCTTCACCAACCTTTTTCTTCTGTATTTTTAAACATATTTTTAACGTTTCTTGAAAAACATAACAAATCTTAAAAAAGAAACAAAAATATGTCATAAACACTGAACACTGACGGCACAAAAACATCCTTCCCCCACAGTGCGCTGATATCCCAACGTGATATTCAGCGAGGTGGTTTTAATTTCTCCAATCCCGTTTGTGCCACTACTTTCTCAACTCTGGCATAATACTGAATAATTATTTAGGGCAGAGTTAGCACGACAACGAAAAACCGTGACGTCGCCCGGCATGGCGCAGCCGGGGCCCCACCCTGGAGCCAGGCCTGGGGTCGGGGCTCGCAAGCGAGCGCCTGGTGGCCGGGCCTTAGCCCACGGGGCCCGGCCGGGCTCAGCCCGAAGGGATGACGTGGGCAGTCCCTCCTGTGGGCCCACCACCTGCAGAGGGGTCCGTGGTGGCGAGGTGCAGAGAGGACTGGGCAGCGGTCGAAGGCGGAGACCTCGACGACCCAGTCCACACACCCAACATCTGGCTCTTGGGACGTGGAACGTCACCTCACTGGGGGGGAAGGAGCCCGAGCTTGTGGGGGAGGTTGAGCGATACCGACTAGAGATAGTCGGCCTCACCTCCACACACAGCTTGGGCTCTGGAACCCAACTCCTTGAGAGGGGTTGGACGCTCCACTTTTCTGGTGTTTCCCGCGGGGAGAGGCGGCGAGCTGGGGTGGCCATACTCATTGCCCCCCATCTCAGCCGCCACGTGTTGGAGTTCTCCCCGGTGAATGAGAGGGTCGCGCCCCTCCGCCTCCGGGTGGGGGACAAGTCTCTCACTGTTGTGACGGCCTACGGGCCTAACGGTAGTGCAGAGTACCCGGCCTTCTTGGAGTCCTTGGGAGGGGTACTGGACAGTGCACCGCCCGGGGACTCCGTTATTCTCCTGGGGGACTTCAACGCCCATGTGGGAAATGCCAGTGACACTTGGAGAGGGGTGATCGGGAAGAGCGGCCCCCCTGATCTGAACCCGAGCGGTGTTCAGTTGTTGGACTTCTGTGCCAGTCACGGCCTGTCCATCACGAACACCATGTTCGAGCACAAGGGTGTCCATCAGTGCACGTGGCACCAGGACACCCTAGGCCGGAGGTCGATGATCGACTTTGTAGTCGTATCATCTGACCTTCGACCGCGTGTCTCGGACACTCGGGTGAAGAGAGGGGCGGAGCTGTCAACCGATCATCACCTGGTCGTGAGTTGGATCCGCTGGCAGGGCAGGAGGCCGGTCAGACCTGGCAGGCCCAAGCGTGTAGTGAGGGTTTGCTGGGAACGTCTTGGTGAGCCCCCTGTCAGACGGACTTTCAACTCACACCTCCGGGAGAGCTTCTCCCAGGTCCCGGCAGAGGAGGGGGACATCGAGTCCGAGTGGACCATGTTCTCTTCCTCTATCGCCAATGCGGCGGCTCGTAGCTGTGGTCGCAAGGTCTCTGGTGCTGGTCCCGGCGGCAATCCCCGAACCCGGTGGTGGACACCGGCAGTAAGGGATGCCGTCAGGCTGAAGAAGGAGTCCTATCGAGCAATGATGGTTCGTGGGACTCCTGAGGCAGCTGTCCAGTACCGGCAGGCCAAACGTGCCGCGGCCCGGGCTGTTGCAGAGGCAAAAACCCGGGACTGGGAGGAGTTCGGAGAGTCCATGGAGCATGACTATCGGTCGGCCTCGAAGAGGTTCTGGCAAACTGTCCGGCGCCTCAGGAGGGGGAAGCAGTTCTTTGCCAACACCGTGTATGGTGCGGGTGGAGGGCTGCTGACCTCGACTGGGGATATTGTCGGGCGGTGGAAGGAATACTTCGAGGTTCTCCTCAATCCCCCCGTCACGTCCTCCGTCCAGGAGGCAGAGGCTGAGGATGTTGGGGCGGATACTTCCATCTCCCTGGCCGAGGTCACCAAGGTGGTTGGCAGCCTCCATGGTGGCAAGGCGCCGGGAGTGGATGAGATCCGTCCTGACTATCTAAAGTCTCTGGATGTTGTAGGACTGTCTTGGCTGACACGTCTCTGCAACATCGCGTGGCGATCGGGGGCGGTGCCAATGGAGTGGCAGACCGGGGTGGTGGTCCCTCTCTACAAGAAGGGGGACCGGAGGGTGTGTTCCAATTATCGTGGGATCACACTCCTCAGCCTCCCCGGTAAGGTCTACTCCAAGGTACTGGAGAGGAGGCTACGTCCGATGGTCGAATCTCGGATTCAGGAGGAGCAGTGTGGTTTTCGTCCCGGTCGCGGAACACTGGACCAGCTCTATACTCTCCATCGGATACTCGAGGGTTCATGGGAGTTCGCCCAACCTGTCCACATGTGCTTTGTGGATTTGGAGAAGGCGTTCGACCGTGTTCCCCGGGGTGTCCTTTGGGGGGTCCTCCGGGAGTACGGGGTCCGGGGTCCTCTGCTGAGGGCTGTTCGGTCCCTGTATGACCGGAGCCAGAGCTGTGTTCGCATTGCCGGCAGTAAGTCAGACCTGTTCCCGGTGCATGTTGGCCTCCGCCAAGGCTGCCCTTTGTCACCGGTTCTGTTCACTGTATTTATGGACAGAATCTCTAGGCGCAGCCAGGGGCCGGAGGGGGTCCGGTTCGGGAACCACAGGATTTCACTCTACTTTTTGCGGATGATGTCGTCCTGCTGGCTCCAACGAACCAGGACCTGCAACATGCACTGGGACGGTTTGCAGCCGAGTGTGAAGCGGCTGGGATGAGAATCAGCACCTCCAAATCCGAGGCCATGATGCTCGACCGGAAAAAGGTGCCTTGCCCTCTCCAGGTGGGTGGAGAGGTCCTTCCTCAAGTGGAGGAGTTCAAGTATCTCGGGGTCTTGTTCACGAGTGAGGGGAGGATGGAGCGTGAGATTGACAGGCGGATCGGTGCAGCGTGCGCAGTGATGCGGTCTCTGTATCGGACCGTTGTGGTAAAGAGGGAGCTGAGCCGAAAGGCAAAGCTCTCAATTTACCGGTCAATCTTCGTTCCCTCCCTCACCTATGGTCATGAGCTGTGGGTAATGACCGAAAGAACGAGATCGCGGATACAAGCGGTCGAAATGAGCTTCCTCCGCAGAGTGGCTGGGCGCTCCCTTAGAGATAGGGTGAGGAGCTCGGTCACACGGGAGGAGCTCGGAGTAGAGCCGCTGCTTCTCCACGTCGAGAGGAACCAGTTGAGGTGGCTCGGGCATCTGTTCAGGATGCCTCCTGGACGCCTTCCTGGGGAGGTGTTCCGGGCACGTCCCACCGGGAGGAGGCCCCGGGGAAGACCCAGGACACGCTGGAGAGACTATGTCTCTCAGCTGGCCTGGGAACGCCTAGGGGTCCCCCCGGACGAGCTGGAGGAGGTGTGTGTGGATAGGGAAGTCTGGGCGTCTCTGCTTAGACTGCTGCCCCCGCGACCCGGCAACGGATGAAGCGGAGGAAAATGGATGGATGGATGGAGTTATGCTGCAAAATGCTGGAACCTACTGGCCATGGATCAAGCAAAGTGTTTCTCCAGGTCCAATCAAAGCACTGTAGGAGAAGGAGCTTTGCCTGTTAGATCTCCGGAGATCTCTGCGGTTGTGGTTGAATGATTTCATCTGTGAAAAACTCCAGGGGTGAGATAGTGTGAGGAAGGTGCAGCTCTGGCAGACGGACAGGCTCTTGTGAGACTAGAGCTGCTCCAAGCCCTTTGAGGCACCTCTCTCTCATGCCAGTAGCTTAAAAGAAAAATATGTACATAGGAACCAGCAAGCCTCCACTGCATCTGTCCTGGTTTGATACGACTTTATTTAGTGGGATTTCACAAAGAGAGATTCACTCCCTTATTTCATGTATGCATTATAAACTAACTAACAAGGCCTGTTATAATAATGACGACATAAAGGTAATATTCAGTAAATAATAGCGAGAGAGCAATATATTATGTAGTCTGGTCTTTTTTTATATTTATAATGCCGTTTTCTTAGCAGACACAGAAGAAATATCTAGATAACCAACCTCATCAGTTGTAAATAATCTTATAGCCATAACCCATTGTTCTTTGGGTTGTGGTTGCTATGGCAATGAATAAGGAGCGTGCCAGTAGATTCAAAAGGCAGTTCACTTGACAAAGGAGAAGCCAGGTAGCAACACATAAAGCGCATTTTGTCCCTCAATACTTCTTTACAATCAGCAGGACAATTCTGGACCCAAACTCAATCTCAAAAAGTCTTTTATAAACACCCCAATTTCCTAAAGTTGTTTGAGTATCTCAAGTTTTTTGTTGCTATTTCAATACAATTAGCACATACTCTATTTTAAGAAAGTAGTACGGTAGTTAAAATAGTTTCGTGATTGTGGAGAAATCTGTCTGCATGTATTGTGTGTTTGGTGTATGCATCACCAAATTAGATCTACGCTGATTTATTTTTAAATCGTGATTAAATCAGCCCCGGGAAGAGTGTGGCAGCACTTGTGCGTGTTTTTGCAACCCAGATTCTTAGATAATTGTCTATGGCGCTAGATGATATTTTTCAACATGTAAATCTTAAGTATCAGTCAGAAGCCGCACTGAGGATTTACTTGGGATTATAATTGAGGATTTACTTGGGAGTACTCAAGATGGTAATTCTGTATCAATACTTACTCTAAGTCTTACCTTATATTGGCAACACGAGAAAGGAAGGAATGAATAAAAAGCAAATGTTACAATGGCTTGCAAAACAGGGGTAGTTCTGAAGTAGAAAAGTATATTAGTTTTGATGGATGTTGATGTGTCTTTTTATTTGATAATTAATTTATTAGCTGTGTTTTGGCTGTCGAGCTCGCCACAATTATGTCTGTTTGTCTCCAAAATGAGAGCACCATTAATAGCTATAGAAGCAGGATCCTGATGACTTTTTGATCTTCTTTTTAATTGAACGCTATCAAAATTTCTAATTGCGGCTGTGTCTTAATTATTGTGACTTTGCATCCTATCCCCCTTTAAGTGCACTAATTATAGCGTCTCCCATAGAACACACATGTCGTATTTACGCATCAAAAATTCAACAATACCAATCCTTCTCTGAAATGTGCACCATGTCATTATTCTTTTCAATTTACTTCATGCAGTCGTAACAATCTTTTGTATTTAAAACAGTTGCGAGAGAGATAAGAATGCAATAGATACCAATGACAGAATATGGATTATTTCAGGGAAAGCATTATTATCCATGTAGATTCAGTTTATGTACACTTAAAACACGTGAATTTAGTTAAATGCAGTATTTAAAGTGGAAAACATGAATCAACATAAGGAGCCAAAAGCTTGTTTAGCCAAAAGCCTTAAAATGAAGACACAGAGAAGAAAAGCTAAGTTTCCTTTCAAAGTGAAAAAAAAACCCCCAAAACAATGCATATTTATCACATTTAGGATGTTTAACTCAATATTCTGAGGTACATAAGACTTTAGTAACTTCATTATGTAAATATGGTGACGCCTCAGGTGATATGGAACATGAGGTTTAAACAGTATTAATAAAAGGTACTTTGCTTTGGAATCCTCCCTGGCCGTGGTATAAAACATATTTTCAAATCTAACTGGAGTCTAATGCAAATGCACTTTGGCACTGAGTTGTTGTGTTTGGTTTTATTCCAACATAAATCTTTTAGCACAGAACAGATATTACATAAACAGTTATTAAGGTGCAGCCATATTTCTTCATTATAAGATGTGAAATCTGATCTGAGCTCTTTAGACTTTGGACCAGGGAGAGTAGAGTTCAATCGGTCTGCAGTGCTTACGGTAATTTGCGATTTGTATTCGGAACGCGCGCTACCGAGAAGTGCGCTAAATATGAAGAAGCGCATGAGAGCCATTGACACAGGCTGATTAAAAGGTTCGTACCCACAGCTCTGGTCTTGTGGCGCCGTGAAGGATCATGGCAAAAACGCGATGGGGTGTCTTCTGTGGCTCTGGGCAGCTTTGTACATGGTCTAACAATGTCAATACTGTGATTCTCAAATAAATTAAAAGTTCTTGGATCGAACCCTTGGTCACATTGCATCCGATTCAAATGGGGTTTTTTTCTCACAATATTGATAAAGATGCTTGTGAAACTGTTGGTATCAGTATGACATGGTTCTTAGTTGGGAATACGTATGATATGAAGTGGCAAATGACCACTGACTAGATTGAACCAATTTAGTCATGTGCCGTTTTTATCATTTGTTGTATTACTGGCATTATGAGGGTGGAATTCAAGTTCTTTTTGTTATCCTGAAAAATACATTTTGGAATAATGAATGAGCAGACAGCACTCATTGTATCCTGTTCTAGTAATAATTAAATGCATATTGAAAACAAAACCAAAAACTTTTCATCATTACAGAACAATAACTTCAAAGCAGAAACCTGAAGTGAATGTTTATTTTGCCTCCCCTTTTTACTAGTTTCATTTTTATAAGTGATTGTATACATGAAGACAGTCTTTCAGAAGCAACGGTATATACAGTTTAAGATTCAGAGTTATTATAGCCGTCTAGAATGGTACTTTTAAACATATTATTGAAGTGGAAAAGCGTATTACGGGATTTAAATTAATCTGTATAGAGACCATTAGATAAACAAACAATATTTAATTACAGAACTTCTTCATGCAATATATTGGATTGCTCAACTGATGACAAATATAACCGTTCTGAACCCAAAATATAGGATTAGGATTAAGGAACATATTTTGTAACTGACATCCTAACATCATTGTAAGTCAGAAGGATTTATCTTATCGGTAAATCAATCTGCATTTACTTATTTCCAACCCTTTTTTATTCCATTGTCTTGCTGCGACAGAGTTCACGCCTTTCTCGGTTTGATTGGAATAGCAGTGGCATTACAAACAACTCGACAATGGCTACAGAAACGCAGCTAAAGTGACTGTCGAGCATTGTTAATTCTCTCAAGCTGTGCAGAAAGCGAAGAATACATTTGAGCGAACTCACCCAAGTCCATTTACCAGACTTCTCCACTTTTGCAGAGTACAATTAAGAGGCAAAAGCATTGACGTGCAGCTGTTGCCACACGTCGATGCCGTTCAATCACTGCTTTTAGTTTGAACTGTGGCGAAAGAACGGTGTCACTCACGCCGCTTCCTTCAGACTCTGGAGCTATGTTTTATTGAGTTCCAGAAAGAATCGGAGGCGTAGTAGTAGCTGTCGGTGTGGAAAAACAGAAGGATCTAATTAAACGGCTCTGGGCCCTTCTCGGCTCTGGCCACTGTGCAGGAGCTCCAGCCTTTCCAGTCTGCCGCAGAGCTAATTAAATTCAGAGCAGTTTAGTAGTGTTTGCAAACACGGAGGTTCAGTGGATGCATTTAATATAGTGGATAATTGCACACAAAAAAAAAAGAAATTTGTCGCTTCACTGTCAACAAATACCAACTGCTGCAAAGTGGAGGACAGATTGGGAACGAATTCACCAAAAGAAAACCCATGCATCAAGGCTTTAGAGCTGCGACTAGATTATTTTCCTGATGTTTCTTAGGATTTTTTTTCTCCTGGATTGGAAAATACTCCCTGCCTATTTTCTCTAGTCTAAATCCATTGAACATTATTAATGGAAACTCAATTTCCCGAGGACCCTTTGGAGCTCAAACAAGTGGCTGGACTCTTTATATGAAGCTGAGGTCCTATAGTTTTGCCCTCTGATGACTCATTTACTCTAATTCTAAGTGGCAATAGTCTCAGCAGAGTAACTCCAGTCAATATGTTTAAACTATTATAGCAAAATGTTTGATTTGACTAGAAATAAAAGTAATGTGTGTTTATTTATAGCATTTTACTCATCAGGAGTGCCACCTGTTACTGTTATTTACCTTTGACAAAAAATGAATGAATCCCACTAGAGTTGAAAACAAACTTTTTCCCCCCCTCAATTTTCATACAAGGAATTTCTTTTCATTGTCTAAGCCATACAACCCGACTCAGAAGATAGTTCGCACATTGTTCCGATGCTGATCATTTGATTTGAACATGACGCCACGGCAAGAGCTCTGGTGTGCACTATCTCTTCTGTCTGGTGCAGAATGTGGCTTTACTGCAAATGGCAAATAGACTGAATCTTGATCATCAAATAGTATTTTTTTTTTTATTTTTGAACTTGAAAACCTAAGTTGTTGTCTAAGTAGCTTGTTGGCCAGTAGATAGTGATGCCTTCCTTCACCTGCCCTTACCTGTGTTTAGGGATTGCTTCTGTCTGTTCAAAACTGGGTTGACATCATGGTGATATATGAAAATGAGTTGGCCCGTCAACTTCTAAAGTGGGATTTTAATTGGTGAAGTTTTCTGATAATTTAAAAGCGTCATTCAAGTAATACATTGTCCATGAATATTAAGGCAGACCTAAAATACTTAAAGCCATGGTTCTTTTCACCTAGCCTAGTTGTGCCAGTATTATGACTCACCTACTTTTCCCACCCTCTTTAATCACACAGCCACAAAGTACATGTGTAATTCATGTTCTCTGCAATTAAGTGAATAAAACCTCCCTCAGGATCCCACACAATACTAATCCATTCATTTGTCTGTTTAAAGCTGTGCAGTTTGTGTGTAATGATTAATAAGCGGTCTCCTTTCCCTCTAATAGCATCATTTACATTGGAGCACAACAACTGGGCCACTCCGAGTGTAATGACCCAGTGGCTGTCAAACCTCCATTCAGCTCCTGGACCACATTTTTCTCACTGCATTGGAGGTTTTTCATGAATTAAAAAATCCCTAAGAACACGCAAAGCCCCCAGTGTCATGATGTATGTATTTCCATTTACATCATGGGTAATAGTCTGACTTATTTGCACAAAAACAACATTTGTAAAGGCATTTTGATTATTGGTAATTTAGGCAATACAAGTTATTTTTTAAATTGTGTCATTTATTTTGTTCATTCTTGTTTTCTGATTTCAGTATGGGGACTATGACCCCAGCCTCCACAAACCAGGCTTCTTGGCTGAAGAAGAACTGCTACCAAAAAGAGTATGTGTTTTTTTAAATATTTTGAGTAGGTGTTTATGTAGATGTATGTAGATAAACACCTACATTTCGATAATGATATTCAGACTTAATGATATTTTAAATGCGTTACTTTGTTTTGATAGATATAAAGTAGAAAAGAGAAAACTTTGAAATATAAATGTTCAAAAGATTGCATCAGGTTTTTCGCTGTCATTTCTTGCTAGAGACTGACATGTTTAAATTGTGCTTCTTGCCATCTGCTTCCATCCACCCATTCATTCATTCATTCATCTATAACCATGGCATGATAAACCTCATTTTAAAGTTTTCTCTGGAAAACAACCACATAATTTTACTCACACTGAACAATGAACCTAAAACAACAATAATATTAGTAATAAAACCAAAACCATATCCATACCAATATTAATGCACAAGACGAGCTATAAACAAACCTTTCACATATGCAAATCTGGAGATCCTGGCGTTCATGTTTTTTCTTTCTCTCTTTCTCTTCTTTAAAGTATCTATCAATATCCATGAAATAATTATGAGGTAAAAATGTGGCCTTCGCATGTAAATCAGAATCAATGATGGGTATTATGTATATTGACCTCCTCTACTTAAAATGCGCACCCTGCAGTGTACTGTTGTCACCCAGCTATCATTTATTTATGTGCCCTTGTCTATTTCAGGTAATTAACTTGTACCAGATGACTCCTGAAATGTGGGAGGAGAGGATCACGGCGTGTTACGCACAGCACCGGGGTAGGACGAGGTAAAAGCCGCAGCGTTCCTCTGCACACTGACGTCTCAGTCGAATACCTATTCAGCTTACGTAACTCCAGGGTATGACTCTTTGTCTAAACGTAGTTCATACCACTGCGAATTATTGAGCCGCAGCAGTGTTCCGAGTATGTTTTTCAATCTCTTATCAATTTACTAGTTCTATAAAAAGACTTGGAGTCAGACAAGCAGCAGTAAGAAGATCTGTAATCGAGTTAATGTGAGGCAGTAAGTTTGAAATTATACTGTGTGGAACATCTCTGGCAGCACACATACATTTCAAAGAGACATGATGTGACCCTCTATAAACCTTTGTTATTCATAATTTACAGGTATGTGTGAGTGTGGGCGCGCATATGGGAGTATACATTATTAGCCCTAAATTATTTCTCTCTGCCCTATTTAGTTTAATTATTCCTTTTTTATTGGTTCGGTTTATATTGATATAATGATTTTTGATGTATGATTTGCTCGGAAAAAAGGACATTGGTAATAATTCTCAAGGCAAAAACTCAAAAGTATACAAAACATAATTGGCAGATGCATCTAATACATGGATCAGTTCTATTGTTTTAGCTTTCCAATTACATAGACAAGTGCACAGATAGCAAGTCCACCACTCGTGATAGTTGCTTATTTGCATTGTTTGTCCCTCAAGAGGCTTTTCAAGAATTTAATGGAAATTTCCCTTAAATCCCTGCAGCAGTGATTTGTGTGTTCCGAAGCACGTCCTCTTTTTTATTCCCCTGCTATGTATAAGCGCCAGTGCTAGCAGATAAGTATTAGATGAGTCATTGTTAGTTCTGTCCAAAACCAACAAAAAAGAAGGCAGCTAATTCCCTCGCTTTGTTTAGGAGTTGTAAGAAATGACAGAAGAAAAGCTGAAAAATATCTGTACATGTTTGTTGTTCGAGATATCATTGCAATTGTTTGCCAAAGCCGCTGCCAAGGGTTTTCCAAGATATTCAAATGTGGATAGTTGAAAGTAAATGTATCTACTGTATCTCTGAGCTAAAACTTGGCCTTGTGTTTTTTTTTGGTTGTTTTACTTGTTGATGTTGTCTACTAGTCTACTGTGAATCAACAAGGATTTACATGTATCTATAATGATAAGTTAAAAATAATAACATATTCTGTGGCAGATCCTACACCAATAATATACAGACGTTTCAATGTACCTTTTAAGCTGGAGTAACACTTTAAAACTATAAAAAAATTAACCATGCATTTAATACCATTTGGCTTTTTGGTGTCCCCAGTTTCCACGTGCATGTATTTTTGGCGTCCTTCACATCTTTAGACCCGCCTTTCCAGTACCAGCCCTGACTCATGTATTAGACAATAAGCTTCCAGAATAAGATAAAAATCCTTTCTAATGAGATAAAGACAATATTTTGTAGTCTGATTTGTCTCTTTATGTTGGGACAAACACAATTTATTTATAAAAAGTTTGGTGCCCCATTTTAAAGTTGACTCATATGCCATAGTAATTCAATACGGCCATAGATATGACTGTTACAAGTTAACTGGGTCATAACAGTCAGGATGAGAGAAATACTGCTTTGATTTAGTACTATAATAACCCATGCGTTTAGTACTACACTGATTGTCTGAACGGCTCGCTTCTCTTGAACTCCATTAATGTACTCTTCCACTGAAGTCAGACATACTTATGCTGTTTACTCGGATAACACTTTGATGAGGCTAAATCACCCATTTCTCAGCATGCAACTCAAACAGCCAGTTATTAAGAGTTCAGCAGCCAGCATCCCTGCTTCTCACACCAACCATCAAAGTATGCTAATATTCTTTTCCCCCGTTCAGACCTGACCCTGAAAGCAACCAATCTGCAACGCCTCACCAGCAACAAGCCGAGTTATGTTCAATAGGGGTGTAACAATCCCAGTACCACGATGCACCGCAATGCAATAATGTTAACTGTATGCGTCATTCAAATTACATATTTACTATATTCATGCACTAAGAAATTATTTATACATGTTAAAAAAGCCTGTGGAAAATCACCAAAGTGTTGTAGTATCTATACTAAAAATGGTCTACAGTTTTGCCATTTTAGTATTTGCAACATTCAGGTGAAACTCTGCTAGAATTTATTTTTATTATTTCTGTAATCTAACCTTAATTGTGAACAATATGAGGTCATTTATGATGTAGACTTTGTACGTGCAATATGACATATGTCAAAATTTAGTTTGTTCTCATTTTGATGATTGTTGCTTGTTTTCAAAATATATCTTGTTTTATTTGGGGTGTTTATAAGCTGTGAGCCAATTTTACATTATCACAAAGAAAAGGCTTTATATATCTCTACATCTTGAATTTTCAGATTGTTAGTTTCTAATTTTTACCTGTACTTTTTACTAAAATTTTGAAAATATTGCGTTATTTGTTAGTCTGTAAATCAGACCAAAATTGCTTTCTAAACGGTACCCCCTTCAACGTATCGGTCTACTCTCTCAGCATAGAGTGACTACGAGGCTTGAGAGTATTCCTAAGTCTTCCATCAAGCGTGACCTCTCAAGCCTTTTAGAGCCTCCATTGTCTGTGCTTTTTTTCTGTTTACGCCCTCACAAGAGCCGCATGGCAGATTTTTTTTTTATAGATCACTCGACATGACAGATGCTGCGCACAAAAGCTCAGGAAGCGAGGTCTGATCTTCTCTCTTCTCCTCCCACCCTTTCTCTGTCTCCCCCTGGATCCCCATCACTGTTCCTCCCTCCGTCTGTCTTTGAAACAGGGATGAAGCCGAGATGGAGTATTTAAAAATAGCTCAGGACCTGGACATGTATGGCGTCAATTACTTTTTAATCAGGGTAAGCCAATGCCGCTTCACTCTATCTTTGTAAAGTAAGCCAATATGGAGGATTATTCCCTTATGTTAAAGTCATATTGTACAGTTCGGACAACTCTCCGCCCCAACACTTCTACCTTAAATGCATTCTCATTTTATATTGCCACTTTATTTGTCAAATATATACGCATGCAATTTAATTAAGTTTTCACAAAACCTTACAACACACATCTAAATAACAAGGGACCTTCCATGGTAATGTTATAAAGGTCAAGACATTTCCAAATACCACCACCAAGTCAGTCTCGCCTCCTACTTTTAAGTAAACAAGTATGGACCGCACAGTGGTGGTTGGATGTCAAGAATAATTGGTTTATTGATAGTTATTCAAATTTCAATATAAAATGTAAGAACTGAAGTAACAGTTCATAAAGTTGTCACTTAAAGTCACATCTATTTGTTGTTTGTCTCTTTGATCTCCACGGTGAATAAGATTTAACGTTTTGATTGTTGCTTCTACATGGTGTCACTGTCAACAAGTTTCAATAGTTAAAGAAAGGCCATTGATAAGTAAAGAGGTATTGACAAAATATTATCATTGGCTTAGCTCAACATACATAGACAATGTACTAGAAATATAGCAATGCATTCATCCGATTATGTATCCCTAAATATTAAATTCATATTTCATGTTAAATTAACAATTAGGTTTAAGGATTTATCCTGGCAACTGACATGCCATCCAACTGTGTGTCTTAAATAGCAACACACATGGTAAAAAGTTGACAATAAACTACTACCACCAAACAGAAGTGTTGCATTACAATTTGGGTTAGGGTTAGAAGAGACAGCATCAAAAAAATGCATTATTTTCTACATATTCAATACAATTTAAGTTACAGACATCACCTTTAAGAAATCACAAAACAGGACATTTCAAAGTAAATTGTCTCTGGATCATGTTTAAGAGATGAAATTAGCACTTATGATGTTTTGTAATCTTTCTTTAAAAAACAAAAAATCAAAACGTCACTGTGTTGCCATTATTTCTGCACCAGAATAAAAAGGGAACTGAGCTGCTTCTGGGAGTGGATGCTCTTGGTCTCCACATCTACGACTTGGACAACAAGCTGACACCAAAGTGCTCCTTTCCCTGGAACGAGATCCGCAACATCTCTTACAGTGACAAGGAGGTGAGGGATCAATAGTCTCTAAAAGAAAAGAACAATTTTTGTTTGTGTACTTGACTATTATTTCTGTTGTTGTAGTTTACTATCAAGCCTTTGGACAAGAAGGCTAATGTTTTTAAGTTCAACTCATCACGGCTAAGGGTCAACAAATTGGTGAGTTATTCAGGACAGTAAAGTACATTGGAATTCAATTACCACAGATCAAAGAAAGGAGAGCTCTATGGTTTCTGGCTGCATTCCAAACATTTACTAAAACAGTGGCAAGGAGAAAACATGTCTGCTTTTTGTTTAACAACTGTGTTTGTAGTTGAATTGCCGGTTTGTACTTGTTGAAAATAGTATTATGGTCATATCGATATAGTTTTTAAAGTTATGTTATACAAACTATTTTCATAATTTGTTTGATGAAAAGAGTTTTGCTTAAGTCACACTTTGTAAAGAAGTCAGACCACTACATTCTGGGTTTATATTATCAGTAATAATATTATAATAATATTATTTTGTAGAGGGTATTTTTTGGGGTTTCAAAGTTAGGTGCTCCAGCTTTAAATTGAGATCTAACTGTGTGTGTGTAGATTCTTCAGTTGTGTATTGGAAACCACGACTTGTTTGTGCGGAGAAGACGCGTGGACTCTTTGGAAGTGCAGCAGATGAAAGCACAGGCGAGAGAAGAGCGAGCGCGGAAGCAGGTACAGACATGTGACGTGTTGAACTGTGTTTGCTCCATTGACTCATGTGTTCATGATGTGTTCATGTGTTCATGATGTGCTCATGATGTGTTCATGATATGATCATGATATGATCATGATGTGTTCATGATGTGCTCATGATGTGTTCATGATATGATCATGATGTGTTCATGATGTGTTCATGATATGATCATGATGTGTTCATGATGTGTTCATGATGTGCTCATGATGTGTTCATGATATGATCATGATATGATCATGATGTGTTCATGATGTGCTCATGATGTGTTCATGATATGATCATGATGTGTTCATGATGTGTTCATGATATGATCATGATGTGTTCATGATGTGTTCATGATATGATCATGATGTGTTCATGATGTGCTCATGATGTGTTCATGATATGATCATGATGTGTTCATGATGTGTTCATGATGTGCTCATGATGTGTTCATGATATGATCATGATGTGTTCATGATGTGTTCATGATGTGCTCATGATGTGTTCATGATATGATCATGATATGATCATGATGTGTTCATGATGTGCTCATGATGTGTTCATGATATGATCATGATGTGTTCATTATGTGTTCATGATATGATCATGATGTGTTCATGATGTGTTCATGATATGATCATGATGTGTTCATGATGTGTTCATGATGTGTTCATGATGTGTTCATGATGTGTTCTTGGTGGTGGCAGGTAGAGAGGCAGCGGCTGCAACGGGAAAAGCAGATGAGAGAAGAGGCCGAACGAGCCAGAGACGAGCTGGAGAGGAGGCTGCTGCACCTGCAGGACGAGGCGCAAATGGCCAACGATGCATTGGTGAGAATAAGTGTTTTTTCCTTTTTTTGTCGTAGCTTTTTCCTTTGCAAACTATTCAGTAAAAGGAAGATATTAAGACAGAAGTAGTCTTCATTCTATTTGGCTTTGTGAATAACAACACAAATCCAACATTCAAAACTGTGGGTGGACTGGAATCTCCACACTCGTACTTGGGCCTCCTCCTGCTTGTTTCCATGGAAATAGTGTTCCTTTGGTCTTAATCCCCCACAGGTTAAAAAATATCTATCTGTAGAATGTTCCTAAATATAGTTTTATCTTTCTATTTCCATGAAAATATTCAAGGGCTACCCAGTCTTTAGTCTAAAACCAAAAGAAGTGGCGAACTAATATTTTTGGTTTTAGTCTATTTTAGTGAATAGAAAAGCTGATTTAGTTGGCTAAATATGATTGTTTCCTTCATCCAGAAAATATCTTTTCTTATTTTAACTATGGTGAGGAAAAGCCAAGTCAAGATTCAAGGATAGTTTAGTAAGTCAACAATTCATAGAACTTTGAAATTTATTTAGCAATATAAATACAATGTATTATTATTATTAATTGTGTTGTGTTGACATTTTGGTTTCAATTATATTCTTCCTTTGAATAATTGACTTCTGTTGATTGTGTGTATGTTCTGCGTGTTTACGAGTCCATATTGTGTTCCCTCCCTGACCAGCCTCTGTGCCTGTCCTTTCCTCTCTAAAGCTGCGCTCGGAGCAGACCGCAGACTTGCTGGCTGAAAAAGCTCAGATCGCAGAGGAAGAGGCCAAGCTGCTGGCGGAGAAAGCCGCTGAGGCCGAGTCAGAGATGCAGAGAATCAAAGTGACTGCCATCCGCGGACAAGAGGAGCGGCGCCTCATCGAGCAGAAGATGATACAGGCCGAGATGCTGGCGCTGCAGATGGCGGAGGAGTCGGAGAGACGGTAAAAGCACAAACGCTTCAGTGAACGTCTTTGAAAACAGCAATTCAGAAGCTTCACCTCTCTGCGTCATGCTGTAAAAGGGCACAGGTTAATCGGTCGTTTATTAAATTAGACAGGTATAACAAACATAGATCACCATTTAATACTGAATTACTCAATACTCAACACCAATTTTGATACCACAGTGATTATTTATAAATGCTCTTTTTGGAAAATATATGTTATTATTCCAACTACACAACAGTTAGTCAATTAATCAATGTACAAGGCATGTCTTTTCTCAACAAAGAATTGGTTTGAAGGCAGAAAAAACGAGTGCTTCATTGGATCCAACAAGGATAAGGTTGAAAAGTCAGCAAAAACTCTGAAAAAGACTGTACCATGAATGTAGAAACGTACAAAGGTCACTGTTCAAAGTTTTCAATAAAAAGTCTGAGCATTGCTGTTGTATGTGTGTATTAAACGTATTAAAAGTCCTTTATAGGTTATTTGGGACAAGCCAGCAAGAATGTGATGTGTCCACATTTGTTGGTCTGGTTCACTTTTAACTGGACCAAGTATCCTTCACTTGGCTTCACAATACTTCACAAATCTATTTCATGCTTATGCATATTTTCATGCTTTTACATCCTCAAGTGGAGACTTTTTTTGCCCCAACTGAACCAGAATTGCGTGTTAACCAGAATTTGTTAAAGTGAACCAGACCAACAAGTGTGAACGTGTCCTTGACCTCACTCCTACTTTGTAACAGCTCATTGTATTAAAATTGCTCAATCTATTTGCTTTTTGCTAAGTATCGATTAAAAAAAAGAAAAAAATCTATTTTCATTTTTAATTATTTTTTATAGCTTTACTTGAAAAAAAAAATTATATTATTGATACTTAATATATGGCTACATTACACATTCTACAATTTCTGTAGAATGTTCATATTGATATTATTGGATGTAAAACAGATTAAGTAAGATTTTTACTAAAATATGCAGGTTAAAAGGCCTTTTTCGCTTGTTTACTGTTACACATGACACTTTATCCATTTATCTTGAAATAAAGTGTTTCACTTAATTTATGCCATAAATATAAGAAAAATATTATCGTAGGTATATTTTTGACCAATATATTGATAATCGTTGCATCGTCATATCGTGAGATAATCGTTATCGTGAGCTTTGTATCGCACATCGTATCGTATTTTGAGGTACCCTGAGGTTCTCACCCCTACATTTTATGGTCCCAGACGAGCAACAGAGACACACAAATTTGTCTTAACCATAACACTCGCTATACTTTAAATAGAAATGTGGTCTGTGTGGCATATCTGGATAAGCCTCTCCTTATCACAGCTACACACTGCTGCATTCAAATGGACCCATCAAAGAAATTCATTCTTCACCCTTAGCTAACCTTAATTATAAAAATAAAGAAGTTATTTCACGTCTTTCTCTTCTGTTAATCCGCCCTGGTTAATTATCAGTAGTAGTTTGGATTGATCAGAGAGGGGCTGGTGCTATGTGTACTGGGTGCAGCTCTGACTGCCACCCCCCCGACCCAGAGATGGAAGGGGAAGAAAATGGATGGATGGATGGATGGAGTGTTTCTGTATCAAATCATCTTCCCACCACACAGAATCCTTTTATCTGTTGTGAAGAACGACTCCTTTGCATGTTTAATTATATCTAATATTATAATTATAGCCGTCTATCTTTTTTCTATCTGATTTATATGCGTTTCAATCCAATGCACCCTTCTATTATGTAGGTGACTATACGGGCGCTATAGCACTACCATTTATTAGGAAATCACTTCAAATGGGATCCATTAAACACTTGCCAGTAACTATAATTTGTGGATAAGCACTTTTTGCAGCCGATTTTAGAACCTTGGCACTCAACATGTAAATGACTACATCCTCTCGAGCCCACATCGACCAGGAAGTGCTGATTGTTCGTGAATTCTATTGAAACCAAATGTAATCACTCGGCTATAACATTGTGAAATTCCTATGTGCATACGAGATGGTCTGGAATAATAGGATTGTCTGCCAGGCGAATGCATTGATATACAAACCTAATCACATTCTTGCATTCACGTTCCCTCAGCAGCAAAGCGTAATCATTTAGAGCAATTAATTTTTAGATAATTCTGTTTGTTTTTGTGGATGGTTTCACATATTATGCATGTGATTGTTTGCATGTCTCCCAGGGCCAAAGAGGCGGAGCAGCTAAAGCAAGATCTGCAGTCGGCACGTGAGTCCGAGCGCAGGGCCAAACACAAGCTCCTGGAAATCATGAGCAAAGATGTGTATGTGGTAAGAAATGAGATCGCAATGCATTTTACAATTAATGTTTTGATGCATTTGATTGGGATTTGAAGTGTACATAATCAGCATGTGAAACACTACAGCATTTATAGCCAAGGCTAATTTGCAATTTGGGCTTTTAACACAATTAGAAACTTTAAACTCTAAAATGTCATATTGCTACATTACCTTTTATATATTTAAGCAAGTTAAAAAGTAAAAGTGGGTTATGGTATCAGGATCTTTTTTTTCTAAATTATTATTTGGTTCACAATAATTGCAGTCTTGAAAACGTGCTAATTTTACGCCCTAGATTTGCGCTTTTGTTTCAATTATGATTAATCGTGTAGCTCTAGTAAGAATCCAAACTCCAGCTGAAAACAAGGAGTTATGTGTCAACAGAATAAAAACAACTGCTCTCTTTATTATTATATTCATAATTATCACAAAATGCCAGAGTCATTGTTTATTTACACATGCTTTGCAAACACCATACGTAGTTTTATTTCTAATGTTAATATCGGTCCTTACTTTAGGACAGGTTTGCAATTATGATTTCAATGTCTGCATTATGAAATATTTTGTTTCTCAAAATATAATAATGAGCTGTTTTTATCTTGTATAGCTGACTTTCAATATTGTGAAATGCTTCATAAATAAGCTTTTATGCCGTGGTAAACTAATTGGCTGTTTGAATGGCATACTGTTAAGAAGACCAAGCTGCAATTAAGGGTAAACAAAATGTTTCTTCATTTGCATAATAGTTTTCTCCGTAATAAAAAACAAAAACAACATTGGACTTTTTTTGTTAAAAACCTATTTGCAAACTTGCAAATGCAAAAATGTATCTATTCATACCTTGAACATTGACCATGTAAACTTTACAATCATTGCCATTAAATACAGAGTCATGTCTTTCTCTGAACTCTGCTCAAAACGACAATGTTTAACTGAATAGTTGGATGAAAACATCTGCCATAAATGCCAAACTGATCATTGACAAGTGACAGGTATTGATGAAAATGTGTTCAGCTCTGCTGAAAAGCCACAGAATATATATTCATGACCATGACCTTTTTGCCATTGTCAGAGATCTTATCAATGGAGGGAAGGAGCATGAACATCTCTCAGTGAGCTGATTGTACTATTTGCACATACATTTTAGATTTCTGCTGCTTGGAATTACCTCCACACTAGGGATGTAAATCGGTGACCGTTTAACCGGTGGTTGACCGTCACAGCGTTAACCGGTCAAAGCTGTCGGTTAAAAAAAGAGAAAAAGGGGAGAGGGGAGGTCTCTTAATAACGCTATTTTAAGCCCTATTTGCACGGTGTGACGAGCGGGTCTGTATCTAGCTGTGTGCGCCCATGTATTATAAACTCCGGGACGACTCTCACGCCGCACAAGCCACATATGCACACACGCACGCGCGCGCGCACACACACACACACACTTTCCCCCTCTCCATACGTAACATCCACATGCATCATCTCTCCCCTCTGTTACCGTCAAAGTTGCACACTGGCGCGGGTCAGAACTACATTGGAGCTTACATTTACACACACACACATATACATACACACACACATACACACATACATACACACACACACACATACACACATACATACACACACACATACACACACACATACACATACCGGTCTGTCGCGCTCCTCTGTGTCACGGAGCCCAAAGGATTCGCGCAAATACGCGGCTCCAGTCAAACCACATGGAACATGTTTGTGTTTATGGTCCTCGGGATCAGCTCCACACACATCACTTGTATTTAAACTTTTGTGAAGACCTGTGAGACGCGGCTCGTCACTCGCTGCTCTGACCATGTGAACGAGCCGTCGTTTGTTGCTAGAAAGTTTTGGTATTAACCCGCAGCACAGCAGAATGGGAAGATTAAAAAAGCAGTTCTCTGTGCGCAAAGGTGCCGGAGCTGTTGTGGGTTTTGGTGCCGCTGTCTCGGCTCTGATCCAGTAGAACGCAGAGCTGCACTTATGAAAAGTACGCGGCTCGAAATGGCTGTTATTTCAAAGAACGTGGACTATTTTAAACTACGCGGTTAACCGGTTTCAACCGGTTAATGAGGCTCGGTGGTCGGTCATGAAAATTCATAGTTTTTTACATCCCTACTCCACACACAGTCATACATGGGCCTAAATATATCTCACTATTTTTCAGCTTCCTACTGTCACGATGGCCTGCATGCCCTGCCACACCATGTTTATGTGAACAGCCCTCCACTGTACTTGGAATTCACACAGTTGCCCATGAATTTACATTTAAATAGTGTATCGGACTCGCCTCCCATGCACACAAACTGCTCGAATTGACATGTGGAGGATGCAATTGAGCAGCTGGGTCGGGAGAAGAATGCCCTTTTATCTTGTCATACTTTTCTTTCCATTGCCACTTCATGTTATCATCTATAGACTCCATCAGTCTGCCCTTAATTCTCATATATGGCTCTGTAATTTCTCTTTCAGCCTCCTGGATTGCCAACAGGCCGCATGCCTCCTGACCTAAACTACAGCAGAGAGAACCTCAGTTTTGAGTTTAAAGACACAGACATGAAACGCCTTTCCATGGAGATAGAGAAGGAGAAGTAAGTGACCTGCATCTCTTTGTAATTTTTTAAATAGGAATTATGGGAAATATAATTGTCTCATAATTTTCAAAAGCAGATTTTTTTCATAATAAAAGTCCAAATTCAAAATTATCCGTATACATTTCTCACGTCTTAATTATTTATGAGCCCAGTGAGTTTGAGGTGAGACGCATGAGCAAACTTCTGGTTTCTCTGATAAACTCAAAAATGATTGAAAAACAAGCAATAAATCACTTTTCCTGAGCTTCTTTTGTTTTTTGAATTTGTTTGAGTTTTTATCTGTAAATGTATTATTGTAGAATAACCTTTATTTATCGCACAGGGGGACATTTCAATCTGAAAGTCATTGCGTTCTACAGGACATTGGGAATAGAAAAGTTCTCAAACAAGAAAATTATAACACAGCTATAATTCTAAATCAGGAGAAGTTCATTCATTATTAGAACCAGTTACAAGATTCCTCTAGATATAGTGTCATTGACCCTTTTTTTTTGTATAATCGCCTGGTTTATAATCTTTTTGTTGATTACATCCTGGAGGTCAGTAAATATGGGATATACGGAGATGATGTTTTACACTTTTAAGGCAATGTTAGATTAAAACAAACTATTCATTGATTAGTTTGTGTAAGCTTTCAGTCGTACAGGGATTAGTCAAAGCAAAGGAAGGTTCCTCACCCATCATCTGTACTTCTTAGCAGGTTTTCCCGACGTTTCGTCCTCAATCCAAAGGACTTCTTCAGGGAATTAATTCTCAGACCGCACGTTGGAGATTTATAACCTATGGGTGTGGTTGGCCACACCCTAATCCTGATACTAATCCTCATAACTCATAAACAATCTAAGGTCTGTTTGATGTAGAAGGGAGCAGGTCTAACGACCCTGCTGAGGCTGACGACCCTAACTCATTAGCATGTCACTGACCTTGTCCCAAGTTAGGGCGTTGTTTTTAGGATGTCGTCATAGATGCGAGGCAAAACAAATCTTAACCCTCCTCCTCTGTTAAGAGAAGGTTTTTGTTTCCTCACAAAAATGGCTTATTTCACTCCTCTCTCAAACCAATTCTTCTCCCGAGCCAGAATTTTAACCTCTGTGTCATCCACCGTGTGGTTGGAGGCCTTGAGGTGGAGATGAACATGGACTCCCAAAAATACACAAACAAAACTTTCCACTTCGGCCTATTGTATGTAGCATAGACTCTATCACCTACAACCTGGCTAAACACCTCAAAACCATTCTGGCTCCTTTGGTGGGTAACACCCACCATCACATAGAAAACACAAAAGAATTTGTAAATAAAATCAAACACCTCCAGTTTGACACAGATGAGACAATGGTCTCGTTTGATGTGACATCGCTTTTTAGGTCTGTCCCTATTACAGAGGCGGTGGAGGCTGTAAGAGAAAGCCTACAGAAAGACGCCACACTAGGGGAGAGAACGAAACTAACAGCTGACCACATCTGTGAAATACTTGAAATGTGTCTTAACACCACATATTTCCAATTTAGAGGCACCTTCTTTAGACAGATTCATGGCTGTGCGATGGGCTCCCCAGTCTCTCCTATAGTGGCCAATCTGTATATGGAGAAACTGGAGGAACAAGCCCTGGTCTCTTACCAAGGGACAGCGCCAAGCCATTGGTTTCGATATGTAGACGATACATGGGTTAAGTTAAAGAAACAGGAAGTGGAACCATTTTCAGAACACATTAATTTGGTGGATCCTTTTATAAATTTCACTCGCGAGGATGCTAAGGAGAGTGAACTGGCCTTTCTAGATTGTAAGGTCATCATACTGGAGAACGGACAATTAGAGACTGAGGTCTTCAGAAAGTCCACTCACACTGACCAGTACCTGGCCTTTGATTCAAATCATCCGCTACAACACAAACTCGGGGTCATTAGAACGCTTCAACACCGAGCCCACCAGGTCCCCACAAGCTCGGAGGGAAAGAACAGAGAAACCAAACATGTTCAGAGAGCACTTTCCAGATGTGGCTACCCCAAGTGGTCTTTTACTAAAGCCCAAAGGACGAGAAAGGCCAGAGACACAGTCCAACAGACAGAAGAAAGTAGGAGGAGAGGGTTGTCCTTACCGTATGTGGCGGGAGTTTCAGAGAAACTACAACAAATTTTTAGGCAACACAAAATCCCTGTGTATTTCAAACCTTTCAACACGTTAAGACAGAAATTAGTGCATCCCAAAGACAAAACACCCAGACACAAACAGAGAAATGTGGTGTATTCCATTAAATGTAGTGAAGAGGAGTGCACTGACCACTATATTGGAGAAACCAAACAAACTCTACAGAAACGACTTTACCAACATCGTAGAGAAAACTCAAGTGGGCCACAGTCGGCTGTTCATCTCCACCTCAAGGCCTCCAACCACACGGTGGATGACACAGAGGTTAAAATTCTGGCTAGGGAGAAGAATTGGTTTGAGAGAGGGGTGAAAGAAGCCATTTTTGTGAGGAAACAAAAACCTTCTCTTAACAGAGGAGGAGGGTTAAGATTTGTTTTGCCTCGCATCTATGACGACATCTTAAAACAACGCCCTAACTTGGGACAAGGTCAGTGACATGCTAATGAGTTAGGGTCGTTAGCCTCAGCAGGGTCGTTAGACCTGCTCCCTTCTACATCAAACAGACCTTAGATTGTTTATGAGTTAGTATCAGGATTAGGGTGTGGCTAACCACACCCATAGGTTATAAATCTCCAACGCGCGGTCTGAGAATTCATTCCCTGAAGAAGTCCTTTGGATTGAGGACGAAACGTCGGGAAAACCTGCTAAGAAGTACAGATGATGGGTGAGAAACCTTCCTTTGCTATTCATTGATTACTAACTTTGTTGATAACTATTTCAATATGCATTTAGTCACGTAGAATTGATTCTCTTGTTGCAGCCCCAGTCCAAACATTTTCTAGTCCAGTCTTCTGCAGGTTTGCTCTGTTCAGGCTATTTAAGTCTCACAATGCATCTGCGTTTGGTAAAGTAGCATAAAACACACATGCATATTTAAGTACCTGGTTTCTTCTCCAAATACTTTGCTTTTCTTCCCCCACGCACGTTAAAAAAAGAAATGTGGTTATATGTACTGATGCGGTCTTGTTTCATTGGTCGATTCACGCTGTTCCACTAATACATTTATTGATACAAAAATGTACAACGTGTTTTATAAATTATATCTTTGTGTGCCTTTATTTGAATCAGTATCAAAAACAATCCCAGTCTGCCTTCTCTCCTGTTGCCTGACCAGCTTTCCATCCTCCCTCTCACAGGGTGGAGTACATGGAAAAGAGTAAACATTTGCAGGAGCAGCTGAAAGAACTGAAGACTGAGATTGAAAGTCTGAAGTTGAAAGAGCGAGAGACTCCGCTGGACATAATTCACAACCAGAACGCCGAGCAGGGCACCAACAAACACAGCAACTTTAAAAAGGTACTCCACTCCTGCCACGGTCATCACTCTGTGTTAAAGTCAGTGTAAAGCCGGTTCATACAAATGGGCTCCTATATTCATGGCCTGTCCAGTGGGATCAGATCATTAGCTCATTAGATGACGGAACACATCATATATCTGATTAGGTGCAGGCGGTACAGAGGGTCAATGTTCAGGGTACATCGCAAATTGGACGCTATTGTTCAGGGCAAATTTGGTCACAAAAGCTGCCCAAAACTTTATAAATCAATTTGTTCCGTTAGATTACTCATTAGGTTAGAAAAGGCTATAAAAGCTTTGATGCAATTGTATTTAATTATTTTAATCACTGATGAGGGCTTGGTCTTCTTGTCGCCCTCTGTCTAGTCTTGTCTAGCTCAGGTTTTAGTGTGGGATTATGTGAGATTATGAGAACCGTGAACTGTTTCTTAACCTTACCTGAAGACAATTTGTAACCGCCTGGATCTCCACAAAATAGAAAGAACATTCTTCAGAGATTTTTACGCCAAATTGTAGAAGATGAAAAGGCAGGAGAAGGTCATCTCTTTGGAAGAGTTTGTGGAGATGCAAGCCTTTAGTAACATGCTTTTTTTATACACATAATAGTGTATTGTTTTACCTAAATATTGTACTGTAACAGATGCAAGCAAGTAAAGCAAATGCTGTTTTTATAACAGTCCATGGTTATAGAAAAAGTGTAAACAGTTTAAGACTTTTTCCCAATCTCAAAATTAGCAAGAAACATCTTTTTTGTCTCTTATTTTATGAAAAACACAATATTATTTTTAACTGCTATCCTTACAGTTTTTTTTGTCCTAAACAAGTTTGTTTGAAACACCTTCTTCTGTTACTTGTGTCTTTCGATATTAATTCAGATGTCGATAATCTTGATCGACCAAAATTTTTCACAACATTTGCATAGTCCTATCATGAATACCTGATAAACAAGTATCAAGTTCACTTTATTCAAATCATGAAACTACAGCCTCAAGAATTACACTTGTGAAATCTTTTGCTCTATATGTTTTATAAGTGATATGTAGGAATCATTGACATGTGCGCTCTCGTTGCTGCCATAGTTCACTGGGAGCCCCAATGCGTTCCCTCACAGCTGAACTCCAGCAGGTGGGTTGTATTCAGTGTTTGCACCTGACCGCCGCTGACATGGCCCAAGCTTATGGCAAAGCATGCTGCTGAGTGCTAACTAACCACTGCTGCCTCCGCGCTGGTGGAACGCACGTTTGTGTTCATAACATGCTGTGAATCTTGACATTATTGGTATGGGAAAATAACTGTTTATGTGCATTTGTGTGGATAATGTTTTATGTATTGTACATATCATCGAGATAACTTTGACAATGAAAATCCCCTTTCTTTAGCAACACATTCGATGTGCTAAACTCTGCATGCTTGAATATCAACTGTATTGAATTTCAAGGAGTTAAATGGTTTAGAAGATTAAAGCGGACGTTTCTGTCAATAGAGGCCTAAATGCACTAACCAGACTCGAGCCAACACAGGCCTTTTTCCACCCAGGTTAGCTGAAAATGTGTTGCTAGATAGACTGCTCAAACAATAGCCAACTCTATTCCGCATAAATGTTCTCCAGCTGCGCACTCCCCTGATGGGTGGCGCTGTAGGGCGGATGGTCCTGTAAGTGTCTGGTCCCCGTGTAGCGCAAAGGCGAGACAAGCAGGTCACGCAGGGTTTGTTTCACTTGTTTGTTTCACTGTTCAGCAGAGTGCAGCGTGCAGCTGGAGTTTTTCTGCTGCACCCGCACACACTGAATGCTCAGCAACCCAAATTGCGCTCTCGCTCGAGACAAGTACAGTGACGTGGATTTCAGTCAGGCTACATAGAAAATATCCTATGGTCTAGATCAGCACCACAGGTCCTGGGTTCGAAGCCCGGTCGGACCAGGGCCTTTCTGAGTGGAGTTTGCATGTTCTCCCCGTGTCTGCGTAGGTTTCCTCCGGGTACTCTGGTTTCCCCTACCACTAAAAATATGTACAATAGGACTGTGCATGCGCCTCCTTTACTGGCGACCCCGCTCCCATCTCTGTGTGGAGTGGGAGGGCAAATGCCCAAAAAAATAACAATTGTAAACCGCTTTGTGACTCTGGTCTGTGAAAGGCGGTGTATAAATAAAGATTACTTACTTACTTACTTACTTACACATGCCTCCCCTGGTGCCATACTCGTGAAGCCACGCCTCTCATACCCCCTCTGCCCTCTCATTCTCCCTCCCGAGTGTGTGTGTACATGTCACACTTGCAGTTAGAACGGACCAATCAGAAGACCTGACAGCTTTGTCCAACTTGGCATGCTGAAAATGTCCTCAACGCGTCCAACTCTCTTCAACTCCTCCAGATGCCCAACCGTCGGGTTGGTTTATCTCGGTCTCTGGCTATCCCGTGTTGTCAAAAAGATTTGACGGACGTGTTCAGAGTTTGATACAGAAATAAGGCCAAGAATGCAAGAGTTAAAAATAGAACATTTATTTCTCTTTACAATTAAATATTGATACAAAACTCTTGGAGCTATTCATTCCCTAAATCTATCCCTGTGCTGAGCAATTCTAACTGTAAGTAAGTAGTAAGTAAGTAAGTAAGCTTTATTTATATACCGCCTTTTCACAAACCAGAGTCACAAAGCGGTTTACAATTGTTATTTTTTGGGCACTTGTCCTCTCACTCCACACAGAGGTGGGAGCGGGGTCACCGAACAGGAGGCGCATGCCAGACCTATTGTACATATTTTTAGTGGTAGGGGAAACCGGAGTACCCGGAGGAAACCTACGCAGACACGGGGAGAACATGCAAACTCCACTCAGAAAGGCCCTGGTCCGGCCGGGATTCGAACCCAGGACCTTCTTGCTGAGAGGCGAGAGTGCTATCCACTCAGCCACCGTGCCGCCCGACTGCAACTGCCCCTCCAGGCCTGAAAATGTGCAGAGAACATCCAGGCGCTCTGCGATGTTCTCTGTCTATCTCTCCCTGCTCAGACTGACTTAAACATCAGGCAAAATCATATAAGTAATAATGTACAGAAGGGGCGTGTCGTATCAGCCAGTTCCTGGTCTCCTTTGTCTCGTTTCCCCTCCTCCACATTCTCCTCTGCCTGGGGAAAAAGGGGTTCACACATTCCAACCTATAGCTTCTTCCTTATAAGGAATAAGTCTCCAGGCAGCTGTCACTGCATGGTCTGACATCAATCTCCTTCTCCAAACAACTCTTATCTGGGCTCTGGTCATATTGCCACATGTGTTTTAGTGTGTCAGCGTGCATATATAAATACAACACCCGCCATTAAATAATCAAAGAAAATGTATTCAATGGGTATTCCACCCGGCACTGCTCTACACACACATTCAACCATGTTCAAGTGGTTATTACACCAGTGTGATTAACAGGGCACCATAATTAAGTGTTTATGTCCAAACGCTGAGTTGCTTTGTGGTATTATAGACCCTTTCAAGGTGGACGTGTTTAGAATTGTGGCGCACTCAGCCTTGAACTGATATCCATCCTTTTCTTTTAAATGAGGTAAGAATCATAAATAAGAAAGCCACAAAAACAGACACAGTGGCGTTTTTAAGATATTGTGGCTCACATTGTTTTTGGTGTGATTAGCTCAAAAGTTATTTTGATATTTCATATACTTTAAGAATTAAAGTCATACATTTTACGTCGTCAAAATGTATTCAGGGCCAAACATTGCTACTCTATGCAATGAAAAGGCAGTGAAGCATAATGTACCAGGTCAAGTAATCCTTAGAATAGTTGGTTTAAAAACACTGGAAGTAAATATTGATCCCTTGTTACTTCGCACTATACTTTGTTATTGGAAAAAACTTGTCCTCAATAACCGTCCAAACCTTAGACAGTATATTAAGAGTGGACTGACCAAGTGTTGGTATCACCATGAACACATTTCGGAAGAGGCCAATCTGAACATAAGCTAGCTGGAGCCAATTTCCTTATAAGGGCTTTTCTTCTGCCGTGTTAGCGTCACACCATAACAGAGGCCAACGTGATGCTAAGATGGTTGATAAGGCAATCTGGAGTTTCCCTCACAAATAGAGAAGGTTACTTTTCAATGCAAGTCAAAAGAAGCCAGACCGAAGTGGGGCAAAACTTTTTTCATTAGCATTCTCCTATTGGACGTAGTTGAGCTAGTACGTCCAATAGGAGAATGCTATCCACTAGCTGCTAGTGGATTAGCATTGTTCGTCTATCTACTGTCTATGATCATCTATGATCCAAACATACAGTCATGACGTCCACATTCAATTTTTCCATGTCGAGACTGTGATATTTGAACACTTTTGATCTGTAGGGAGAATGATCATTGGGGCTTATACAAGGGATTAAACCACGTCTGGTTACATGTGAGATGTGTATGTACGTATATGATTGAAACAAGGAACAATTAGTCTTTTAGTCCAAAATATAAGACAAGAACTATTGGAGAGAATTAAAAACCAGCATGCGGACTGCCGAGGTCACCATCCATCTTGTTAGCCTGAAAAGGACAAGTCGATGTGGTGAGAAAAATGCATGCCGGGTGAACTAATGTCACAGAAGTTTAGGAAGGCACTGGATCAGACCATAATCTTCAAAGCCGGAGAGGATGTGGAGCCCGAGGAGGAGTGCTGACTGAGACTGCACTCTGAAGTTGGTGGCCAAAGAAGGGGACAAGCAGCAGCAGCAGCAGCAGCAGTATGAGGAGAGCTCAGCACAGGGAATGCCCAATGAATCACAGATGTGTCAGCCAAAAGCACCAGGGCGTCCCCAGGGAAAGATTTCTCCATCCGCACTCTCTGGGTGATTAATGAGGAAGGCCCTTAATCCAGTCCACTGGTTTTGCACTGATACGGCTCACAGGTTCAGCTCTGCCAACAACTTTGTGTCCAACTCACTGTCTGTTCGAGGAAGATTAGGCCTGTTCTTATCTCGGCTCTGTTCTATCGCTATTAGCTCGTGATGTTGGACATAGCAGCAGTAGTGGTATGTAATGAAGTACAAAAGTGGAACCTAAATCATGCATATTGATTGACACTTGTACTTTTCAAGGTTTCAGAGCAGTTTTTGCAACTTTTTACTGACAAATTGAATGGCTCTGAAAAGTAACACTGTAAATATTTAAAGTAGCAATATGTAAGATTTTCATGTCAATCATTAAATGGCGCTAAAATTTCAAAAGGCATTAATAAACCATGCTCATTTCAAATACTTATTTAACTGATAACGGTAGTTCAGCCGAGATATTTGAATTTAAAGATTACTTTTACAGACCCTAAATTTTGTTATTGTTTTAATTTTGATGTCCCGCCCTCCACTGTTTCACCAATCAGAAAGTCTGTGATCCGGGTTGCAAGAACTCCCTGCGTTGAGCTAATCTCACTGGTAAAGTAACATGTGGCCTCAGAAATAAAAAAGGTCTCGTTATTATTAATAACAAAACAAGGAATAAAACAAGGATTTCTATTGGGGCCTTTGTTGACGAAACTCTTAATGGTCCCAGCTGGATTCGTCGGCATTTTTGGCAACCTGAGTCGTAGTGTGGGAGAAGTTGCTACTACTATGCTATCCATATTTATAGTGATATCCTACTAAATAACCCAAACATGACTTCATCCAGTTTATAAAAATAACTTATTGAATCGCTGATATTGAAGCTGAGGACTTTTTTTCTCAAATAAAACACTTAGCTTGTCCTGACAGTTTTGTAAAATGTTATGAATAAATCAGACCACACAACATGCTGCCTTCATCTTATTAGAAAACATTTTATCTTGAGCAAAAAGTTTCTCTTAAGTCACTATTTCACCCTTTTGGCTGAAAGCTGATTGGCTGAGTGAGCGTGGTCCTTTCTCTTTTTACTTTTCTGTCTGAAAAAGCTGATCAAATAACAAATGACAAAACATATCATGTGAAAACTGGTGATTGAACTGTTTTTGCATGGTTTGAAAGTCAGACAGTCAGAATATGCACTCTTTATCAACAATTAACACAATTAGGTTGAACGTATCAACAGATGTCAAAAGTTGTGTGCTTTATTATTACTTTTCTGACTTTTCTACAGCCTTTTTTCTTTACATCAATGCTTTACTTTATTTCCAACCCCACCTGACAAGCCAACCTGAGTGATTTTTCAAGTTACTTACAGCCACCGGTCTGAAATAGCCTGTCACCAGCTTAGTAAACCTTGAACAAAAAACAATTAACGGCGTCGCACTCTTTGACTGGCATTGATTCTGCCGACAGTACGCGCTCCTTTGGTGTGATTGAGAATTACTCCAAGTCCCACAGATTTCTCAATCCTCCAAGGACAGCTGTAAAATGCGTCTGGATTTACTCCTTGGGGAAAAAAAACAAATAGTGAACGTGTCGCCATCCCCGCAGCGTCGTTAAGAAATCATTAAAAATGTCCATGACCTTGGGCATTGTCAGTAAACATCCGATTTTTCAATTACAACCTCCTTATGGCATCTCTCATTAGATTAACCAAGAGGAACAGGAGTAATCATATGTTTGTTTTTTTCCCTCTCAAGGGTTTTCTGAGTTACAATATTAAATGATACCATATTTTCCCGTGGTTATTAAAGTATTTTGTAAACAATCATAACATATGTATTGCATGTCTACATTTATGCATATGTTTACAGATATATTATTCATATACAGGAAGGTCACCCGTATTTGCGATGTGTGCAATTTTGCAAGTTCTCCCATTTGTAAATGATTTATTATTTTCCAAACATGCTGGTGTATGTTTGTTAGTGGTGATTTTCTTTAGAGCAGATTTTCACTAATAACATTTTGGATTCATTCATTAAAACAGAGTAAATGTATAACATGTATTTAGTTGTACAGATGAAGTTACAAGCTTTCATTGGTCATTGACTCATTTAAACAATAAACAAGGAACCATAAATAAAGATTACTTACTTACTAATACAACCCATCAAACTATTTCCTATCTCTAAACAACATTTGCTTCTATCGTTACTTCTAGGACTAGGGATAGGGTTGCATGTATTTTTTTCTGTCACATGTTTAGATCAGCTTTTTCAGACAGAATATAAAAAAATAGTGGATCAGCTCTCAGCCCAAATTGTCAAGTATATAAAAGATAAAATGGTATGTTAGAGAAAGTATTGCTGTTTAAATGTTCATCAGTAATCAAACCACGGAGAAGAGGACCCATATGGGGCCTAATAAGTTGCATTATTATAAAATCAGAGCAAATTGAAAACCACCTCCGCAGTAAAAACCATCCATCTTTTACATCGTCTGATCCCAACATTTGCTTAAGGGTTATGCCTCTGTTTGGATTCTTGCTTGGTAATGATCCGCACAGAGTCCTGTCGTCCCCAGCAGGGACTCGGCTAGAAGAGGAGAGCAGAGGGCATGACTTTGGAGGGAAAATGTACTCAATGAATTCTGAATAAATACATCATGAGTTAAAGCTGAGGTAACAGACTTTCAACATTATTAGTGGCATGTATAACAATCCATGCCACTGACTCCTCTCAAAACAGTTTGTCTCTGTCTCTAGTTTCCACGTGCATTTATTTTGGACACATCTTTAGATCAAAGTTTTTAGACAAAGTAGTGAAAAAGATAACAGTAAGATTAAGATCAGCTAAAGGTTGGAAAAATTGAAATAAAATGTCCTTATGAAATATGAAATGTATATATTTATTTTTAATGATCTTGATGATTAAGATGTTGTCTTTTTTTGTAGCTGTAATTGAATTGAACTGTTTTAATGAATTAAATAGGTATAAATATTGTGGTTTATAGTGAATTTTTTTTTTTTAAAGTGCTAAAATGATTATAATTACACCACAAAAAGAAGGGAAAAACCATCTATTGTGAGAGACAGAAGAACGCAGATAAAAGCCTTTCAGCTAGACAAAACCGTTTTGAACCGAGATTTGGACAGTGTCAAAGTAGAGTCGGCTCTCACATCTTTTCTCCTTTTAGTCTGAAAGATAAAACTCTGCACTAGTTTGCGAAACGTACTGGAGAAGGATGTGTTTTTGTCTGGAACCAGTCTTGCCTTGCTTGTCGCAGCTTAGCAATATGAGTGAAGGGAGGGAAAGGATATCCTGAGAGGTCTGATGTGTTTTTGAAGGTCGGACGACACCACGAATTATGAATACAGCACATGCCTACCTTGTATCTGTTCACTTCAGAGGCAAATGCAGCGGTTGTCATGACATCACTGATCTATTTCTAATGAAGTGAAATGACTGAGGTAGATATATTGGGCCAGGAAGCACTTGGGTGGATCATCAAGACTATGGGTCCTCTTAACTGTCAATCATTCTGGTGAGACGTGCTCGTCAAATAAGACCAGTGAGTTTTGTTCAAAAAGAGGGCAGTTCTTTCGTAGGAAAATACCTTTAACATTTCGAAACACAAGGAAAGAAACTGTCATAAATGCATCGGTCAGCTTCATAAGGACCAAACGTATGCTCACCATTATTCTAAATGTAACAATGGACAAAGCAGCATGAAATAAAATGTTAAGGGCACGTTCTCACTCTGTCTCACTTTTCAGTTGTGAGAATTCCAATGTTTAACCCTTTAACATGAAGAAAGCAATGTCGTTTTTTCTTTTTTGGATTTTCTAAGATGCAATAATAACAAATACTTTTTGTAACATCTATTTTATTATTTTTATTATAAGCCTTTACCAAATGGTTGACACGCAGTTTGATGATAAAAGTGCCTAAAACCAAGTGAGATGCCCTAAAAAGGTACTTTTAAGTTCCAAGCTTGCCTTAAGTAGATATATATTGACTGAAAATGTCATCTACCAAGTGGCTATTAAAGGATTAAAGGAAAATGATAAATTCTATAGGAAAAGGATATATTCAACCCCTTGTTTGGATGTATTTCTATGGCACTGATGATTCTGCTAAAAGGAATTGCTAAAATTGTGGGATAATACATTTTACTTCATGGCGCCTTTCAAGACACCCAAGGACGCCTTACACAAAAAAAAAAACATCACACACATTCTTAAAAGTACAGGATAATACATGCATGTGCAGATCCTAAATGTGCTACTGCTCATCCTTCTCTTTCCTGTTACAGTTAACTCTGCAAAGCACCAAGACCAGAGTGGCCTTCTTTGAGGAGCTGTGAGAGACGCCGCACCTCTACATTCCTGACTGCACAACACATGAAACCGCTACATATCATAAGCCTTACCCATTCTTACTCTAACAGGAGTGTGTGTTTACAGTCTATGCACGACCAAGTGGCCTTGAGAAGTGCACAGGACAATGATTGTGTAGTATTACTCGTTACAGCCTGTTGTTTTACAGTATACTATAGATTATAATGTGTTATTAAGCTTGAGGGAGTAGTTAAAACTGTTAACTAATAGTACTAATGGTTTCTTTTGTGTATATGAAATGATGTACTTTGGGATTGTTTGTGTTTTACATTGGAGAAGTCATGAAAATGTTTAAGTCTGGGATTTCACATGTTTTTGAAGTACACTACATAACTACAAATACTGACAAATTATGCTTTGTGGTCAAGTGAGTTGGAGCCTTCTACCATTTGAGTCCATTTTGCTCACTGCTAAATACTGACATTGGGTTGAGCGGTAGTGAAGACACACTTGGTTAACATTAGGGATGCAACTAACAATTATTTTTTGATCAATTGATTTAGTAATTATTCCTTTTATTATTGGATATGTGAAGTTTATCTAAATTCGAGGCAGTGAAGCCACTGGAAGACATCGTAACATTTCCTATTTTTAATTAAGCCATTGGTTGAGGCATAAAATTCCATCACAGCCTTTTCTTGTGTTTGTAAATAGAGTAATTAACTATTCATTAATTACTGACGATCAATCGATTAATTGTTGCAGCCCCAGATAACTCAGAAATGTAGGTCATATACAAACCCTAACTGTTTTTCAAGATGTGAGTGGGAAATGTGTTTGTATTCAATAATTATTCATGTAGATCAGATTCAGATTCAGATTCATTTATTTGCCATTTGCAGTAAAACCACATAGGAAAAACTGTGCAAGACTACCCCGGTGTGCACCAGATGTATGAATGTATCCTGCAATACATCATTCTGTTTATCATTAGAAAATGATAAATTCTATGGTTTTAAGACATTCTTTAATAAACAATGAGCAGATGATCAACATATATTTACCCACTTGTATGTGTGGAAGTTATCAGCAGTTATACAATGACTAAATTTACTCTAAAAGTGGTACTATATGTCTAAAATATGTCTGTCTTCAAAACCTTTAATCTATCTCACTGTTGATACATCTCACTAACTTTATGCTGCTTCAATAAAAACGTTTAACGAGAAACTGAAAGCTTAAACAAATGGTCTTTCATGCCATACTGGATTTTAGTAGCGATTTGTCATCTATCATTGGAGTTAATGAGGCTGTGGTGAACTCAAAAATTCAATTTAGATAACAGTGTTTCAATAGAATGCAATGTGGTGGTTAAAAGTTTGAAAACATGAGGATGATCAAAGTGTACTCAGTCAGGGTGGTTCACCTTCAGGTTGGGGACGCCATGTTCTGCCCTGTAGTGATGTGGTGGAGGCCGCTGTTTATCACAGGAGGTTTTTCAAATCACTTTTATCCCGAACATGACTTTGTATCTATTTGAATACACTTTCCTACTTCCCTTTGAAAGTGCTTTATTTTCCTAACAAAACATAAAATACATTATAAGAAATGTTACTATGAAAATGAAACCAGTGTTGGAAATGATAGTTGAATACAGTATATTGAAAGTATTTTTTCAAGAACTTTGTATGTTTTATATCAGAAATAAATAGATATCTACCTTATTATCGCTTGTCTATTATTGATTTGTATGTGTGACATATATATATATATATATATATATATATATATATATATATATATATATATATATATATATGAGCAGAAGAAATTAGTCCTCAGATGTTATTTCAGTTGGAGGTCAGATGCCAATACAACTCTGTGGGAAATAAACAATTTTAGAAAACATGTATTTTCCTTCTACTTAGTAATAGGGACTTGCAGGGGACAGGAGGACCTGCCAATGGCTCTTGCTCTTATGTGGATTGAGTTTTTCTTCCATGTGAGTCGTGTCCGGCTTAACCCTTTGCAGACCTTTGGGTCTGGACTGACAGCTCAGAGGGTCCCTGGGGTGATGGGCCCCTGTGGCTCCGGAGAGAGCGCTCTGCAGAGGCTGAAGAGATCATCCCTGGGGCCTTTCACACGGTGACAGAGACGTCAGAGCCTCCACATCCACGGATCGCTGAGGGTAAAAGGTGAAGGCACTCAGCACGTTTCCAAGATGAGAAGATTGTAAGATTCAATTCTCAAAGGTCTTTTATTCAATACTTGAAGCTTTTGAAAGTTATAAAGATCCAGCTGGGTCTTTTGAGTACTTTAAACTGAAATGTGACCTAACCTGATTTTGAGTTTGTTGAAAACACAAAATAATGTATTACCACTAGTTTTCCCACATCAAGGCCCTCAAAGCACTTCACATCAAGGAACCATTCACCCATTCCCAAGGACACGAGGCAGGCCTCCCTCGTGAACGGGAGTTGTTTCACAGCGGGTCAGTCGATCTGACCACTCAACCATGATATTTATGTTGAGATCAGGATTCTAACCGTCAACCTTCAGCTCAGAGGGCACTCTCCACCAACTCAGCTGTCCCCTATACACAGATCTGACCTGTAACTATACTGAAAGATTCCGGTGAAAAGTGAAAACACCATACCGGCTCGTTTTCACTTTTCACCGGAATCTTTCAGTTAGTTACAGGTCAGATCTGTGTATAGGGGACAGCTGAGTTGGTGGAGAGTGCCCTCTGAGCTGAAGGTTGACGGTTAGAATCCTGATCTCAACATAAATATCATGGTTGAGTGGTCAGATCGACTGACCCGCTGTGAAACAACTCCCGTTCACGAGGCCTGCCTCGTGTCCTTGGGAATGGGTGAATGGTTCCTTGATGTGAAGTGCTTTGAGGGCCTTGATGTGGGAAAACTAGTGGTAATACATTATTTTGTGTTTTCAACAAACTCATTCAGGTTAGGTCACATTTCAGTTTAAAGTACTCAAAAGACCCAGCTGGATTTTAGTTTATAAACTTCACACTTAAGCTTAATGCAATAAGAAGCACACGTGTTACACATATTCATACACATTAAAAATGATGTAGTATTGTGCAATAAAAAAGGCACCCACACAAAGAATTGGTTTATGTACAGTATAACATTCCAGTTTTACCAACAACATTTGCAATTGCATTCCTCAGGTGTGGAAAACAAATACAGTAACACACAAAACGGCAATTTCTTAATTTTCTAAGATATGCTTCACAGAAAACTGAGAGCCCCAAATTTCTTTTTATTTGGGATCTCAGAAACAAAAATAGAGTGAACAGAAGGTACACGGACTGAAATAACATGTACACCAACATGTTTTTGTATGGGATCAAGAGTTTACAAACATTGACTATTTTTGCTTTAACCTGGAAAATATAAAAAAGTATACTTGAAAATGTCACGCCTATATCATTGTAATTAAAACAAGCATCTATCTAGAGATTGTGATACTTTTTAATTTTTGTTTAGAAAAAGACCAAAATAAGACCAATGTATTGATGAGGGCCATTTTTGGGAGCTCAAATACTCTGTGGGGAAGATTACTTTCCCCACAGAAGATTGGAATCTTTGCCACGTTGGCTGGATCGGACAGTATAATGCACCTTTGAATTGTACAGGAAATGTTCAGGAGTGTAGCTTGCACTTGACGAAGAGGAAGAGGAAGACAATACTATCAATGTTTGTTTCACTATTGAAATTCATCTGGGACAGTAAAGTAGAGTTAAATACAAATTTGTTGAACAAGTTTGGTTAAAAGAAAAGCCATTTTGCATGACAAGTTGATTTCATTGATTGTGAGTATAATTAACCAAAAGTTGTCTCATTTCCCTGTCAGAATAATCATGTTCCCCCAATTTTCATTTCAGAGTCTTTCAAATAATATTCAATAAATTCATTTTTGATAATTGTATTTTTTGCAATTTTCGCATGAAGCAATTTTAGCACAACCTAAAAACATTTTATATTAATCTGATTCTAATCTAATCTGTAACTTTAGATTGTTGGAAAAAAAACATGTTATTGTCATATCACATAAAGGTGCCTGTGAGCTCATTACTCTAATCAGCAACCGACAGTCAGCCAGTCACACGTGCACACGCACACACACACACACACAGTATACTACTTTATGTTGAGGCCATTTTCAAAAAGGCTCTAAGACACATCAAAACTCACTTTTTTCATGGTTTCTGAATCACTCTTCATTAAATTCAATACATTTTTTTCAAAGTCAAGAAGGGATATCTAAACATATCAAATCAGCAGCTGCAGAAATTAAATGATCATCTCACGATGGCAATGACTTGTTTCCAATTGCATCTGTTTTCCTTTGACGTTACATTATGTGATGTTATTTATATTTAAGGGGAAACACATTACAAGGTGTGTGTGTGTGTTGGTGGGGGGTGGGGGGTGAGGGGGGGGGGGGGGGGGGGGGGGGTTACAGCAAAAACATTGCAGTAAATTAAAAACATGGCCTACAGAATCCTTACACAAGTATGATACTATGAGCACATCACCCCAGTTCAGTGTTTGCTGGATTGGCGCTTAGTTTCTTCACAAATCACATTCAAAGCTCTTGAGTTAGCAGTCACTTCTTCAGTTTTGTTTATTTTATATTTTTTGTAAGTATCTTGGGTGTTCAATCCATATCTATCATCATGTTCATAATTAATTTCCTTTATTTTCAATGAGAATTCTGCTTTGCCAACATGTAAGACGGCTGCGAAAATTGCCATGATAACAGAATTGTTGGCACACATTCCATCATCATGTTAACAGCCTATGTCATCACATTAGAATCATTACGTCATCTAAGCTATGGTCTGCTGAGTTTATGTATGTCAGTCTGTCAGTGGATAAAGTCACACAGAAAAGAGAGTCAAAGTATCCAAGTCCCACGGTTTAAACCAGGCTGAATACAAATGAACAAAATGTCGTGTTTTAGAAAGAGATCAAAGAAGGACAAGCTTGAAATGCTT